AGGCATTCACTGTTTATAAATATGAATTCATCTTTAAACTAACTTCTTTCATGTCTTATATTTAATTCAAGATAAATATATAGATTGGCTAATTTCCATTTAATAATCCTGATATAATTCAATAAATAGATACCTGCATTAAGTAATCCAGGAATTACATAACATTTTTGCTATTGCATTTTTAATAAATTATATTCTGATTTTAAATCTATATTTATTAATCAAATACCATTGTTAAAGTTTCATGTCTGCTATGAAATTTATAAAAAACATGAAAAAAATAAGAATTACAAAATCATTAATTTATTATTTAATTTGCTAGACTAATGATAAAAGTCCATATACAAAAAAAATAAAAATATTACTTTATTTTTAATTATTTTATAAGGTAATTTAGGATAACACAAAACTAAATTCATTTAATTTACTCTTTATTTATTAATCTTCCCTGGATACTATTGAATGAATCAAAATTTATATAGAAATTTAATAAATACTATAATTACACTAATTATTGAACATATTTTAAAAAGAGATTAAAATAGATTAAAGAATTTGTAGTCATAAATAAAATACTTACTCTCTCTTTCAATAAAAATTGATAAAAGCTATAAGACTTAAAATATATAATTTAGTAGAGATTTGAATATTTTGAAAGTAAAAATAAGATTCAGGAAACTCAATGGATTCTAAAAATATCTATAACAAAAATAAATGAATAGGATAAGAAGAATTTAAATGAAATTTATTTGGCTATGATAAAGTTTAGTTCAAGGATTTAAGTAAGATTATTGGATTTATAACTGATATTTTGAAGAGTTAAATATGTTAATGATGAAATAGGTGAATTAAATATAAAGAATTTAATTTGATGGTTGAATATATTGTAAAAGATTAGAATAAAAAAGATACTTAAATAATGGAGATGGGATTATTTTTGATGAGTTTTGCAAATATTTAAGTGATTTATTATTTAAATTTGAATATAATAAAATGCTTGATTACGCGGGTATTATAAGTTTGAAAAGAGAGCAATTTCATGTGAACATCAGAAAACAAAGAAATGAAAAGTAATTCAAGGAATCAAGAAAAAATTATATTCAATTCCTGTTTTCTCAATAGACATAAATGTAAGAAATGTCCAACTCGATCAGAGAAAAACTTGAGAAAGGTGAAAATCTTCAAGGAGAAATGTTGTAGATGATGGTAGATAAAATTTTTGAGGTGTTATAAAAGGATAATAATCTAAATCTATTAGATGTATATATGAGATTTAATTTAGACAATTGATGCAGCTGTATGGATGTTAAAATCAGTAGAGGAATAAACTTATGAAGATGAATTAAGTGATAATTTGAGAATGTTAAAAATAGTGGAGAAAATGATACTATATTCTTAAGGATATGAGATTGATAATGAGCCATTGAATTCATAAATCATTATTTATGCTGCTAAAGTTAGTTTATTATCTTAAATAGTTTTTAAAATATTGGACTTAAATGGAAGATAAATCATTACATCTTAAATTTGGTGAAATAGCAGAAACAGTGTATTTCTTGTTAAGTAAATAAGAATAAATGTTTATTAAGAGAGGTGCAGATATATTGTATAATATGGCTTTAATTGATAATGGATAAATATTAATTAAATTACATGAACTTGTAATTTTTGGTCAAAAATTAGTTAAACCTATTTGTACAATATTAAATACAATTCATAATACAAAAATATTAAGCACTTTATGGAGAGTAGTATTATAAACATTTTTAGATTAAGATAAGAATGGATAATAATAATATATCAATTATAATATATTTGAAAATCAATAAAAAATTAGCTTTTTTAATTTATTGATAAATTAGGTGTTGGAATCAGAACAATAAAATAGAAAATTATTTAAGAATTAAATGCATTTGGTACAGCATATACTTGATTATTATTAATCAAATGATGAATAAATCTATGAAGAATTCAAGCAATTATTAATAACATCTCAATTCTCAGTTAAATTAAAAGATCTATGGTTATTTCATTAATGGAATTCTATAGCAACTATAGCACATGAAATTTAGACACATTTAGAAGAATAATAACTATGAATTCAATAAACAGTTTTGTTTTTCGTTTTTTATTTTAACTTCATTCTAAAATTATTCAAAACCTATTATTTTTCATCAGATTGGTGTGGTTTAATATTATAACCGATTACATTATAATTCAGAATCTCTTCATTTCTATTCTTCTAAATGATTTTATAATAGTCATTCCATGTTAATGAGTTATTATTATATAAGGATTTTTGGAAAAGAGCTTTTACACAAGAGTTTCTATATTTTTAAGTGGAATTTTTTCGAGGAGATAGGCTAGTCATCTAAAATGATTATATATAAGATTTAATTTCAATCTTAGGACAACTATCTTAATGACTTGGATTAGTTGTTTCTATTGATCTTCTTCTAGTTTGAGTTGTTGTTCTGATTGTAGTTTTTATTTGCATCTTTTTAGGAGATATTTATTTTCTATCCTGTTTGAAAATATTATCATAATTCCCAATCCATGGTTCTACATTTAATGGATTTTACATCTTATTATTAACATTGCTCCATTCTTCTTCAATATTTAGTAATGTAAATTATGGATCATTACAAAACATTAATATAAATATAATGATTCATGGTCCTAATTCTTCTTTCTCTGGTGCTTTTAGTATTGCCAAAAAAATTGAAGGTAATTAAATGATGAACATCCTTAGTATATGGAATATAAAATAACAATCCAGGGTAATGACTATTCAAATTAATGTTAGACCTAATTATTACAATTTGACATCTCCATAAGAAGGAGGATTTAAATTTTCTAAATCTGTTCGCAAATAACTTTATGAACCATAACCTATTCCTGAACCAGGTGCATATGATCCAAATTTATCAGTATAAAATCTTGCAATTAGATTATTTAACCGAATCCTCCAAACATTAAATTTAGCAAAGCTTAAGAATAAGAGAAACCCCCCCTTGATATTGGACCAGGCACTTACAATTGGACTGATTAAAGGAAATCTCCAGCATTTACTTTCTAAAATAAATTCGAAAATCCAACAAACGATCTTCTTAATACTCCTGGGCCTGGTCATTATGATGTTAAAGAAAGCCATTCCCTTCAACCTATTAACAAAGGTTTTACTACAAGTAATCGTGTTAATGTCTTACTTTCTAATGGACCTGGACCTGGTTCTTATAATTTAGATAGTCTTAAAGCAAAAAATAGTATTAAGTAAAGTTCTCATTAAACAGATTTCCAAAACAATAGAGGAATATTGATAAAAATGAACAAACTCCTGGACCTGGAGCATTTCTGACTATTTTACCAAACAAATAAGGGATAACATTTGGAAAGAAATTACAAACTTAAAGTGAAAAGTAATTTGTCCCTGGTCCTGGTACATATCAATTAAAATCTTTTGCTGAATAGATTTCAAAAGGAACAAAGTATTATTAATTATTATAAATTAAGAATTGGAACCTCTAATAGAAGTCAAATGTAATTATAATAAGGTCCTTCTCCTTTAAATTATGATATTTCTTAATATAAGCCTCCAACTAAATATTAAAGTTTTGGAAATGCTGAAAGAAAAACTATGCAAGAGAAAAGTGAGAACACACCTGGACCAGGATCATATTATTTAGGTGTAAGTCTTTCAAAATTAGGATCAATAATAGGAAAATCTTAAAAAGAATAAATTGTAACTCATGATTCATTACCTGTAATTTATTAAGTGATTTTTAGGGTCCAGGTAAATATAATTTAAATGATACTTATTCAAGAGGACCCAGTTATCATATTGCAGGCAAACATGAGAAACAATAAGAATAATCACTTGTAGGTCCAGGAAGATATCAAATCAATAGGGATATTAATGATGGACCAAAATTTAAATTTTCTACTAAAGAAAAGACAGATTTTAAAGAACAATCTTAATCATAATTCTATGAAATTCAAGCGAGTCTAGGATTTATACCAAAATATTTATTATAAAATTGAATATGTTATAAATATACTATGTATAAAACGGATCATTAATTAAAATAAATGAGAATTGCTATATTGGCTCTTGTAGTTATTTGTGCATTATGTGGTCAAAATATGAGAAGTAAGAAGAGGTATGTCTTATTAATTAGACAAGCACTGTAGGAGAAGTTCATGATTTAAGTAATAATGTTGGAGTGATAAGCAAATCAGAAGTTTAAGTAACACCACCTCTTACAAAATAATAATTTTAAATTAATAAGGCAGCTAAATCAACTACTCAAGCAATTGAATAAGCACTTAAACATTCAACAACAACAACATTACTTGAAGTTGAACAATCTTTCAATGATGATGTGATAGATAATATTCCTTATGTTGAAGAAACTATTGATTAAATGTCAAGTACAAAACCAGAAGATGTCTATTCAAATGATGGTAATTCACCAGATATGGGTACAAGTGCTGAAAATTTTGATGGATCAGAAGCTCCAATGACATCTGAAGATAATTAAACTACTCCATAAGATGAATATTATGCTACTGAAACTCTTATCACTAATGAAGAAGTCTCATTAATTTAATTAGGTGAAATAGATGCACTTGCTAATGTTGATACAAGCATGCCCTTATTTGATGAAGATTTCAAATTTGATGAATAAGCACTTTAAGAAACACCATTAAATGTTGGAATAAATGATGTCCCTGAAGTTTAAGTAGACTCAAATTAGGAAATTTCAAATGATTTAGAAAGATAAACAAATGAAATTGTTGAGGCTTTGATGAATGAATAGGATATAATGATAAATGAAGTTTAACTCATTTAAGTTTCAGATAGAGGATTCTATTGATTAATTATATTCAATAATATACAGATATTATTTCTTTAATTGATTTTCTTATAGATTTTATTATATATTACACTTTTGTTTTCTTTATTGTTTAATAATATTAAATTAATTATATTATAATTAATGTATAGAAGTGGAAAATAGCCACCAAAACCAGAATTACCTTTTTATGCTGATATAACTTATTGGATAACCTTTATGTTATCAATATATTTTAAAGATGAAAAAATTTTGCATGGAATTTTTTCTTGTTTACCACTTTTTATGATAGTGCATTTGACTTTGAATAGATTATAAAGGGGTGAATTAGGATCAACAGTAATGATGTTATCTTTACTTGCAGAATCAATTGGTATGGATGATAGAAATTTGTAGCTCATTTATTTCATCAATTTGCACATGATGAAAGATTCATGAATTTATATTTCTTTGAACATTTAATATGTGGAATGTTTCTTGCAATGGGAAATTTCATTTATGTATTTGAAAAAAGATAAAAAAAAGAAATATTTCGTAAAAAGAAATCATATTTAAAATCAAAATTGCCAAAACCTTAATCTATAATAATATTTCCTATAATTGCATCAGGATTTTATTTAATGCTATATGAAACAAAAAATGATAATACAAATTGGATATTGTATTATATGAAAGTGTTTTATAGTATACCATTAACAATTTAATTAATTTATGCAATTTAAAGATATTAAACTACATCAAAAAAGAGTTATTGTAATAATTATCATATTATTAATTAGTTTTTGGTTTGGCTGCCTCTATCATTTATGTAATGTCTGATTTATCATATTAATATAATCCATTAATCCATAAACTATTTCATCGTCTTAGTTTATATTTGCAGACTAGATAAATCTTTTACCATATCAAATGGTTTTAGAAGAACAGATACAAATTTGAATGATCATAAACTTAATCGATTGTCTATAAATCATAAATATTCTTATATTGATTAGAGATGGGATTAGACTCTCATTCCTTTTAATAGAGAATCTTCTATTTCTGGATCAGTATAATTAGTGCTTCTTAGATGTTTGAGTGAAGTTAAATCTTGATCACTAATTTGTAACTTCTTTTTAATCTAAATATATATTTTTATAATATATTTACTTTATTATATTCACTAACTTTATCTAAAAAAAGATCTAAATCAGAAAGATTTGGAAACAATTCTTTTCCATTTTCAGTTTTATTTTTTACTATTTCATTCAATGAATTAATCATTTTCTCTTTAATTTTTAAGATAAATTAAGATTTATTCAAGCAAATTTAATCCTTTTTTGATTTAGCTATTAATTCAAAAAATTGAGCATTTTTTATAATTTTTACTGTGCTTTTTCTATTCTTTTCTTTTTTAACAGCATAATCTAAAATTTCCATTTTCACATCTTCATAATCGTTAAGAATCCTAAGAAAAGCTTCTTTACTAATTTTCCAGACTTCTGCTTATGATTCAGCTATTGCAGATTCTCCTCTTGCTCTTGATACTAATATATCTACTTCTCCAAAATAAGATCCTTCAACATGTATTAAAGTTCTAATTTTGCCATTTTAATCTTCACATTTTGTAGCCAATCTACCTTCTATAACAAAGTAAACAAAATCAGCAGGTTCTCCTCTAAAAAATATTGCATCACCTTTATTTAAAAATACTGGAATTATTGATCTAAATAATCTCCTCAAGAAGCCTCTTGGTTTATTTTATAAGAATCTAATTTTTTCTATAATGTCTTTAAATATAAATTCACATACTAATCCTTAAACTAAGGGAGGCAATTCTTATATGATGTCTTCTTCATTATAAAATTCTAATATTTAATTAGAATGAGAGAAAATAGAGTTTTAAATAGACATTAATAATCTTTCATGTGTTTCTTTAGGTAATTAATAAGTATGAGCTAATTCATTAAAAAAGATTTCTCTTTCTTTAATCATAGTTAATTTTTAAGATAATTTAGCAAATGTAAATGTCAATGTACCCATAACATAAGCAAAGAAGGCTACTCCCAAAAATTAAAAGATTATTCCTACAACATATTCCATATTATTTACTGGCAAAATATTACCATATCCAACAGTAACCAAAATAGTCAATACAAAATAAACACTAGCTATATATTATTCAACAGCTGATGTACCATCTGGAATATATACAACAATCCAATTATTATTTGGATCAGGACTTATGGTTCCTATAAAATACCAAAAACATCCAGCTAAATGTATAACAACAAATGTTAAAATTATGAATTTTAAAATTAAACTATATTCTTTATTAAGTTTTAAGAAGAAAAATAATTTTTGTATTGTTTAATGTTTTATAAGATTACCTACTCTCAAAACTCCAACTAATTTATATATTCTAGGTAATCTTGCTAATCTTAAGAGTCCATTAACACTAGATGCTCCTGGAAGTACAGAGGGATCTAATATCAAATATAAAGGGAAAGTTGAAATTAGATCAATCCAAAACCATCCTTTCATGTAATTTATAGCAATTTTTTTAAATTCAACTATTACAATACCTCTTTCATCTTCATAGGCAGTAAAAAATGTAAATACCATATCAAAAAAAAATATACAATCTACAGATAAATCTAATCCTAATAATTCTTGAGTATTTGTTTCAAAAGCTAAACGAACTGGTAATATTAAAACTCTAATTTTGTTAGAAAATGTATTACACATAGATTAGAAGTAGAATCATAATTCCACTCCAAGTGGATTTAAACTTTCCATATGGATTAATGATACAATTAGGTAAAATTCTTTCTATTGCATTGGCTTCTTGAGTTAATTTACTTAATTTTTCATCTAATTCAATATTTCTAGGAGGTTATTCTTTATCCATAGATTTATCTGGACTGAATATATCGAATTCAGAGCTACTATCTAATTTTCACAATCACACAGATACCATCTTAATTTTGAAGTGTTGGCTATTTTTAACTTTATTAATTTGGAGATCTATTTGATACTCTATTTGGAGAAGGAGTTTTTGCAAATTCTGCCATTGGTTCAGCCATAGGTTCTTCTTAACTTTATTAGTTCTCTTAAACTTAATCCATTTATTCTGATGTATTTAACTATCTTTTTTCACTTAATCTAGGTAAGCGAAGTTATTTAATATTCTTTTTTCTTGAAGTTGATTCACTTTAATCTGATTCTTCTTCTTCTCTAATACTATTGTTTTTAAATTGATCTTAAATTAATGGATTAAAATTACTTGATAAAGCATCTTCTTTAACTGCATCCAATTCTTCTTAATCTGCTATATCATTAAAATCAACTAATTATAAATTTTAAAAATTTAATTTGTTTTTTCTTCTCATAGGTGTTTCATCTTCATCACTCTCTGATACTTATTTTTTTATATCTTTTTTGTTTCTTTAAAATAGAGATGCAGGAATCATTAAAATATAATATTTAAAACTTATTATTTAATTTTTATACTAAATTCAATTCTAATAATAATTTAAAGTATTTCAGAAATCTTTTATTATTATTATTACATTCATATATACATTTTTCATATATTTCTATTTTGGTAAATATATTTAAATATTTATATAAACTTTTTAGAAATATAAATGATCCATTCAGATGAAAGCAGTGGTGATCACTTCTCTCCTAATTCTTAGTATGAACCTTGACTATTTTAGAAACAATAATAATAATAATTCAGGTCTTAAAGATAATGGAAAGAAATATGCAGTAATTGATCATTAGATCAGAGTATAATTACTAAAACGTATTCTTTCAAAAGAAGCAACAATTAAAGAGGCTGCTAAAGAATTTGGAGTCAATTTCAGTACAGCTAAGGCCATCTTATAAACTTATAGAAAAGAAGGAAGAATTGGAAAAAAGAAAACTAGAGACAGAAACAAAAAAAAGAAAGATGATTCAGATTATCATTATACTTATACAAGAAAAGTCTAATCAATGTATGATTTAGAAAGAGAAGCTCCTTAACATAGAAGAACATTTTCACCTGATTTGAGGGTTTATTTATTCAAAATAATTATTTTAGCCTGCAGATAGGAGTATTAATTAGCATCCATTAATTGTTTAATAATAATTAAACTTTTTAAATTCTTAAAGTCAAGTAGGTTCCACTCCAAATTTAGATGAACCAAATGCATAAATGGCTTTAGCAATCTGTTAAAGAGAATTAGCTTAATAAAAAATGATTAATATGCAATTATTATTGATGCTTCAAGTATTCATATATATCTATACTCTAGACTTATCAAAATTAAGGTTAATAACTATAAATAGAATAAGTCAAAGTTGAATCTGATAAACAAAATTGAAACTTAATTTTGTATTTATTCTTAAATCATTCATTTCTCACATTCTACAATATGTTTATTATCTAAACCAAATGATTTTTTAAATACATCCTTATCAAATTAGTTAATTTAATTTAACAACTATATATTTAAAAATGGAATTATCTGAAAACTCCTAATCTATTTCAGGATGGCTATAAGATTATGATAATTAGATTGTTAATCAAATTAATAAACCAATAAATTGTACATTTTATTCTTAAATGCATAGAATTAGTAATTAATAAATAGAAATTCTCAAAGAGAAGTATAAGTTTGTGTTAACACCAATAGGAATAAGAACAATAAAAATCAAGTATTACATATATAATATTATTTGATCTATTTCTTTAAGTTAAAAATTCAAATTAGTTGCCATTACAAAATTAAATAATAAATAACAACACTAAAATATAGGAGTTAAAGAGAATTATGGAATTTTTGTAAGTAAATGAAAAATCAAAATACGATGCTTATTAATAATATTAACAATAAGCTGATAGTTAATAATAAGAAACTATTCTATAACCTAAAGGTTAATTTAAGATTAAATTAAAGTAAATATATTATATAATTGAGTTCTTCTAATAAATAAATATTGTAACCATAATAAGAAATTTATCATATAAATGCTTTAACTGATAGACAATTACATTGTCAGAATAATAATTTGAATCATAGAAGAGTTCATTTAAAAACTGATCATCACTAAGAGTTTGTAAAATCTTCATCCATTCACAAAATATTTAATATAAAGGAAGTCAAACCTAGAATGACAAAGTAAATGAATGAGGCATAGACTAAATAAAAGGAATTTGAATTACTTTAATTGATGATAGAGAGACACAAAGAAAATGTATAATAATATTTCCCAAAAAAGAATAGATACTTAAGATGATTTAATTATTTCATTTTCTAATGAGTAGACAATATATATAAATAATGTATTTATAGCTGTAATAAGAGTATTCATTAAAGTATTCAAGTTTTATCTCTTAAAGTTGTTAAAAAAATATCTTCAGGTTAGTCATTTTATTATGTTGTAATTGATTGATATCGAATTGAATTGATATTATTTAAGTATTCATCAATATTTTCTTTTGATATAACTTTAGGATCTAATAGCTTGATTTCACTTTGAATCCATAGAATTTAATTAGTATATTTTATAATAATGTTAATATTTTTATTACAAATAATCTCAGCGACTTATTTGTCAATCATATCAGAAGATAGTAAATTAGCATCCATTTAAATAATACAGCCAAAATCAGGAAACACAAAACGTTTAGTTTATAGATTGGGGACAGAAGATGAGTAAGAGAATAGTTAAATTATATTTAAGTTAATGTATTATAAGTGTAAATGGTGAACCATTATTTACATATAAGATAAATGATCATGAGTTCGAGATCTTAACAGGATTTTCAACATCTGATGGAGTCAAGATAGTAGATCCAGAGAACAAATTTTATTTCCGAGATCTTTAATAACCAATGTTATTCGTTTTAGATGATTTTGAAATTCCATTAGATGGTTGGAGTGATACAAGAGTATCATAATGTTAAACAATACAAAATTATTTTTTGGGAGGACCATGTTATTTTTCAAATAATACTGTTTCAAAAACATTTGTAGGTTTACCATCTCATGAATATATTACAATATCATTTAATTTTCATTTTATTGATTAATGGTAGGGTGAAATAGGATAATTAAAGGTAGATAAATTAATTGTATGGTAAGATACATATAATTGGTGTGATAAAGTAATGCCATGGTTATGTTATAAATAAGGAATTAATAGTTGTGGAGGAGAAGCTCCAGATTAAATAGGATAAGCAATAAGAATAACATTATATCACATAAATTCATTTGTAAACTTAGAGTTCTCAACAACTTTAGGTAAGAAAGATGCATGTTAAGCATCATGGGGTATTGATAATGTTGCTATTTATGTATATTGATATAAATCATCTTTTCTATTATTACACATAATAGTGATAATTCATTCTATTGTAAAGAATTGTTTTTCTTAATTCCAATCCTCTTTTTTGTTCTTCTTTCAAAGAAATAAGTGTATTCAAATGATTCCATCTATCTTTCCAATTTCTCTCTTTTATTTACTTTCTATAATCATAATATCATTATACCTAAACATGAATGCCCATCTAATGGTTTCTATTTCTCTTTGTCTTCTATATCTCATATAAAAGATCATTCCTAATAAAACAGTTACACATTATAATGTATAAGTAACTGGTTCACATACATTCCATCCCCATTCATCTACCATATATATACCATAATAAAATGCTCCAATTTGTAATAAAGATAATACAAATAATAAAGTTAACCATCTATAACCAGTTTATTCAGCTTATGCAATCATTACATCTAATTGTTCTCTTTACTTACAAATTTCAGCTTCTAATATGTTAATTAAATGATGTAACTCATATAACTTATCTTTAGTTGGTTATTTTAATATTGATAATCCTTATTCCATTACTTAAACTATTTCTTTTTCTGTAAGATTCTATTATATGTTGCATGAATTTAAAAACCATGATAATGTATTTGCATGACTTGGATCCATTCCCATATTAACCATCTAAATATATTTCTATTATGGAGAATGTTTCAATTATGTTTTTTAATTTAACATCTTAGCTTCAACTAATTGATAAGCTGGTGTCATTGTAAATTCCTCATCCTATATTACCAATTTAATTGCTTTATTTTTTTTGTCATTCAAAATATAATTGAAAAGGTTGCTACTCAAACTTAAATCTGTTCCATCTAAATTAAATTCTACTTTTGTTGATTCTTCTAATTACAATTGTTCTTACAAAGTCAAAAATGAATATTGTTAATGAGCAAAAAACATTTTTGATCCCATAATTAATGGAAATGTCAACACTAGTAAATCATCCTTGAATGTTATTTATACATCTATAATAACTTTGTTATTTCTATACTTCTCTTAGAAACGATATGCCAATATTATGATCTATGGTTCAATCCTCTAAACATTTTAGCAAACCTTATCATTTTATCTTATTATTATATAAATCATCTATTCATTAACTATTTAATAACTATATCCATTGATGGTCTCTTTGTCTCATCCTTACTTCTCAAATCATTCACTAATTGTAAGATATTCTTTGGAACATTCCTAGGTGGCAATTATTCATTTTTCATTGCTTTCTGAACAATTTCTTACATTTCCAAACAATCCCAAGGAATCTCTCTTGCAAATATCTCCCACAACAAAGTACCATATGCAAACAAATCTACACTCTTATCATATGCCTATAAATTAATATTTATTATCTTAAACCCTCTTTGCAAATAGTTCAGGTGCCATATATGTAGGTGTTCCACTAAATTACTAATATCCCTAATTCAATTCAGACTAATCATATCTATATTATATTATTACACTTCTCTTTGTCAAACCAAAATCACATAATTTAATTGTTTATCCTTACAAAAGAACATTATGTGATTTTATATCTCTATGTACTACTCCTGCTTAATGCATATATAGAAGTACTCTGGCTACTTATATAGCAATAGAATATTTAAATTGCTCATTTATTTGATGACTATATATATCAAATCTAAATACTTTGTTTTATGTAATAAATGATATAAGCTCCCACCTTAAACATATTCTGTGGCAATTACTAAATTTGGTGGTTTTGTACAACAAGCCATTAATAATACTATATTAGGATGTCTAAGTAATGATAACATTTCAATCTCATTATTTATTTCATCCAATAATTATTATGTTATATTTGGGTTGAATATTTTTTTTATGGCAATCTATAATTCACATTAAGACTTACTTCTGTACCTCTTAAATATCCTCTATGTACAATTGAAAAGCCTCCTTATGATATGATTTCATGCACTTCAAATTCATTTGAATCTATCTCTAACACATGATTAGTATGTTGTAATTCAGATATTTATCTCATGGCTCGATTTTATGTTTTAGGTCTTTCAATTATATTTGGCTACTTTTCCTACTTTGGCTATTGATTTGATCCTGGACTTATTTGAAATACCTTTTAAAGAATTTAATTCAATTAAGGTTAATGAAAATGACCTTACAATGTTTAGAATTTAGGTAATAATGGATTATTGCTTAAATTCAAACTTTATAAACTAGACATGTTCAATAATTCTTCTGGCACTTCTTCAATACAATTATTGCTTAAATCAATCTCTTCTAAATTCGTTAATCCTGCAATTTTAGATTCAATTGAAGTAATCTTATTATGACTTAGATCTAGATGAGTTAATTTCAATTAATAGATTTCAGGTGGTATACTGATCATAGATTTTCCAGAAAGATTCAAACGAGGCTCACTTGAACGTTTTATTCTTCGTATAATCAATTAAATATCCTCCATAATTTTATATTAATATTCAAAATATTTCCTTTATTGAACTAGTCATGAACTTAAAGTCATTATTGAAATCAGAATGCATAAGTAATTTCATCATCTTATTCCAATAATCAGAGTGTCCATTAACAATTTCTGTGAAATCACAATTTATAACTTACTTATATCCTAAATATATAGGCTTTAATCCTAAAATTATACTAAATCTATATATATACCACAAGGAGAATCAAAGAGTTTTGCAACTGTTAATACATAATTTAAGATTAAATCCTTTTTAGAATAAATATTATAAATTTTTCCAGCTACAGCATTCCATCTTCTCTTCTATAGTTTGTAAACATCAGCTACTCCTCCCATAATCATTACTTCATTTATAAATTATTTTTTTTATTTTTCAAATATTTTATCTAATTCTTTTATGCATTCTAAAACAATTACACTACCTAATGAATGACAAATAATATTAATTTATCTATTTCCAAATAATTAATAATCAGAAATTAAATATGCTAAATATTTTCCAACTCTCTCAGCTTCCTTGTGAGCCTTCTCATATGGATTTTATGTTATTAATTATACTGCACTCATTGCTACTCCAAAAAAATTAACTTTACTTAATATTTGAGGTATTAAATTTTAGGCCAAACTTTATGTTACTGTAGTAAAAAATTCTTTAGTTTCACTGCAATTCCAATGTAATCCAATAACTGTACCAGAACATGAATGCAATAATTCACCCCATTAAGATTATTTATCCTCATCTCCACTCAAAAATCCTGAGATGCATAATGTTATTACATTTGAGTTATGATCTTAATTTGAAAGTAATTAAAAATAAATTTATGATGGAAATGTCAAAGAACTAGGAAGCTCATTAGATTACATTTTCTTTTTTTAATTTTCTATTAGTTTTAATTTGATTTCTTCAAATTGTTTTTAAAACTAAGAAAATTGCTAATCTTTAATTGCTGTTAAATTATTTGCATTCTCTGGTTAAACAATCATTTTTAAACATTCATATTTTTTATAAAATTCCAAATTAATTTAGAGTTAATTTTAACCTCTACCATATAAAAATACAAAAACTTATATACTAGCTAATTCAATCTAAAAAGGTAGTTACATAACATTATCTAATTAATCTTATGTATTATTTTTTAATCTATTTTCAATTTCATTTATAATTTGAAATTAGATTTTATGAGTCACTTATTCACATAATTTCATCAAAGAATTATTTAAATATTAAAATTTTCCATTATTTAATTATCTTAATATTAATGAAAAGGCATTTCTTTTTGAAGGTTCATAATCTCCAAAAATTAATTTATCATCTTAAAATTTTATTCCTGCTAAAATAAGATAAATTTAACAAATGACTTGTATATTTGTTTATTCATCTACTTAATCAAACCACCATTATACTGCTTTTTCACATCTTTATTTATTATGGTTTTTAAAATTAGCAAGAACATTTACTGAAAATTACTAATTCCAAAATATTTGACTTTTTGATTAACTTATATTAGAATTATAATTTGATAATGAATCCAAAAGGATAAGTGCTTCATCAGCTTCAACACTAGATTAAATCCATTCAATAGAGTATATTAAATATTATAAATTAGAATTGAGATCTTATTTTGTAATACCTTCAACAAATTATTTATTATGAAAATATTGAATTAAATAAAACTCTATTAGAGCTAAATAATCTTTATACTTATCTTAAAAATCAAAATTTAAATAAGGTGTAAAACTTTCTTATGCTTTTGATACATAATTTCTTTTTAATTTTTAACAATATTTATATCTAAAATATGAATAAATTTATACATTATTGCATTTGTTAGATTAAATCCATAGTTTTATGAAATGTAATCTTAAAAACTATCCATTTGAATTTTATATTGCTTCTCTATTAAAGTCTTAGCATCCAAAAGATCAATAATTTTCAATTTAATTTAATTACATATAGTTTCAAATTAGATATCTGTATCATGTAATTCTTTAAAATATTACTTTATTTTTTGTTTTAATTTAATATAAGTATCTTTTTATGTTGATTTTGCTCTTTTAATCACTTTTTTATATACAAAATTTTAGATTTCAGCAAATGAAACAATGTATTCATCAAAAATCTATTCCTTTTTGAATTAACCTTTAAAATATTCAAGTAGGATTAATGATACTTCATCTATTGCCTAATTAAGCCATTTTGTCTTATCTAAAATTCCTGTCTATTGATAAAATAATCCAGTTTTATCATTTATTATTTCTTATAAGTCAATATAGCAACATCCAATAGCTTCTTTAAAAAAATGTTGTCCTATTATTTCTGAATTGAATTGTTTATCAAAATTGTATTTATCTAAAAATTAATTTACGAGTTTGTAATGTTCTATTCTAAAATTGTTTAATATAATGAATCCACATACTTTAAATTTCTAGATTTTCTCTTATTATTTTCTAATTAAGGATTGCCTTAATATATTGATGAGTAAACTGTTGGGTCATCAATTTAAAAATTTTTTGCATTATTCACATCCATATATTCAGGATAAAACTTGTTAGACATTGTTTAGAAAATGTTTAAAGCACCTATAACTGTGTTGAAATAAGTAGTTAGATTTTTAGGAATGACATTCTATGCCGTTTCCATATACTATTGCATATTTTTTAAAAATAATTGTAATTATTGCTATTAAATGAATCAATGTTTTCCACCTTTAGCTACTATTTTTTGGAATTCGTCATAAAACACTAACACTAATGATGAACCTACAGATCTCCAAATATTTGAGAGATTTCCTTTAAAGAATCCTGTTGGTCCTTCTTTTGATATGATTTTTGAAAAACAGTCAATAGTTCCCTAAATTTAAAAATGCATATTACTGAATACTCAACATTTCCCTTTTGTCCTGCTTACATCATTAATCTTCTTCTAACGGTATCAAGTGGATAGGAAAGTGTTTCTGATGTTGATACTACAAATTAAGCAAAAAAGAATCTAGCCAAAATAGATGAATTTCTTTAAGCAGCATCATCTCCCCAAATAGCTCTTTTACCAGCATCATATCCACTAAAATGATAATAAATTTAGATTTACCCAAAGTATAAAGCTCTATAAACAAAAATACCAACAACTGAGATACCAAATCCTTAATAGATTCCAGTGATGCCATCAGTTTTGACAATTTAACCCATACAGTCCACTAATCCTTTGAATTGTCTTTCATGTGCTGCCTTTCCAATATCAGCTGCTAATCTTGTTCTACTGAAATCAAGTGGATACACAATTAATAATCCAATACTTCCTGCAATACCACCACTTAACAATGAACCAGCAAAGAATCTAATTAATTATATTTTATACCTGCCTGGTCTTTTTTTTGGATCAACACCAGCTAAAAATTATCTATTAAGAGCATCCTTCACAGAAAAATTAATGGCTTATGTTGGAAAGTATCTGATGACATTAGCCCAATTTCCTCTCCAAAATGAAAGAACACCTTCTTCAACAAACACTCGCTTGAAACAATCCACAATTCCTAATCATTTTCTAAATATCTAATTACCTGTATATGGTCTAGCAATTAATTTTGGATTAGTGTGTTGTGTTTGAAGCAACAATTTCACTCTTTCGATTGGAGCTGCTATTGTTTTTGCCAAAGCTCCAGAAATACCACCTGCTAAAAAGTCATATAAGAAATTTGATGATCCACTTGATGATGAGTGTGCCATTTTTAATTAATTTATTGTATACAATAAAAATCAAAAGATTTAAATTACAATAATTATAATATCTCAATATAATTATTATATTACAATAATTAAAATATCACATTAATTATAATATCATCATACTTAAACTATTACATTTCTGTTTCTCTAATATGCTATCATATAAATCATTCATAAATTTTATTTTATTTATAAATATTTATAATACCTTTTACAATAATAAAGTATTTCTATGTCAATCAATTTTTTAAAATCAAAATAAAAATCAATTTAAACAAAGTAAAATTTATTTTTATTGGATTAAATATATAAAATCATCTTATTTTTTAATTTTCTCTTTTTAATTTTTCATATATTTCAATAAAAACTATTTAAAAATATTAGAAGGATACAAATCAATTAAAAATTCATTATAATATTATGTTATTAATATTTTAAATAGCTTCTCTATATAAAATTTACATTTGATATTCAGAATTACTCAATTAAATCAAACAAATCTTCATTCTTCAAAATTTTTTAATTTATTGAGCCCAATGTTCTTAAGCAAATCTTACTAAATTTAAAAAAAAAATTCAAGACTCTCTTCTTGAGGAATCAATATAATCTAAAAAAGGGAGCTATGAAAAGCCAAAAATTTAATGCTTATATATATATTTTTACACTTTCATCTATTATTCACAAATTTTGATTAAGTTTAGAATTCTTATTTTCTAAATGTAAATTTCTGGATTGTATCTTGATAGATGTATAAAACTAATATCCCTATTAATTCAATTTCAAATAATTTAGATATTATGCAACTGTTTGCTCATCATATTTTTGTTTATAAGTTAATCAATTAGCTCTTCTTTTTTTAAATCATTTAGTATTATAAATTTAATAATTATTTTCCTTTAATTCAAAATTAAATAAATCATTCAAAAAACATATAATACTATTATAAAATAAATGCTCTTTTGTTGAAAATACCAGTTAATATGGTAGGAACTTTTCAAATATATTTTTTATATTCTATTTTTAAGAATTCCTTAAAATAAGAACAATTTATTATGAAATATCTTGATAAGGTCTTTAACATTGAATTTGCATAAAGAACCAGATAATTAATATGTTTATTAAAAGGTTAATTCATAAATTAATCTAAAAGACAATAAAATGAATCAACTTATTTAAGAGATTCAATTTATAAATTTCCTTATAAGTTTATTATTTTAATAACATACAATTAAACTGAAGTGTGTTCTTGTATTTTAATTTCTTAATTCATAAGTCAGAGGGAAAGATATTATTCATTTATCTAATCTAAAATCTTTTTTATTTCCATTTATATTGAACTAGCTTGTTTATAATGTTACTCTCAAAGAGAATCATAAAAGTAAAATCACACTACAAATACTAAAGAAATTTTAGACATATAATAAAATAAATGTAGAGATAAATATGAAAATTAATGACAAAATTCATAATCATGATATAATCTGTTTAAATTTTTATTTTTTCATATAAGAGTCTATACATTATTCGAGTATGCCTTTCTTAGGTGGAGAGGATTATTAAGTTCTTGCTATCTTATTCATCATATTTTAATTCCATTGCTTAATTTTCGAAATATATTCATCGCTATTTAAAGAACAAGATGATCCACTTTACTTATAAGCTATTAATTTTAAAGGGGATTTTATTTTTGGAGATGTGTACTTTTTTTCTGCACTTTAAGTAGATTATTTTTAGTTTTTATATAGAATCCCAGATTGATTTTTGACTCTTAAGTTAGATTGGATAGATTTGCTTTTAGGAGCCTTATTTGCTATAACTTAGAAAAATTCAGTTTCATTAAATTAAGTGCCGCCCTTAATTCCTTTATAAGTGGTTGGATCATATAACATTCAGTTATATAATAATATAATTTATATTTCTATGTATTATTTACACATTAACAAATTATAATTAATAAAATTTATTTTTGAGATTTTTGAATAATCATAAAAATATAATATCTAATTAGGATAATTAAGAATAATATTTAAAGAATTATTTATATATTTTAATAAGAATTTAAAGATATATAACATAAAGAAAATGAATAAATTTAATATCAAAATGGCAAATATAAGATGAAATCAAATACAAAATTTGTTCATGCTTTATTTAATAGATTAGTTTAGTTTCTTTTTGTAGTTCTGGAACTATAGTAATTTGTTTCTACTGAGAATGAGACTTTTTTTTGTTTTACATTTGTATAAGTTGATTTTATTGAATAATTTCTTTTTAAATCTTAAAAATTTTAACTAGTTTTTAATATACTTTTGACACTATGATCTTTACTAGCATTACTTGAGACTTATTCACGGAAATGATCACTAAATTAAACATCTTAAGAATCTGAATTACGTGGATTATTATTTTGACTTCCAAAACTTGCTAAAATACTTTTTTCTTCATCCTTTAAAGTTTAGATGGTTTTATTTTTATCTCTTGGTGGAGTTTTTGATTTGTAAGAATTTACTGTCTAACTTATTTAAGAATTATAGGTCACAGTATCATTATCTTTTTTAGGTGCAAATTAAGAATATTGTCTTGGTAAATAAGTTTTAGATGGAGTATTTTATATATTTTAGAAATCTTATGAATTTTAGAATGAGATAGATTAATTAAAGTGTGCACTGTTAAAATCCACAGAATCTTGTTTTTAATCTTAAAATGACATGGAATGTTATTGTGATTGATTTAGCTTGTCCAATTATTCTTTTTCTTCTAATTATCTAGGTAATCATGTATAAACTACATCTATTTTATTCGATATCTTACTTCCTCTTCAATATCCTTCATAAATCTATTCATTCTTGTTTACACTACTATTTCTGTTATTTTTCTCTATTAAATAAAAGTAGGTAATTGTTAACTGTTTTCAAGACTATTCTCATCTGCAATTTAATTATCTTCTAAATCTATTCTACTCTTTTCAAACGTCCCTGTGCCTTTATTCAATGTAGTTTTTGATATTTAGACCATTTTACTATCATCCTCTGATTCAAGGTTAGACTGCAACTATTTTTAGAAAGTGCAGCTATTACACGAACCCATTAATTTTATGTATATTTATTAAACTTAAAATAATGTTTAAAATTACAATTTAACTAAATAAATACGGAATCTTAAATTTAATATCTGATTGAAATAGTAAATTGATTATAATTATATTATTATATTCATTAGTTTTCTTTTACATTTGAATAGAAACAAAATGGAAATAATTAATAAATTTGATATAACTTAATAAGTTTAATACAAGAAATAATATAAAATAATATGAGTTGATAAATAAAGATATTAAAATTTAATCAAATAAAGAGAGTAGTATATAATTAGTGATTTGATATAAAATCATTTCAATATTTAAATCCCTTTTCTATTTTAAATTGTAATTATTTAATTTTCTTAATTTAATATTATTTCACCTAAAATAACAATATTTTAAATACCTCTAATAAATACTGAGTCAACTGAACCTAAAAATAATCTATTTTTAAATATGTGTTTATCAATAGAAAAAGTAAAAATGTGATTTATTTTTTCAAAATTCAATTTCCATGTTTTAAATGGATCAAATACAACTAAATCAGCTATTTTTCCTTCTTCTATACTTCCTCTGTCTTTGAGATTTAAATATTGTGCTGGTCCTGAAGATACAAGTTATTATAATTAAATAAGTTTTAATAACATTCTTTTATATCTAGGATTATTTATTTCTTTATTGTAGAATGCTTTTTTTATTTTATATGGATCTTGATTCTTTTTACAAAATAATAAAGTCCATAATGCTTAGAATGTGCATCCTATACTACACAATCCGCTAACTGCTTTTCGAAAATCTCCTTATTCTTCAAATTTATATAAACCATTCACATAAAGATGTGAACTTGATATACTACTTATCCAATTATTTTATTATATTCCTTTTTATAATAATTATTTATTATATTTTTATCGAATTGGAGGATCAGATTTAAATTTAGTAATTCCATCACTTATGTCATCACTATCTAATAATAGATAAGGATATCCAATATCACTAAATATTTAATTATTGATAAGTTCTTTTATTTCCACCAAAGAAAAAGAAGAAGAAAAACCATTAAGAATAATCTTACATTTAAATTATTGTTTGATTATCTTTTTCACTTTTTAAATAGCAAATTTTTCCCAAGTAGCAGGTCGAAATGCTAAAAAACATAAGTAATCTCTATTGAATCTATTATTATTATTCTAATTTTAACGAGGTCGTGATTCTGAAAAATTTAGTATTAACATATCTCCAGATCCATGTTTACCATTTGAATTATCTTCAACTTAGTGCAAAACTAATGCAAATCCAGTTTTTGATTATCTTCTTTGTAGAAGTCCTTAAGCAGTATAAGCTCTTGATCTTAATCTGCATTCTGATTTTAAGGAGAGGCTTTCTGGTGAAGATATATCTGAAGATTGTATGGACATTTGTGGACTATGTTTTTGATTAGAATCTTATTAATTTGAATCTTTTTTCGATCCTAAAGGTGATTCTTGATCTTATATGGGAAGTTTTATTTCAATTTTTAATTAAGGATTTTATTATTATTATTATTATTATATACTATCTGTTTCATCATAAGGAAATTTATAATTCTATTCCATCTTAGGAACTTCTTTATATGTTATAAGTTCAGCTCTACTTATTAATGATATTTATGATTGCTCTGTAATCTATTTAGATTTAATTTTATATATATTTGATTAAAGTTTAGGAGATAATGAAGTATCATATTAATCTTCAAATTCTGAAATTCTTTTTTCATCTGAATTCTTATATTTTTTAACTATATTGATTTTGATTATATACCTATTTCCTTAATAGGAGAATTACTCTCATTTAGATAATCTATCTATTACAAATATTTGGGATCATCATTTTGAATTTTTTCATCATCACTAATACATGATCCTGATACTCCATCTGCATCAACTAAATCTAATTAAGTAATATTTAATCGTTCAGCAAAGGGTTTACTTCTAAAAGGTGATGTAATCCCTAGATCTTTGTCAACAGTATTTTAAGTATGTATAAATAGACAGGCTTAAGAGGGCAAATATTATAAAACTTATTGCAATTACTGGAGATCTTTAAAATATGTCCCTGTATAGGAAGGTAATAAATGACAATCGAAACAAAACGCTCCTAACTTCATTAATTGATCTATCTATGCAAATATAGGACTAGAGTGTGTACATCCTCTGTTTATAGAATTTTGCCCATTTAAATAAAATCTGTTTGTGATTTGGATTGCAATTATTGGATTTGCATTTTGTATGTTTCAAATGCATCTATATCAAAATTTAATTAGTAAGGTTTGTTAACAATTAAAGATGCACCTCCGACAATAGCCAATCTAATAGTAAAAAGTTTGTACTTAGTAAATTCTTCAACATGATTCCACATGCTTAATNAATAATAGATAAGGATATCCAATATCACTAAATATTTAATTATTGATAAGTTCTTTTATTTCCACCAAAGAAAAAGAAGAAGAAAAACCATTAAGAATAATCTTACATTTAAATTATTGTTTGATTATCTTTTTCACTTTTTAAATAGCAAATTTTTCCCAAGTAGCAGGTCGAAATGCTAAAAAACATAAGTAATCTCTATTGAATCTATTATTATTATTCTAATTTTAACGAGGTCGTGATTCTGAAAAATTTAGTATTAACATATCTCCAGATCCATGTTTACCATTTGAATTATCTTCAACTTAGTGCAAAACTAATGCAAATCCAGTTTTTGATTATCTTCTTTGTAGAAGTCCTTAAGCAGTATAAGCTCTTGATCTTAATCTGCATTCTGATTTTAAGGAGAGGCTTTCTGGTGAAGATATATCTGAAGATTGTATGGACATTTGTGGACTATGTTTTTGATTAGAATCTTATTAATTTGAATCTTTTTTCGATCCTAAAGGTGATTCTTGATCTTATATGGGAAGTTTTATTTCAATTTTTAATTAAGGATTTTATTATTATTATTATTATTATATACTATCTGTTTCATCATAAGGAAATTTATAATTCTATTCCATCTTAGGAACTTCTTTATATGTTATAAGTTCAGCTCTACTTATTAATGATATTTATGATTGCTCTGTAATCTATTTAGATTTAATTTTATATATATTTGATTAAAGTTTAGGAGATAATGAAGTATCATATTAATCTTCAAATTCTGAAATTCTTTTTTCATCTGAATTCTTATATTTTTTAACTATATTGATTTTGATTATATACCTATTTCCTTAATAGGAGAATTACTCTCATTTAGATAATCTATCTATTACAAATATTTGGGATCATCATTTTGAATTTTTTCATCATCACTAATACATGATCCTGATACTCCATCTGCATCAACTAAATCTAATTAAGTAATATTTAATCGTTCAGCAAAGGGTTTACTTCTAAAAGGTGATGTAATCCCTAGATCTTTGTCAACAGTATTTTAAGTATGTATAAATAGACAGGCTTAAGAGGGCAAATATTATAAAACTTATTGCAATTACTGGAGATCTTTAAAATATGTCCCTGTATAGGAAGGTAATAAATGACAATCGAAACAAAACGCTCCTAACTTCATTAATTGATCTATCTATGCAAATATAGGACTAGAGTGTGTACATCCTCTGTTTATAGAATTTTGCCCATTTAAATAAAATCTGTTTGTGATTTGGATTGCAATTATTGGATTTGCATTTTGTATGTTTCAAATGCATCTATATCAAAATTTAATTAGTAAGGTTTGTTAACAATTAAAGATGCACCTCCGACAATAGCCAATCTAATAGTAAAAAGTTTGTACTTAGTAAATTCTTCAACATGATTCCACATGCTTAATGATACATTAGTGTCAATAGCTGCTGGCATAATAACTTGATTCAAGTAGATATATTTGATAGGGTATTAAATTAATAATTCATTAGGCTCAAGTAAAATATGTTTGATGTATTCATCTTCTATGCACACATATCCACTTATCAATTAATCTTTGTATAGTATGTATTTACTCTATATTGAGTACTTCATAAATTAAATAAAATATTATGATTACTACTGAAATCAATTCAAAAGACCCTATTGTTAATATAGACTATCACGATTAATAATCAGATGAAAGAGAAAATAAAGTAAGGCATTTAATTAAGTAGAGTCCAAATGAATTTATTGTAGTGGAGGTTGAAAAACCACAAGAATAATCCGAATTGTAAGAGATCTATGAAGAATAATTAGACAAATAATAATTAAAGCTTAAGGAAATGGAGAGATAAGAAAGAATCAAAAAGTACTTTGTCAAGATCATTATCAACTAGAATACCAATCACTTTGAAAAGATAGCTCTCTACAATTAATGAATTGTCAGACTAATCCATTAATAATAGTTGTTCTCCTCAAATTGATATGGATCATCATCATACTAAAAAATAACAGAAAGATGTATGAATCAATAAACTAAATAGTTTTTATTTCAAATCTAGGAAGAAAATAAATAAACAGAACCTAGATAAGTTGATAAGTAAAAATAGCAAAAAAAGAAATTTAAAAAGAAAAAGAAGAAAAAGTAACTATCTCGTGAATTAACATAATCTTCTCTTCCTATTCCTGAGATAAAATATTAATAAAACATGAATTTTAAGTTTTATTTTAAAGATTAGAGAATAGATTGTAGTTGGAAATTATTATTTAGTTATTTTACAATAATAATTTTAAGTAATATCACACTTTAGACAATTGAAATAATAAGGTATTCTTAAAGTGTGTGTAAATTAATGGGAATCGATAATATGTTTGTATATGCTAATTAATTATTCTATATTTTGGGTAAAATTGGATTGCTTAGTTTAAATTATTAAGAATTTACAAATACTTTACCTACTAAATCAAAAATTCCGTTATTCAATGCAGTTATTTTTAGCTCAATTTTTGTTGTGTTATCAATGCCTTTATATGTTTTTGATTTTGTATTATGTTAACCTAGAAATAGATTGATAACACTTTAAGAAAGTCTTCATATATTAAGATTTTTTGATTGGGGAGTTATTTCAGTATTGTCAATAATTATTATAATGCATTCATGTCTAAAGATTACAATGAAGAAGAAAACTTGGAAAACATTGAAGTAATTCATTTCAAAATAAATAGAAAATTTCTTAAAGTGATATATTATCTGTTATTACTTCTTGTACATATATTACAAGTTTTGGTTACTGTGACATAATCTTTTTAATCCTATTTGCCTGCTATGATAATGGAAAATTTTTACCTATGTTTTTCTATATTTGCTATGATCTATTTATCAATAAGAAAATATTGTTTTCATCTTGAACCTTTTCAATTTACACATTAAAAATTATAAAATGAACCAATGATATTAATTTAAGATGAAAAGATAAATAATTGGGGATAAGAAGAGAAATTTTTAGATAATGACTCAATTAAATTGAGTAAAAGAATCAAATTGAGTCCTACATCAAGTTAATTCAATAGTCTTTAAATTACTCAAATTGGTTTTCTGGCTAAAAAAGACTGAACTTTTTTTATATATTTATTTATTTAAATTTATTGTCCCTCAAATGTTAATCTTAGCTGGAATGAAGTTAAAAGATTTATCAGAATAAACTTAATAGCTTCAAGAAAATATTAAACATTTAGATGTTTCTGTAATATCTTTTTTGTTATTTTAGAGTAATCTATTAAAGTCTGGAAAAGATTTTAATATGTTTCCAAATTTAGAAACCTTAATCATAGATAATAATTACTTTTTCAGATTAGATGATTTCCCAATATTACCAAATTTGATCACACTTAGTGCAAATAAAAATACATTCAATAATTTTGACATGTAAAATCAATATATATATATATAGGTTTATACAACATTGTAAAGAAAAGTTTCCAAAATTAACTCATCTAAGTTTAATAAAAAATCCTATATGTCCCATGTTTACTTAAGGAGAAGAAGAATATGTTAAGTATGATAAAATGTTATCAATAGTTATCGAGCTAAATTCATTCAGGAACTTCCTTTATTAAAGAATTTAGATGGTACTCCTGTAAATCCATAAGAAGCTGATCCTAATTTTTGGAAATAATAATAGTAAATGAAATAACAGCAAATATAAGTATAAATTTCTTTTTATTGTTTGTAGAATTATGATGAATAGAAGAGAGGAACAATAGATTATAATGCAAAATACTAAAAACCTAATAGTAAAACTGTAAAAACAAAAAGTGAAGGAAATAGATTTGTAAAAAATACACATTTATGATATTATGATAATCATTTATTTTTTTGATAATTTGATTGTAATAAAATAAATAATGAGATTATAATAAATTAATTAATTTTTTTTAATTAANAGTTATTTTTAGCTCAATTTTTGTTGTGTTATCAATGCCTTTATATGTTTTTGATTTTGTATTATGTTAACCTAGAAATAGATTGATAACACTTTAAGAAAGTCTTCATATATTAAGATTTTTTGATTGGGGAGTTATTTCAGTATTGTCAATAATTATTATAATGCATTCATGTCTAAAGATTACAATGAAGAAGAAAACTTGGAAAACATTGAAGTAATTCATTTCAAAATAAATAGAAAATTTCTTAAAGTGATATATTATCTGTTATTACTTCTTGTACATATATTACAAGTTTTGGTTACTGTGACATAATCTTTTTAATCCTATTTGCCTGCTATGATAATGGAAAATTTTTACCTATGTTTTTCTATATTTGCTATGATCTATTTATCAATAAGAAAATATTGTTTTCATCTTGAACCTTTTCAATTTACACATTAAAAATTATAAAATGAACCAATGATATTAATTTAAGATGAAAAGATAAATAATTGGGGATAAGAAGAGAAATTTTTAGATAATGACTCAATTAAATTGAGTAAAAGAATCAAATTGAGTCCTACATCAAGTTAATTCAATAGTCTTTAAATTACTCAAATTGGTTTTCTGGCTAAAAAAGACTGAACTTTTTTTATATATTTATTTATTTAAATTTATTGTCCCTCAAATGTTAATCTTAGCTGGAATGAAGTTAAAAGATTTATCAGAATAAACTTAATAGCTTCAAGAAAATATTAAACATTTAGATGTTTCTGTAATATCTTTTTTGTTATTTTAGAGTAATCTATTAAAGTCTGGAAAAGATTTTAATATGTTTCCAAATTTAGAAACCTTAATCATAGATAATAATTACTTTTTCAGATTAGATGATTTCCCAATATTACCAAATTTGATCACACTTAGTGCAAATAAAAATACATTCAATAATTTTGACATGTAAAATCAATATATATATATATAGGTTTATACAACATTGTAAAGAAAAGTTTCCAAAATTAACTCATCTAAGTTTAATAAAAAATCCTATATGTCCCATGTTTACTTAAGGAGAAGAAGAATATGTTAAGTATGATAAAATGTTATCAATAGTTATCGAGCTAAATTCATTCAGGAACTTCCTTTATTAAAGAATTTAGATGGTACTCCTGTAAATCCATAAGAAGCTGATCCTAATTTTTGGAAATAATAATAGTAAATGAAATAACAGCAAATATAAGTATAAATTTCTTTTTATTGTTTGTAGAATTATGATGAATAGAAGAGAGGAACAATAGATTATAATGCAAAATACTAAAAACCTAATAGTAAAACTGTAAAAACAAAAAGTGAAGGAAATAGATTTGTAAAAAATACACATTTATGATATTATGATAATCATTTATTTTTTTGATAATTTGATTGTAATAAAATAAATAATGAGATTATAATAAATTAATTAATTTTTTTTAATTAAAAAAAAAGGGTTGTCAACACGAGGACTTCCCAAGCGGTCCCCCACCTTAGTACTAACCTCGCCTTAAGCCGCTTAACTTCGGAGTTCGAATGGGATCCGGTGCTTTAGGCTTAGTATGGCCGACAACGATATTTACATCATTTACTATTATTTATAATATTGGATTAATATAAATTCACTAATCAGCATTGGTCTATAATTTGATATGTTTATGTATATGTTAATCTGGTGATGCTTCTTTTGAATCTTTTTTAGATTTGAATGTTTTCGATTCTTTTAAAGCAATGTTTTAGAAAAATGATTTAAATGTTAGATCTCGATATAATTATTCATAAAGATTAATTATATCACTATCAAGTAAAGATAATAATTTTAAGTCAGTGGCTCCTTTTTATGGTTTTACTTATATACTAACATAAGATTTAAAACCTTTTTATATTTTTATGATTTTCGAATCATCATCAAAATATTATTTTTATTTATTTTTTTTTATTTTCTCATCAACAAATAATATAGGTTTTTCAATGCTATTAAATAAGTTTAATTGATCATCATTAAGAAGTACATATTTTAATTTTTCAATTTCCATTAGTTTCTTAACTAAATAGGTTATATCTGTTTTTTTATTTAATCTAATTTCTGCTTGTTTTAATTAATTTTTTTTCTCTTTACTACATCCAAATAAAATTGAAATTGTTTATGTCCAAGTCAAATTTATACTAGCTTTTAAATTTTCTAAGTAAGTATAGATTCTAGAATTTTAAAGCAGTAAACTTTCATTAACATTAGCCCAACAATAAGAATTTGGACTTTCAATATTTTACAAATAAGCAGATTTTTGTATTACTTGTTCATTTTCTTATTAACAAATAATAAAATCATTTTAGAGTACTTTAAATCGAAAAATTTTATTTGTCAATTATAACAAATACAATAATCTATTGAGAGGCATTAATAAAATGTCAAAGAATATATAAATAATTACAATATATCCCCCAAATTTACTTAAAAATGTTGAAACTTTTGTGTAATTTATACTAACCTTAGTTTACTTATAATTCAAATCAATTTCTTAATTTATTACAATATCAGAAGGATCAAAAATGAGTACTTCCTTCTAATCTTATAATTATAAACGACTAGTAGATTCTTTTTATATATATATAAATGATTTATCCACAACACATTCAACTACTTTATATTATTATTTAATTTATCTTTAATAATTCTTTAAAATTTGAAAGTTTTAGCTTCTTAATATTGATTTAGTTAGATTTTAATAATTCTCTAATTGTAATAAATTATCAGTAAGATAGTAAGTATAATAAGATTGAAATAGTTATATTTTATTATTCTCTTCTGGAAAACAATCTTATCTTTCAGTGTTATTTTTACATATTGATAGTTTTATTGTCAAATAATGGTACGTATCAGATGAAATTATTCCTTACAAACTCTAAATATATTCTTCAAATATTACTGGTTTAAGAATATCAAACTAATTATTCTTTATACACATATAATTGCTTAAATTAGTTCCAACAAAGTATTTATTTAAGTCTTAATTCTAAAAGTTATTCTATTGACAAGGTACTGTTTCTAATTATGTACAACTAATAATCTAATCTATATTAGGATTTTACTTTTTAGAGTTTAGAATAGGATTTTAGAGATTATTTTTGATTTTTTTGCAGTATTAAATTGATAATGTAAAGTATCTCTCCATTTATTCTATTGGTATAAAATCTTTATTGTAAATTGCCAATGCTAATGTGAAATTAGATTAATCAAGAGGGTATTCCTTAATAAGATATTAAATATATAATACTTTATTTGTATCTAGTTCAATTTCAGATTGAATTACATTTGGTTTTTCTCTTTAAGTGAATTCCTACAGATCATATAAAAATAATGCAATTATTATGACCATTAATAAAATAGTAAATGTTGATCCAAAAAATGTGTTTACTGATTTAGCTTTTGTGATTGTTAGCTTAGGTTATATGCCAAAGATATTGAAGCTATTTACTATAAGCTTTTTGAAAAAGTTGGTGTATTTAGATGATAATTATCGAAAACCTAGCATTAATTTGTTCTTTATTTTATAAAATTTACTCTGGAAAATCCTTAACTTTCATTGTGTTATTAATAATACAAAATTATGTTTTTAAGTGATAAAAAGATGGTTAGAAAATATTAATAAATTAAAAATGAATTAGGAAAACAATTAGAATTATATAGAAAATTTAGAGGCTTATACTCATTAATTTTGCAGTCAATTAAGATCTAATGAAACTGTTACAATGTCAAGAGCAAAATATATGGTTTTATATAAGTATTATAAGTATTATTCATAATTTAAGTTGGACCTATGAATTTTAGAGTAATTAAATAATTAAATTAAAAACTATCTTTGAAGATTGGCTTTTAAAATATTTTGAGACCTAAATGATTCCAATATTAAAAAATTCTTAAGATTTTATTGAAACTTTTAATTTTGAATTAGGTCTATTTAAGAGTATTTTAAGGTATTTTTCAATACTTTTTAATAATTATGATACCATAAAAGGATCTTTATCACTTTATATTGTAGAAATAGGCTTGTTAAATTTTGACAAATATGTTTTGTCTCATGATTAAATTAAATTACGATATAAAGATTCATTAGTTAACATATTAAATTAAATAAGACTAAGCAATAATCCAAATAAGAAATAATAACTAAAAAATTTCATTGAAGTAATGAGATTATTACTATTTAAAGATATTGGATTTGAATATATGGGGATAAAATCAAAGATTGGAAATAATCAGTGTTGAGAAACAAGTCCTTATTAAAGCGAAATATAATTCTAAAAAAATGGCATCACTTCCAAATCCTCAATTGACATATGATACTTTTTTATATGATGCAGTGTAAGAAGGAACAAGAAAAATGTATTCAGAAATATCTCAAACTTGGATTTCTAGTGGATCGAGTAACTAGTATATAAAATTAGCAACATAATAAATGATTATTGAAGAATAATTATAGGATTAATTTTATAATAAGTTTTCAAGATCAAATAATATTTTTAAGACAATTATAAATGAATTACTTGAATTAAAAGTGGATTAAATTCTATAAAATCCTTAAGATGGATTATAATAGCAATTTATTTAATTGAAAAGCAGTGAAGATTTATCACCAATCACAAAGATTTATTAATTATTTAAGAAAACTTAAAATTATATTGAAAAATTATTAATAGAATTTTAAATATTTGTTAGAAATTAAATAACTTAAGTACTAACTGAATCTGAAGAAAACAGTTAATAATAATAAATAAAATAAGGATAATAACAATAAGCAAATAAAAATTTATAGATTCATTAAGCTTAAATTGATAATCTCTAAAAAATTTATGAATATTGCATAACATTAGTATAAATTTGTTTTGAAGATTCACATAGGTTTAGAAATCATATGGAATTAACATTTAAGGAAAAATTAAATTAAGCAGAAAGATTTTTGGATAAATTATCAATGTATATTAATGTTTCATTGAAAGATAAATTAAAAGAAACTAGTAATGAAGAGGATAGATAAAAGTTTGAAAAATTCAATAAGAATATTTTAGCTTTTATTTAATTAATTAATAGCAAAGGAAAATTATTTTAAAAAATTACAGATAATCTTAAAAATAGAATTTTTAAAGGAGAAATTAAGAATTAAGGATATGAGGAAGAATTTCTAAAATCATTAAGAAGAGGACATCCTGAACATTTGCCATCAGATTTATTAACAGTTTGGAAAGATTTTAAATATTATAGAAATTTAGATAATGAAGTATAGACATTATTATTTAATAAAAAAATATTATAAGGAACTAATGTATAATTTACTATTTTTACAAGAACAAATTCTTTAAAAGAATTTAATACATAAAATAGAAAAGATTAAGTGAAACCTCCATTAATGATTTAATAGGCAATTAATTTAATGGAACAGTTTTATTCGATAAAATAATAAACAGAAAAAAAATCATTGATTTGGAATTATAGAGTAGGATAATCAACAATTAATTATAGGTAATTATAATATTTTATATAGATTTGGACCATAAACCTAATAAGTAGGCAAGATTATTGTGTCTAATTTATAACTCTTTATTATTCTTTACTTAAAATAATATGGAGGAAGATCTAAACCAGAATTATTAAATGATACAGGTATTAGTTATGAAGAAGAATTAAGTTAATAAATGGAAAATCTAGTGGATTCAAGATTAATTGTTGAAATTGATGGAAAATTTTATTTATAAAAAGAGTAGACTAAATTAAAAATGCAAATAATTCCCAATAGACCAATTACATTAGTACCTAAGAAAGTTGCAGAAAATTCTGAGGATTAAATACTGTTGAAAAAAGAAAGAGATCTTAAAATATAATCATGTATAGTAAGATTGATGAAAACAAACAAAGTAATGTATTATCCATAAATATTTGCTGGAGTATAGAAAGGATTACTTGGTTATTATGATTTTTCTGCTTAAGATATATTAGCTTAAATTGATGAATTAATAAATTCTAATTACATTAAAAGAGATGAAAAGATTAATAACAAGTTTTAATATACACCTGTATGATAATAATAATCAAACATTATAACATTATTAAGATTTAATTTCTCTTTCTATATATCTAATCCATTAATCTAATGGTAATAATTCTGTATTCTCTCCTCTATGCTAATTATAATTATATGTTTTATTTACTCTCATTAATATTTTAGCACATATATCACTTAATTATTTATGTTTTTCAAAAGGGAATTTATAAATTNATTGAAAGATAAATTAAAAGAAACTAGTAATGAAGAGGATAGATAAAAGTTTGAAAAATTCAATAAGAATATTTTAGCTTTTATTTAATTAATTAATAGCAAAGGAAAATTATTTTAAAAAATTACAGATAATCTTAAAAATAGAATTTTTAAAGGAGAAATTAAGAATTAAGGATATGAGGAAGAATTTCTAAAATCATTAAGAAGAGGACATCCTGAACATTTGCCATCAGATTTATTAACAGTTTGGAAAGATTTTAAATATTATAGAAATTTAGATAATGAAGTATAGACATTATTATTTAATAAAAAAATATTATAAGGAACTAATGTATAATTTACTATTTTTACAAGAACAAATTCTTTAAAAGAATTTAATACATAAAATAGAAAAGATTAAGTGAAACCTCCATTAATGATTTAATAGGCAATTAATTTAATGGAACAGTTTTATTCGATAAAATAATAAACAGAAAAAAAATCATTGATTTGGAATTATAGAGTAGGATAATCAACAATTAATTATAGGTAATTATAATATTTTATATAGATTTGGACCATAAACCTAATAAGTAGGCAAGATTATTGTGTCTAATTTATAACTCTTTATTATTCTTTACTTAAAATAATATGGAGGAAGATCTAAACCAGAATTATTAAATGATACAGGTATTAGTTATGAAGAAGAATTAAGTTAATAAATGGAAAATCTAGTGGATTCAAGATTAATTGTTGAAATTGATGGAAAATTTTATTTATAAAAAGAGTAGACTAAATTAAAAATGCAAATAATTCCCAATAGACCAATTACATTAGTACCTAAGAAAGTTGCAGAAAATTCTGAGGATTAAATACTGTTGAAAAAAGAAAGAGATCTTAAAATATAATCATGTATAGTAAGATTGATGAAAACAAACAAAGTAATGTATTATCCATAAATATTTGCTGGAGTATAGAAAGGATTACTTGGTTATTATGATTTTTCTGCTTAAGATATATTAGCTTAAATTGATGAATTAATAAATTCTAATTACATTAAAAGAGATGAAAAGATTAATAACAAGTTTTAATATACACCTGTATGATAATAATAATCAAACATTATAACATTATTAAGATTTAATTTCTCTTTCTATATATCTAATCCATTAATCTAATGGTAATAATTCTGTATTCTCTCCTCTATGCTAATTATAATTATATGTTTTATTTACTCTCATTAATATTTTAGCACATATATCACTTAATTATTTATGTTTTTCAAAAGGGAATTTATAAATTTAATAAGCTTTACTACAAGCAGAAATAAATTTACAACCTTGTGTTTAAATCTAATTTTGTGACAATTCAAATTCTCTGATTAAATTTTCTAATAATTATACACTATTTAAAATCATATTTTAACAAATGACTATCTAATTTCCATTATTAAAAACAGGAAAATATTTATTCTGTATATTATCATAATCTAAGAAAATATTTCCTCTTGAACAATTATTGCTTTAAATTTCAAATATAAAAATAATACCTTATAACAATTTCTTTATTTTTGTAATTAGCAAATAATTTTTCTTGTTGAAATCTTTTTATATATTTTTCTATATCTTCATGAGATAAAGTATTTAATTTTTCTGTTAAGATTTAGTCTACCCAATTTATTGCAATAATTGAAGGATCACTTTTAGTTGGATCAAAAAATCTAGGCATTATTTTTAAAATAGGTTATTAAATAAAATGTTTATATTTTAAGTATAATTATAATTTTTATTAATATTATTTTTAATGGATCAATAATAAGGAGAAAATAAATTATCAAAAAAATAATAAAAGAAATTAGCCAAAAAGGAAAAATAAAGAGAATATTACAAAGAAAAGAAAATTCAAAAAAAATAAATTAGAAAATAATAAAAACAAGAATAAAAATCTAATATAGTAATAGATGATGATAATAAAATTCATAATCAAGAAAGATAACATAAAAAACCAAGAGAATAATATTAAGAAGAAATGAAGAATGGAATCAAAATTATTATTGATTTACAATTCATGAGTTAAATGACTATTCATGAAAAAACATCATTATATAAATAAATAGAACTTTGTCATTCAAATAATTTTAAATCAAAAAAACCTTTAAATCTTATTGTAACATCGTTAACAGAAGATTTTAAATAATTATTAAATAAAAGTAATGCTTCAAATTGGGGAATAGAATTAAATGAAAAACCATATATTGATTTATTTAAAAAAGAGGATTTAGTTTATCTTACAGGTGATACAGAAGATGTTATAGATGAACTTAATTAGGAAGAAGTATATATAATTGGTGGATTAGTTGATCATAATAGATTAAAATTAATAACATATAATAAAGCTATAGAACAAGGTATAAAAACTAAGAAGCTGCCAATAAATTTAAATTTAAAAACATCTTCAATATTAACAGTAAATTAGGTATTCGAAATATTATTAAGACGCAATAATGGAGAAGATTGGAATGATTCTGTATAAAATACAATACCAAAGCGAAAGCTTTTATGAATAAATCATATAATTATAAAGTTTAAATAAATATTTGTTTCATATTTAATTATTTAATAATTTTAATATTTTTTCATGAAGTTGATTGAGACTATTCACTATATTTTATTCTTATTACATCAAATTATGAATATCATATATATTAATATCTATTATTTCATCAGTTTAAATTCCAATTTCAATTGATTAGACTTAATTATTTAATAATTATTTATCTCTTTAATTTTATTAATCTCTATCTTAAATATGATTATCTTAAAGTTATTTATTAAAATATTATTGTTAATTAAGCTTAATATTTATTTTATGAATCAGAAATATTATTAATATTATTAATTTATGTCTCCATGACTTTCTTTATATTACAATTAGTATTTCTGTTTTTATCACTTTTTAATCCTTCTTAATCATCTTCAATATATACTATTTTATGTTTTTCGACTAATTTACAAAAATTCATTTTGATAGGTTTCTTTTTTATAGTAGAATTATATTGATTATTTTATTTTTAATAAGTTCTTTTATTTTAATTACTTTTTGATTCTTCAGGTTCTTTATTTGTAAAATTCATGTCTAAATTTATCAGAAAATCATTATGATCTTTATTGTCTTAAATTTCTATTTTCTGCTCATTTTCTATATTTCTTTATGTTAGTAATTTGTTATCAATCTTATTCTGTTTTTGTTATTATTTTTTGAATTTTAACTAAAGCATTTAAATAATATTAAACAATATTTAAGTCATCATCAATCAATTAAAGATTAATTTTATCCTTTTTATATTTATACAATTAAAATTTCTAAATGTCATAACTTTATTATCAAAAGATTGATTACAAAATTTAAAATATTATAATAACAAAATTTCAATATTTTTTTTTTCTTATTAATATTATCTAAAATTCATAGTCTAAAATTGCTATTAGATTACTTTCAGATTCTATTTCTATTTTCAATATTGGATAATCAACTTCTAAACTTTAAATCATTTTACACGTTTTTAGACTTATTATATCTAATGATGGCTTAAATGTAGACATTAACAAAGTATTATTGTATATATCATATGAAGATAATGATATTTTTCTTGAATCTATTACTCTTAACAAATGATAACTACTCATATTCCAAATTTTAATTGAATAATCTCTTGCCTATGTCACAATTATTAAATCCTTATCTATACCATCTATAGATAATTAGCCTTATTGATTGGCATTCCATTACTTAATTGATTTCTAAGATTTTATTGAAAATATTAAAACAAACCCTCTTTTTTAAATGATTGCAAGAAAAGTTTACTTTTTGAAAAAACAATAATCTTCAACCTATTAATTAGATTCATAGAGAATAGTTTATTACAATTAATCTTTACTTAATTATCTAATTTATTAATCATTATGTAATATTCCAATTTAAGTAGTATTATTTGATAATTTAATCTTCTTAATCTATTGTTCATAGCTTAATTCATACAACATAGAAAATCCACATTATGTTTCTATACTCCAAATTTAAACCTATTTATCTAAAAAACCATAAGCTACTAAATCATTTAAATTTTATATAATCAACAATTCATTTACTTTCTTTTAATCAAAAAAATGTTCAAAAACTGCCTATCTTTTTGAAATACTCCAAATTTTAACATGTTATTCAGATTTCGAAAATCCAACTATCAAATCAGCATTTATTATTTAGATTTTTTCAACAGTCAATTATTAAGCTGTAATAACTTCAAATATTTCAAATAATAGGCACTTCTTATCATGTTTGAACATAGTATTGATCATTCAATATACACTAAATGATAATCCTGTAAATATTAATGACGAATATATTATCATTTTAAATTTTATCTCAATATAAATTTATATTAAATTTCATTTAAAGTTTTATAATTATTTTGTCAATTCTTCAACTTTATTATGAACTTTAGTTAAATACTGAATTATTTCTTTCTCAATTTAAATATACTTATTTAAATCATCTTAAACCTTTAATTTATCAGATTTTAGAATACTTTCATTATCATCAAGTAACTAATCAAATCTCAGTTTTTTTCTTTTTATTTTTTAATTTATTTTCTCATTATAACGTACTAATTCATTTTTATGTTTATTTTTATCTCCATAATCTGATGATTACTCTGAACATTTATGAATTGAATCTTAATCTTGTATTTGATTGCTTTATGGAATACTTATTGTAGAATTATTTATTAATGAATTATTAATTATTGGATTATTTATTATAGGATTACTTATTATAGGATTACTTTATTCTTGACATTAATCTATTATTATTCGTTTTGATTATTAAAATGATGTATATTTTGATGGATCACTATCTTCAGTTTAAATATTGATTTTAGATATATCTTATTTTTGAAATTTCTTTAATTTCATTACATTTTATATGTAAGCTTATTCAAGCCAATTCTATACAGATTTATGTTAAGAGTTCTAATTTTCATGTGTGTTTTTTTTATTTTTCATGATTATTAAAATAAAAAACTTTATGTTGTTGATTTATTCTCATTGATAATAATTACAATACTAAATTTATTAAATTAAAAATCATTTAAGAATATAGATTTCATTTTGAATATAAACTTAATTTTGTTTGAACATATTCATCATTTGGATCAATTTATGCAGCAATTTTATAAAAATCTAAGAAATCTTCTAAACCTATTTCTTCCATAATAACTGCTTTAAATTTTAAACATGTAAAATCTTTTGAATTTTCTTTCAATGCAAAATTATAGTATTTTAAAGACTCTTCCAACATTCCCAACATTCTTAAGCAATCAGCTTTACCAAATAATGAATTAAAATGTTTTATGTCAGCTTTTAATGCTTTATCATATAATAAAATAGCATCTTCATATCTTTCCATTGCTCTTAGTGCTTCACCTATTAAATATTAATGTAAATTTAACCTTTTCCAAAATTATATTCTAATTTTTCATCTGAATCAAATTTCATACATCTATCATATTCTGCAATAGATTTTTCATATGCCTCAATATTTCTTAAAGCTTCAGCCTTAAAAAATATTGTTTCAATATTGGTTGAACAAATCTCAAGCGACTTATCAAATAACTTTATAGCCTCATTAAATTAACCTTTTTTGCATAACTCAAAGCCTAAATTATAGATTTTTTTATTAAACCTTAATCAAAAAATTGTTTTGATTCATTTTATTTGATTGATGATGGTGATGCAATTACTTATATATGGTTATTATTTCCTTGATTTTCTTATGAATTTAATTTGTAAAGAGAATTAAGAATCTGGGATAGTCTTCCTACTTATTCCTAAATAATAATTTAAATAAATTCTTACTGTATAATCAAAAGAATGAATCTTTTTGAAAAATAAACCAAGATCTTCGATAGTCTTATAACTAACAGATTTTCTATAATTTTCTATTGGGACAATTAATGTTTGAACAGAATGATTGATATACTTGATAGCTGCTTAAATCTCATATTCCATCCTTCTTAAGATTGATATCATATTCAATTATGAGGTTTCAATTGATACAATTTATTGCTCAATTAAGTTTAGTTCTTTGAGATCTTGATTATGGTCTTTATGTTATTCCTATTTGCATAATTAACAGGATGCAGTTCTGAAGGGACATTTAAGATTTAAACAAAGAGACAGAATTTATTGATTTTCATGTCCAGAGACTGTGCAATTAACGATGTTTTATTTCATATTTTATTTTCTTTATAAAAAATTAAATTAATATTAATTAAGAATAATTTATTTGGCAATTATCCTCATTTATATAAATTCTAAAAGAGAGTATAAAAAACACTTATTAATACTTAATTTAATAATAATTAAAAATATATGTTCTTTCTAGATATTTGTATTACTTATTTATTTATAAAATGAATTCTTTTTGATTTTCTGTTGAATATAATATATTGATTGATTCTTTCATTTATTTAGATAATAAAACAATATAAAAATAATAATAATATAAAATATAAACAAAAACTTTTAAGGTCTTATTTATAGAATCATTATATATCTTTTAAGAATGCAGGTTATCTGAATCCATTTTGAACAAGAAAATTTTTAAATAATTAAGAAGCTTATAGATTAGATAACTTAAGTTATAAATTATTAAGTTATTAACCATTCTTTAGCATATATTCTTAATCTCTTTCTTATAATTTCAGTTTAATTTTCTCTTGAAGATCTTTCATTTTCAATTTTTAATCTGTCAAATTCTAAAGTTCTGGTTTAACACCTTATAGAGTTCTTACACGATTTCCTTCTAAACTAATTTTATTTAGTTTTTAATAAGATAAATCTGTGAGAAGATGTTTAATAACTTTTTTATGTTATTCATCATTGGCTTTCTTTTAAAAATTAACAATATTATTCAATTTATTAAGGCTAGTAGATGTCTTAAAAAAGTTTTTATTGTCATTATTTATCAAACTATCACTTTTAACTAGAGATAGGGTACTTGATTTTTCAGTTCTTAAAGGTTTAGAATGATTATGTTTTGATAGATAATTATCTTTGGACAGTATTTTTTACAATCGGAACTGTGATCCTTATGAATTTAACAGATTATTCAAAGCTTTTGCATTCTATCTATTTTATACATTTGACATTCTTAATAAAATTAATGTTAAGAAGAGATAGTACATTAAGTAAATAATCTCTTGAAGATGAGAACTAGATGAAAATAGAGAGTGAAGTTTTGAAAATAGTTCAGATATTAAGCATGGAATCTTAAGAAAGAACTTTAATGTAATTGAATTATGTTGCAAGAAGATTAGAACGATCATTTACATATTTCAAGTATTATATAAAAATCAATATAGAAAATTAAAATCTTAGTTGAGAGAAGACATACTCCTTAAATTAATAAAGTCATTATTTATAGAGAGGTTCTAATAATATGAGACAGTCTTTAATTAAGGAGAAACAGGACGAAAAATGTATTTTGTTTTAGAAGGGGAAGTGTCAATACTTGTTAAAAATTAGGATCAGATTGACTCTACTATCAATTCGAAAAAATGTAATAGGAGTCTTATATATATATAGGTAAATTGAAAAAATTTGAAGATGTTTTAGCTATTCGTTATCCAAATTTTAGATAAGTAGCTACCAAAAAGTAGTTTGATTATTTTGGAGAAATAGCAATAGAATAAAGAATTCCTAGGACTGCTACTGTGATTGCTAAGGAATCTACAACTTTGGCAGTGTTGACTTATGAATCTTATTAAAAACTTTTAAGAGATATTACATAAGAAGCTATCACAATAAGATCAGAGCTTATTGCTTAAATATATCCTTTTGATTAATTAAATGAAACTTCATTGCAACAATTATTACATGATTATGAAGAAATTAATCTAAATGGAGGAGCATTATTATTTAAAAGAATGTAGAAAGCAGATTGTCTATATTTAATAATCTCAGGAGAAGTCTTAGTATAAAAATGGGAAGCAGTAAAAAATAAAGAGGAATCTGAGGAAGAAAATATAATAGAAACTAATATGTTAAATAAATCAAGCAAAGTTTTAGTTAATTTAGGTGTATTTGGTAGAGGATAAATGATTGGTGATTTTGAATAGTTTTTAAATTTAAAATAACCAACACCATTATTAAGATGCACTTAAGGAGTTGTTTAAAATTAGGCTAAAATATTTAGAATTTGGTAAAGTTAATTTAATGAAATTATTAGACATACATTAGGTATGAATTGGTATTCAAATTATTTAAATGAAAAATATTAATAAAAATAGAATCATAGTATTCCTAAAATCAAATTAACAAATAGAACTATTAGAACATAATCAAATATAACTATTTTAAATGGAATCAAAGATCCATCTTATATTAAAATATCAAGTGATAGATATAAAATTATATAAAATGTTGATGAAAAATTACCTACTGTTCCAAAATAATCTCCTAAAAGAAAATTATAATTGACTATCGATTATAAAGATAAAAATAATCTTAAATATTATAATGCTGTTACTCCTAATCTATAAAATAAACCTTAATTAAATACTAATTAAAATTTTTCAATGAAATTCTTTGCAACTTCATTGAAATAAAGAATCTTAGATTAAAAAAATGAAGAAAATAGTTTAAATTTTGGATCTACTAAGTATTTAAAAACTGAGCCTTCTAGTGAGTTAAATATACCATCATGCAATACAATTCTATTATCTCCTAGATATTCTAAACTTTTTAAAAAAGAAACTAGTTTTCATCGAATCAAATCTTGATTTTATTTTAATAACAATAATTGTTTAATTTCAATAGAATAATATTATTATTGATTTATATAATTAATCTCTCTTCTATATCTTAAAGTAATTAAAATATCAATCTTTAATTCTTTATTTTATTTATTTAATGTATTAAAAAATTTTTTTACTTTAATATTAATTTAAAAAATTAATGGAAAATCAGAATTTTTTTTATTTATTTATAGCTTTTAATCAAATTTAGAGATCTTATCTCTTTTTTTTATAATTTATAATCATATTGTCATTTTTTTCATTAATTTATTTAATGGAAGATTTCTTATACATAAATCAGCTTTATCATCTGAAATTTAATCAAGATCATCGAATTCATTATATTTTTCATTATTAATTCCTTATATTTAATTAGTTATTGTAAATCTCTGTTCTGATCTGTTTCTTTAATGTTTTCTATAATCATATTTCTACCATTTTTAAGTTTAGCTCTTCTATCTTTTTTTTGTTTATTTTCCAATTTAGAGATAATTATAATGCAAATCATCATCTTCAGATGTTTCTTTAGGTTGAAACCTATCTGTTTATCGCTTTCTTTATTATCTTTCTTATTCTTCTTCAATTATCTATCTCCTTATTTGAGTTCTAGGTTCATATTATTAGATCATAGAGGAACTACTAATTGAAGGAATAACTCTTTTTTCTTGAGAAGCATTTTTCTTCTTATTTTACTCCATTCTGTTCCAATAAAAAAATGAAAGAATCATTAAAGTGAATGGATTGTATAAACTTGTTTTACAAAATTAAATTTAATATAAGACTATGGATTTAAAATAATATTAATAATTAGAATTAATATTATTTTATTAATCTTCAATCAGAAATTTTAATGGCTTTATAATCTTCTTATTTATAGGTTTAATAAAAAATATGATTTAGGATTAATTGAAATTATATTGTTGTAATTTATTTTCTTAGTAAATAGTTATAATGAAATGTAAAATTCGAATTGAAAAAAGATCATAAAATTTTTGAAGCTTAATTTATTTAGTGAATATTAATTAATAAAATAAAATGACAAATAGACATTTAATTTTCTTTAACTTAAATAAAAAGGTAACAGATAACTCATATCGATCAGATTAAATTTTAAAGACTTCTGTTTCTGAGAATGATAAAACACCTAAAGATTAGATTATAAAATAATTTGTAGAATAATCTAAACAAAGATTATGTAAGCAGATATAACAAATTTAATAGAAACATCATAATTTTTAGAGAGACGTAATAAATCTAATTCAAATGCATTGAAATCCATTTTATAATCTTAACAACATTGTGAATTTATTAAACTTCAAAGTCCAAAGTCTAATAAATGTAGTTAAACTATATTCTAAAAACTTATTAATTCTTAAGATAATGTATCAAAAAGACATCAAATTTTAGAAATTGAAAGAAATTTCACAAAAAGTATTAATAATGAAAACAGAAGTGAATATTTATAAAAAATGGAAGGTTTTATAAAAGACCTTTTATTTGAGGAGTTTAGAGAATTATCATTTCTATTTAATTCTTTTATCAAAGAGATGTAATTTAATTTAGCAGAACAGCAAACCTAATTAATGTATAATTAGAGATAATAAGAAAAAGTAAATTTGGATAATATTTCGACATAAAAATAATAATTTTTAGAAAAGATCACTAATTTAGAATTGATTATTAGTTCAAAAGATAAAAAATTAAATGAATTAAAGGAGAATAATTTAAAATTTGAGAAAGATATATCAGAATTGATTAATAGGAATAGTACATTAATATAGAAAGTAGAATAAAGAAATAAAATAATAAATAAAAATGATAAAATGATAAAGTAATAAGAATCTGAAATTTCTATTTTACGATAGAAAATATAATGTTATGAGAATAAATTACATTAGAGTTATGAAACTATTTCATAATTAAATCTTTTATAAAATAATAAATAATCTAATAATTATCTATTAAATAGATAATCAACTACTTAATTAAATCGATAATAAACTTCCTTTATAAATCGTCAATAGACTATATCATTAAATAGACAATAAACAGTTTAGACTCATTCTCCTAAACTTTTAGATACTGAAGATTAAAATGATAGTCCTTTAAGTGATACTTTAAATGAATAATAATAATAAGAAGAAGAATAATTAAATTAATTGGAAATTAATTTTGAAAGAATTATAAAATAAGCATAAAAAGAATAATAAGTTGAAATAGATTTACTTCCATTTTATACAAAGGAAATTGAAATTTAAACAGAATTAACATTGATTGATTCTTAATTTGATATAATTTAATAATCTAATATAAGTAATGCTGTTAAATACACAGAATTTATTGAAAAAGTAGGTAGAAAAGGATCAGAAGAAAGTTTAATAGATTAAATTATTGATGAAACATATGATTAATTGGATGTAACTTAAAATCATAAAAAAAATATTGAAATGAATAAATCTTAATTCTCAATGATCAAATCAGGTTATTCATAAAATGGATAAAATACATAATAATAAATGCCTACTCTAACTAGATGTGATTCAAATATCATAAATAATTAAGTGCCACTTAAAAAAGATCCTAAATCAAAATAAGTCTTATCTTTTATTACCTTTTTGAAGACTAGGATGTAATAATAGGAATAGGAATTACATTATAATAATGAATAAATTACTCAATATGAATTAAATATCTAGAATGTAAATATGTAAATGGATGAATTATAAAAAGAAAATGAACGATTGTAAATTTAATTAGCATAGATGAATTCTAAAATTCAATTATCTCAATTATCTCAAAGCCAATCAGAACTTAAATAGTAAGAAGATGATGTACATTAATCATAAGATTCATTAGTAGTTAATAGTTAGAAACGTTTATCTGTCTTAGTCAAACAAGGAACATTTAAAGAAACAAAAAAGTAAAGAAAGGCACCTTAATTAGGTTAAAAAGTTGTAATTTCATATGATTTTTAAAAAGATTAATCTAAAAAGATAATAGAAAAGTTAAAAAATAAATAAATGCAGAAATTTAACAATTTTATGCCTATAAAATTAGTGTTGAAATACATAACTACATTGTACAATGAAAAATTACAGAGTTAGAAAGAGTACAAACAGATAAGAGATCAAGATATGGGTTCATATATATATAATTATTATTTATAATAATTTGGATTTACAAAAGTTACTGAATAAAAGTATTAAGTATTGCTTTTATCAGTTAAAAAAAATATAAAGATAGTTAGAATTAATATGTTTGCAAGATTTATGGGACTATTGGAATAGAATGTTAATTATACTATTGAAGAATAATAGAAATATTTAGAGGCTTGGGATTTTATGAATAATTAATAGAATTTAGGTTAAAGTTTAAAAGATAATGAATCAGAGATGAAGATGTATGTACCTTTTGTTAGGGCTTTGTCATATGTTGGATAATTAATATTTAGTCCATAAAATGAAGAATTATTTTCATTAAAACATGAAATAGAGTAATTGAAGGAAAATGATCCTAAAAATATCAATAAATAAGGAATAATTGATTTTGATTTGATGATGATCAAAGTACTATAAGTATTTAGAAATACAGTTGAAAAAACAAAGTTATATGTAATTAATGCTTTTGCAGCAAGTGATTTGGATGGGAATGGGATGTGCAATTTGGATGAATTTTTAATTTTAAATAAATATATAGAAGCAGATAAATATGATGAGGATAAGTGGATTGAGATATTTGAAGATAATGCAGATATTATTACAGAAGAGGAAAGAGCATTATCTTTTGAAAGATTTTCTATTTTGTGTATGGAATACAATTTGTTTAGTGATCAAGCATAGAATAAATTCCTATAAATCAAACGTAAATATTAAATATTATTATAGATAATAATGATTGTTAAGTGAAATTTGAATAGCTTAGAGAATAATGGCCAAAAGATTTTATAAATTTTAATTAGAAATTATAAAATGCTTAAATTGATGAACATTATAAAGAATAATGGTCAAAAATATTAGAAGTGTTGAATTAAAAAATTTTAGAAAATCCTGAGTAAAAGAAACCTCTTTTAATTGCTTACAAAATCTTTCTAAATGAAAGTAAGGTTAATAAGACTTAATGATCAATTTTATTATATAAATATTAAAAAATGGGAAATCAATGTACATCTGGTGACAATGATCCATATATAAATACCACAAAGGCTATTATAATAAATGAAGAGTTCATTGAAGGATAAAGACCTATGATAAGTTAAGAACATAGTAAATTCAACGATGACGATGCCATTGTACAATATGAATAAATAATGTCAAGGATGTCGTCATTATGGCTGATACAAATTATGGCAGAAAGTCTTTGAGTTAGAATTATATGAAGTAGGCCAACTATGTTCTTTAAGACAATATTCAATTGAAGCTCTATTATTGTGTAATTTGATTAAATAATTTAGGGATTGCCTATTTAAGGTACTTAAGCAGTATTATTGTCTATTTAAACTAAAAATCAAACTATAACTACTAGATAAGGAATTGATTTAGTAATTAACAATTAAACCATTAGATCTGTTTGATTGATCATAGTGGAAGTATGAGTGGAGAAAAGATGAATTTAGTAAAGAAATCTTTAAAGCATTTATTAAGGATGCTATAACCTCATGATAGATTGTGTTTAATAGAATTTGATGATCAAAATTATAGATTGACTAGATTGATGAAAGTAACATAAGAGAATATGTACAAATTTATGATTGCTATTGATACCATAGAAGCTAATGGATCAACAGATATTGGAAATGCAATGAAAATGGCATTATCTATCTTAAAACATAGAAGATTCAAAAATCCTATAGCATCAATATTTTTATTATCTGATGGTGAAGATGAGGGAGCAGCAGGAAGAGTGTGGAATGATATATAATCAAAGAATATTAAGGAACCATTTACAATCAATACTTTCGGTTTTGGTAGAGATTGTTGTCCAAAAATTATGTCTGAAATTGCTCATTTTAAAGAAGGTTAATTTTATTATATTTCTGATATCTAAAAAATAGATGAATGTTTTTTTGAAGCATTGGGAGGTTAAGCATCAGTTATTGCATTTAATACTCATATTACTATATCATGCAAAAAAAATACAATTAAAAAAGTTTATGGTGATAAATGGACATTAAATTTATAAGAATAAACATTTTCTATATATTAACCATAATTATAATTTGGAGTGAGAAAAGATTTTATAGTTGAGACAGCTGTTCCATTAGGAATGATGGATGAAATCATAACTGTAAAAATGTATACTGATTCAGTTGAAACTGGTGAAAGATTTACTATTGAATAGTTTATTAATATATTACCTAATTTAGTAGCTGAATAAATTGTATTTTAGTATTTAAATATATTTTATCATTAGGGAAGTAATGTCTCATTATTATAGAGTTTAATCTGCTGAAATTTTCAGAAATGCACTTAATTTTTGCTATAATTTATAATACTAATAGGCTTAATAAAGCATTATTGCATTACAATAATAAATCTATTAAATGAATCTAAATAATCCTATGGTTAATTTAGTTTATTTAGATTTACAGTCAGGTTTAAGATATTGTGATTAAATGTAGAAATCTTAATAATTTTAGGTTTTTTAATTAAGAGGGTAGACATTATCTAACTTAATTATACATGATCCACATGTATTAATAACCAAGAGGCATTGAGATTGTATCCAACGATCCAAAAATGCAAGTGACATGCGTTTATTAGAATGAATTGCAAAGACAATACATTCTTTAATTAAGACAAACAAAGATGAATAATCCTGATTAATATTAATATTGAAACAAATAAAAAACAAATAATTATCTTTTAATGGTATTTATAATTTTAATTCATTTTTTTGTTTATTTTTTTTTTGATTTCTAATTATCATTTACTTAAATACTTTCCTTTTATATATCATTATTATTTATTTTTGATTTTGTATTTTTAACTTTTTATGATTATGATTTAGTTTATTTTTATTGTTATATTTGTTCATCTTCATCAGAATTTATGTTTTAATTAATCTAGTTCTTTTCTGATTATTATTTGAGTTGTTGTTGATGTTTTACAACTGGTTATATTGATTCAGACTCTATATCATCAAAATGATAATCTTTTCCTGATTTTACAGATTTATCATCAAACTAAAATTCTAATTATTTTAAGTACTTTTTCAGATTTCTTTCTCTTTTTATCATTCATTATTATACCATTTTTATTGTTATAATCTTTTATATCGTTCTCATATTTACTTTTTGCTTCATTATATTAATCAATGTAAGGCTAAAATATAATAAGAATTTTTTACTTGTTTCTCTTCCTCACTCATAGAATTCCATTTTTATCCAGCCATTTATGAAATTTGAGTCAATTTTACTTCTAATTAATTATTATTCAAATCAATACCTGGATTTCTTTCCAATACTTTTTCACGATACTTCTAACTAAATAAGAAGAAAGCTGTTAGAGGTCTCTTAGGAGCATTAGGATCTCGTTCTTTTTTTTGTTCAGATTTATCATTACGAATTTCAATCATATGTTATCCTTTCAAAAATTATTAGCAAAATTAATCCATATGAGCAAAAAATATCTAAAATTTCTTAGCTATCTCTAAACTCTAAATTATAATTATGTATTTATTTACAAACTGTTTGTCCTCCATTTTTTTGAAAAAATGATTTTATTAAAAAAAATAATATGTAACCTTGTATTATTAATTGTTAAAAATAAGAATTATATTAATTGCTTAACATAATTCCACCTAGTTAAATTAACCATAAATCTATTTAGAATTCCATCTTATTTATATATTTCATTATCTTTCTAAATATATTTTAATTCTAAATCATCTTTTCTCAAGTATGACAATAACAAATATGTATTTATTGCTATGTCCAAAAATCTAAAATCAATTAATAAACAATTAATATATTAATAAATCAAATGGGTGTTTGTTAGTCTTAAAAGAATTCATCAAATTTGAAAAGAAGTGGAGCCTAATAGTTTATCTTCATTGATTTTGACAAATTAAAGAAATATAATGAGGAACGACAGAACCTTGACAAAAACAATTGTCAATAACAATCCTTCTGTTAAATTATTTGCTTGGATAATAATAATAATAATAAAAGCTCTAATCCTCAAACTTAAACTTACAATAATGTTTAGACCTAATAAATTGAAATTAAAAAAGAGTGATTTCTTTATTTTTATTTAATCCACTCAAATATATGAACTCTTTATTATTTACAATATGACAATGAAAATATCTTTCATTTAAAATTAGTCATTGAAGTCCCAAATATAAAATATATCAAAAATTCAATTCAAGAAGCCCAAACTGTTTGATTTGAATATAATAAAAAGATGTATGTTCGAGAAACATTTACCCATCTTATGAAAATTTATTACATCAAATAAGAATTTCCAATTCTTAAAAATGACTTTCAACCATAAATTTGTTGAAATCACTTCATTCTTTTGGACTCTTACAATAACCCGAGCAGAATAGATAATGAAATTTATGATAATTTTGTTTTGTCTCATATTGAATATAAGACATTGTGATCATAGATGCTTCTGAATTAAAAAATATTTATATATACATATTTCAACTTTAAAAAAGATATCATAGATAAATTAAAAATAAAAGGAATAGGAGTGGAGTGGATTTTTTTATATTTTTTTTTTAAATATTTAGAAAAATATATATTATTTTTGGATTTTAATATTATACGTCAATAATGCACTTTCTAGAAGTTTTATATATTAAAATAAAAAAATTAATGATTTTATAATATTATTTATATAAAGTGATTATAATACAATTCTTAAATTATTGAAATAATTATATTACAAATTTACCAATAAAATAGATGAACAAAAAATTAATACAAAATAACTATTAATTAGTATCATCAATTTTTTCTAGAATTCTGATGTGCTTTATACATATCCAGAACTTATTCCCAAGTTTATAATTTAGCAAGCAAGTATGTTTTTAAATTTTTCCTAAAAATAATAATCTAATTAATACTAATTATATTCTCGAATATCTTCCATACCAACCATTCCATTAAGATATTTTGCTAAAAAAAGTAATTACTTATCTAGTTTATTATCATAAAATGGAATAATTGGAATACCATTATCAAGTTAGAAATAGTAACTTATTGCAGAATTATCAACTAGAACAGTTTTAGAAAGTGGCCGATTTTTGATAATAGATAAATCCTTAACATATTAGCCTTGATCAGAAAAACAACAATGTTCTCTTGATAAAACTCGAGATATGATTTTCTTTGGATCAATATATTCGACAATCTATATAAGAGAATAAGTTTTACTCGTTTTGCATATTAGCCATGTGAGGCAGTAAATACTATAATTTCAAAATTAGGTTCTAATAATTCGAGCATAATTTATAAACCAGGTCGAACAGAAACGCCTACTTAAAATGTTTCATCTTAAGAAAGTTTGATGATAAGCTTTTTATCACAAGGCAATTTCAAATCTAAAGAACAATGTACCAAAGTTTCATCCAAATCAAGTAGCACTGTATACTTTTTATTATCTAATTTAATAATATTAAGAATTACCTTTAGGATCCTTAGGGATTATCACTGGTTTTGGTTTGTAAATTATCTTAGAATTAATACATTATTTAAATGCCATGAAGCTTGATTAAAAATGATCTTTGAAAAGTCTGTTAAAATAGTTCTCTTTACTTTCAAAAGCAGTGACAACATCAGAAATATAATAAATTTAATTAGTATCATGAATGCTTGTATTTTGAATTATTCTTGGAGAATCTTTCATAGAGAATGCATCACTATTTTATTTAGTAATTGGTCTATATATTAATTTTGGTGCTGTTTATTTTCTACTTAATATTCTTTGATTATCAGGAATGTTTTGTTTTTCAAAAGTATCATTAGGTTCTGTTTTTTGAATGAAATTTTATTTAATAACTCGAGATACATTCTTTAAAGTGAGTACTCTACTAGGAGTAACTTAATATATTTTATCAATAGACATTGAATTCTCTGTTTGATTGTTTCTTTAAGTTTTTAGTATATCATATCGTAAATTAATGGAATCAGTTCTCTTAGGTTAACGAGCAGTTAATTATGGCTGTAGAAATCTAAGATTTGGTGAACTCTTTTGATGTCCTCTCATTTTTTATTTTTATTTTATTAATTTTACCCTATCATACAAAACTATTCAAAAATCAAGGTATGTCACTGCTGCACTGATCTCTATTAAATCAAATGGTTTTGAAATGAAATAATCCATACCATTTCTAAAACATTCTAATTTACTATTTAAATCAACTACTGTAGCTGTGGCAATTGCAAATCCTTTATCCATATTACCCATTTACATCATTTATTTAATTTATTATACAAAATCTCCTCCTCTTAAAATCTATAATATATATAATTTAAATTACTGGAATATTCAAATCTATTATATATAATAAATAGAATCGATTGCCACAATGACATGGTTATCTTTTCTTTGTTTCAATTATTTCCATAGCTTATACTCCAGAAAAACAATAATCACATTTAATATCATATTTCTAAAGTACTTACTATAAGACAATAACTGAAAATGGATCATTGTCTAAAAGAAGTACTTTTGAACAACAATTATTTCTTAATCTATATTTAATAACATGAGTTAACAATTTAGGATAGAAATCTGGTAATCTTACTTAATTAGCTGCTTATTCTGTTTAACCAAAATCAATAAGTGTAAAAGTCTATTGAGATTCATGAGGAGATTCAATTTTTCCTACAACACTCAAATTATTTTTATTAAGAATACGAGTAATTTATTAAATACTATCTGATTATATCTATTATTTTAATGTTCCTGAAAAGCTTCCACTATGTTCTCTTGATTATTTTTGAATTGTGCCACTATTAGGAAAAGCTTTAGAATTTGATGTTTCTTATCGAATCTTGGATAGTTACGAAAAATATGCACTCTATAAATCTAATGGATCTGTAGGTTTATAGGAAAATTATTTTGATAATTGAGTAAACGACAATAATTTAGATTCACCTCCTCCTGGATTATTTGAATTCATATTTTCTTATAATAATAAAGATAAGGATGTTTCAAAGTATTTTTTTTTACCAAGAATTTTTATAGGTCCTGAATCTGCTGCTGAATTTTAATATTTCATTTAAGAATTCTGTGATTCAATTACAAATGTGAATGTACAAAATCCTTAATTATCAATTAAGAATTCAAGTCCTCTTTTAAATGAACCTGCTAATTACCAACAAAGAAGTATGCTCATTTATAATTCTAATGGATTTGTAAAATCTAATTCATTTACAGCCTTCTAACTTTTTAATTATTAATTTAAAATTTTAGTTAGATTTATTATTCTTTATTTAGTTAATTCATCAAAATCAGATTTTGTATCTTTGATTGTAATCATCACTCCTTATAAAGTATAACTTTTTATCTCTAACTTAATAGAACTTTATGATGATGATTATAGAAAATAATAAAGTAAACAAGATATTATTTATTTAATCTAATTTAATTAAAAAATATATTACTCTTTCTGCATCACTAAAAATGATTGCATTTCCATCTTATAAATCTACATTACTTGTCAATTTAATTTATTTTAATTGTAATACAGGTTCAAAATTTAAAAGTAATTCATCAAGTAAATCTTCCATTTTAATGGCATTCATCTTAAAAAATAATTAATTTTTTAGATAAAATATATAATCTTTCATTGAATATAAAAAATATGTGTATCTTTAACTAGAATATCTCATATTTTATAAACTATTAAAAATATATTCATTTTTTTAATTGTTTATTTAATTCTATGATTAATATATTGATTACATTGCTATTTTATTCATTGTTTTATTAATCAATATGATGTATGAGTATTAATATATAAGTAAGTATGCAATTAACATAGTTAATAGATTCATGTGAATAAGTTAAATAAATATTTTATAAAACTAAACTAGTTTCTTAATTATGTATTTTTGGAGGAATTGGAATATGTTCTAAACTAAATAGAATAAATTTATGATTTTCTATTTGATTAACAAATAATTTAATTTGAATTCCATCTAAATCTAAAAAATCATTTTTCACTTTAAAAATAGTTAGAGTAAAAAATCTCCATCTTTATAATAATATATTTATAATACTTTTCAAAATCTTTGATTAAAAAGTTTGATAGATCTCTAATTGAAAATTAACCTTTAATTTTACATTTATGTATTTCATTTAAATTATTTAATAAAAATGAACCACTAAATATTATTTAATATACTTACTCACTAAATATAGAATCACTAAATCCTGATTATCCTAATAATTCATTTATCTCTTTGCTTCCAATTATTATAGTCGATTCCAAAAATGTAGTTTCACAATCTAATTTGTCAACAATGTTCTTCTATAACTTTCCAAGATAGAAAGTTTAATATACAATTGTAAAATCTACATTGTAAACTAAAACAGACTAATTTGAGAGCCACGACCTGTAATTCTTTTTACACTCATTAGTACATATTTGTCATGATGAGATCATCTTCATTCAACACTTGCTGAACACTGTTCAATTACAATGGTTTAATGTCTAAAGATGACATTCCAGGGGATTTAGAATTTTCATCTTGTCTAAATGATTTAATTTCTTGAGATTTTGCATGAAATGTGGGAGGTGCATCTTATGTAAGTCTCTAGGGTAGCTATTATTTTGATTATTTTTGATTGGATTTATAATGTATTCCTATTTGTAGAAATACAAAAAAACAATAAGAATAGAAAATCAAATTTTATGGTAGTGTTATGAGATTTGAATGATCAAATAAAATAGCTTAAAGTGCTAATTTACTTAAAATTGCTAATTTAAGATTGTATTAGAGTTCTAAATGATTAATCAATAATAAAGCTAGTTCTTGGTTTGAGAATGCAAAATATAAAACAATTGTTAGCAATCTGAGATTAAATAGTATATGAAAATACTTTTAATATTGCTTATTAAGTATATAGTTTTGTATTTTACAATAAGCAATAATAAAAGTAAAGAAAATGTTAATGCAAGCAAGGATAAGAGTTTGAATGTTAAATTAATTGAAAGTTTCTTATATAGAGATATGTCATACCATATGAAATTGTAAGTATGAGTAGAAGTTCTGATAAGAGTATTTCTGATATTTATAATTTAGTATTATTCATAATAAATTTATTATATAGGAATATAAAATATTTAATTTATTTATGACATTTCTATAAACACTTAGTACTTTAATAGGATGGACTTATTTTGCAGTATGGAGTATAAGTTTTTATCCATAAATATATGAAAATTGGAGATTGAAAAAGTATTTAGATAAGTTAATTATTAGTGTAAATGGATTAAGTGTTGATTATGTTGGATTAAACATTACAGGATACATTTGTTTATGCATTTATAGTACAGCAGGTTATTTAGATAAATCATTGGATGTTGGGACAATACATAATGAAGACTTGGCATTTGCATATCATGGATTATTTTGTACATTAATCATAATTGGTCAAATGATATTTTATCCTGTATTAAATCCTTAGATTACAGTTAGGAGACAATAAATTGTCAAAATTCATAATAGTGATCTTAGTTATCCTTTGGACATTGACACCTATCTATTTCTTATTGACATAAGTAGAATATTATTAAAATAATTAGACATTTGATGTTATTGATGTATCTGTTAATTACAATGCATATAGAATAATTGGATATGATAAATTATTAATAAGCTTTATTAAGTATATTCCTTAAGTATATTGGAATTACAAAAGAAAGAAAACAATAGGTTGGAATATTTGGGTGAGTCTTTTAGATATAACAGGTGGAATATTGTCAGTTATATAAACTATAATGGATTAATTCATTTATGATGGTATAATTTTTATATATATTAAAATAGATAATAATGAGATTAACCCAGTTAAATTTGCATTAGGATTGTTGACAATTGGTTTTGATTCAATTTTGATTTTTTAACATTATTTTCTTTATCCACCTAAAAAAGACACTTAAGTTATGGATTATGTTACAATGAAAGATAATGGATTAGATGATATATGATAAAATACTAGATTATAAACATTATCATTAGAGAAATATCAATGATGATGATGATGAATCTCTATTTTTCTTATGTTTGCACTTTTTGCATCTTAATCTATATTGATTTCAAAATCAGTAGTAATTCCTATTTTTAAACTTTCATTTTGATATCTTTGTTAAAAGCGAGATCTCTTTTCAGTTGGACTTAAAGATTCATTTTAAAAATAATCTAACTATAATGCTTCTTGAGCATTCACTCTTTTAAAAGGATCTATTTCAAGCATTGCTTTAATTAAACGAATTGCTTGATTAGGTGTATTGGCTTTTTCTAATACTTAAAAATCTATTGAGCCATTCCTTAAAATGTCATAAAATACATTTGATTCTTGCATATATCGAATAGGATGAATATCTTCTCCTGAATATAATTTATATAAGATTGCTCCACAACTATAAACATCCATTTTATCACTATAAATGGGATTATCTTACAATGCTTCAGGAGCTGTATTCATACCAAATAATATTTGTTAAACATTTGTATCATTTTATCTCATAGCAAAATTAAAATCTACTAATTTTAAACTATCTAATCTTCCAGATTATGCAAACATTATATTTGCTGGTTTAATATCTCTATGTATTATTCCCTCATTTTTCAAATAAACTAAAGCTGACAATAGAGCCTAATAATATTGAAAATAATACTTAAATAATGACTTTGCATTATTAATGGGTTGTAATAAGATTTTTTTCTAATAATTTTGATAATGTTTAACCTCCCATCAATTCCATAATTATATAAAAATATTATTCACCTTAAAAGTATTCTTTAAATTAAATGATATGATTATGTTCTAAATTCTAATGCATCCTTATTTCTTAATAAAAGTCATCTTTCCTTTCCAAACATTTTAATGCCCATAAAGATTTATTAATATTATCTTCTACTTTAAACACTTTACTATCTGCTCCTTCTCCAATTTAATTATTGCATTTATATAAGTTTACTATTCCATCAAAAATAATCTTGCATCCTATTAATCTTCTCATTTCTTCCAAATCTTTATGATTTCCTTTAAAGAATTTTACTTTCTTTTTAACTATTATTCCAAAAGCATGAATTTTTTATTATTCTGTATACCAGTAGATTTTATTATCAAAAGTAAGTGTACATATATACTTTGTGTTTTTTGATTTAAACTATGATTATTAGTATTTAAATATATACCTAGTTAATTCTAATTTAATCAGTATGGATATTCACTGTATAATAGGAATTCATGAAATAATGAATACGTTCACAAGTAAAGGAATGAATTACTGGTAATAACATAGTTGTTTCAACAATATATATTTTATTATTAATATGAAACACAATTAACATATATAAAAGGAGTAAAAGAAATATTGAAAATTATTTAAATAGTGATGATGCATTTCAAAATTGTATTAATTCAATCATTATTAAGCAATAAATTTCTGCCATACTTTTTCAATGCATAAACTACATCCATAGCTTAAACGGTATTTCTTTAAGCATGTTCTGTGTAAATAATAGCATCTTTAACCAATGATGATAAGAAATTAACTATGACATCTCTAAATTAATTTTTCAATATTAAATTATACCTAGTTGTTGGATAAGAATCTGATGAAATTCTTTTAACTCCTCCTCTTCGAGCCAGTCTACGTATATCACCATTTGTAATGTGTTATCCTCCTTTTTTCTCTTTATTCATTTTACTCTTATGTCTTTTAGCACCTGCTAATTTACCTTATCCCATACGTTTCCCCTTTTAGTTGTCCATTTCTAATTAGATTAATTTAAATTTAAATAAAAATAAGCGCTAATAATTTTTTTTATTATAAGTTATATAATCATTTTTTTAATATTCGTAAATCATCATCAACTAAAATACTTCATGTATCTAAAAATGAGATCTTCTGAAACAAATAGATCATAATTCAATAATTCTAATACTTCTAATTCCATTTCATTCAATAATCTCAAAGAAATTCCACCTAACTTTGCGAAATATTTATTTGAATATTTAGGATCATCCCAAAATTTAATACAAATAACTAGTAAGACTAATGTAAGTGTATATAAACTAGCTTAATCCAACCATAAATGTTCATTTTTAGTAGTAAATCTATCAAGATAAATTAACACTATTGCATAACATTGAATTGAACAATCACTATAAAGCAGAAGACGTTTCAAGTAGTCAGAATAACCAATTTTTGGAAGAGTTCTCTGTGAAAACTTACAAATTTTTCCACTAGAATTCCATCTATATATTATTTGACCACTTAATTTCAGAAACATTTCAGACGTCTAGTCTACATTGTAGTCTAGAGCTGAAGTCATCCTTTCTTGATTGATAAATTATTTTTTTAAAATATAATTAATGATCAATAATATTTCTTTAATTATTTAAGATTTCTTACACTAAATATATCTGATTATATTTTTTTCATTTCTTTATTGCTCTCTTCAAAACTGCTATTCCAAAACCAATACCTAATCCTACAACACCCATTCCCAAATACTTCTTTGGATCCTAAACATCCCAACAATACACTTTTAAAATTGAATGTGTTCCAAATACTCTATTCACCTCAGAATAAATTTAAGCATTGCTATATCCTTTCCTCAACAATTTCCTAACTATATCTCTCTATTCTTTAGCACATGAAGTTTCAATGAATTCTATTGTAGAATTCACACTCTCACCATCCAAACTACGAATACCTTTGCAAATCTCTAAGAATCTTTCTTCTCTTTCCATTTTTATAATCTTAATAATAAAATCAACTTAAATCAAAATCCTTAAAAAACACCCAATCCATTATTATTTCATACTCTTCTTCTACTAATTATACAACCTATACTTACTCTTCTTAATGATCCCTATTCAATAATTGACTTAGATTCATATTAAATTCAAAATATAAATGATGTTTAGCTGATATCTAAAACCTTATTATATAATCTATATCCATTAATTTTTTTATATTTATTTGATAGTTGTCATAACTTCCATTCGAATTCAATAATCAAGTCCATCATATTCAAATACTCAATTTTTTCTTACATATTTAAATGATAAATATCATACAAATATAAATACTATTGTTAGAACTCATTACTTCATAATTTTAGATTATTTTTATTTCTTCATATTCATATATAAAATCACTTCTATTAATAAAGCATAATCAGATGTCTTCTTTTCCAAAATCTTCTCAAACTCTACCAAATTTTTTACTTATTAATTTTATAGTTTATATTACTCGGCATATCTCTTAAAGTAGTTATGCTTCTTTTAATAGGTCTTCATAATTTATCAATGCCTTTGACAACTATTTGATTATTATAAAAAGAAATTTCATACAATTTGTACAATAACATCTTTCATATTTCTCTCATATTATCACAGAATCTATGCTCAAATCCTATTATAATATTAAGCAATTTAAATATCTCCTTTTAATTACTGATATCTGATTATATGTAGAAAATACTTATGAATTCTAACTTGATATTAATTCTAATAATTATATTTTCAACTCTAAATGTTTAATAACAATCAATAGCCATTTCAAGGATAATAATAAACTCCAACTAGTTCCAAAAATAGTGAAATATAACCCAAACAATTTCCATTCAGCTAATAAAATTAGATATAATAAGGATAAAGTCTTAATTCTAATCAATAAACTGCTTTACAATAAGGCTAATAAATAACTGGTAATTCTAAAAGTTTAATAACCCCAACTTCATAAAATTCTTAATTCTAAGTATAAGTAAACTTATAATTTATAAACTTAGCCACCTCAATAGATATATCCCAATCCTCAAATTTAGTAGGTAGTTCAAGCTCCTTCAAATCTAAATAATTAATCAAATATGAGCGATCAACAAATCAAATAGCCTTTATAAATAAAGTCATTGGTGGTTCCACCTATGCAATTTCCAAATTTATAAACAAACATTAGTATAATTCTATTAAAATATTATTTAGATTAAATACCAAGATTAGATTTCATTTAAGGTTAAGGCAACCAAAATATTGAATAAAGTAATCAAAATAATAGTATATTATTCTAGTTCAAAAAAAGTAACAATTAAATGAGTTGGAGAAGAAATTTCAAAACCTCTCCTCTTAAAAAGATCAATTTGATTAAAAAATTAATTCATTGAATTAATAGAAAAAAAAGTGTTAAGTTTATATATAAAAGCTAAGAGATAAAATAGAAGAGGAGGAAAAAAAAAGGAATAACCTCAGTTTATAATTAGAAAATGAATAAAAGAAATTAGATTCTGAACTTTAAGAATTATAAAATGAATTTGATAAGATATAAGTGGAGAGAAATGAATTATAAACTTAATTGGGTATGGAAGATTAAAAGATTAATTAATTAATTTAAGAATTTAGAGATTCAAAAAGAAACACAAACATTGATTAAAATAAATAGTTATAGTCAAAAATTGAATAATTAGAATCTGAAAATAGAAAATTGAAAGAAGAATTAGAAGTACAATAAGAAAACTAATTAAATAATTAAACTAAAGATAATGAAATCTAGAAAATATCTGAAATTATTGAAAGAAAAAAGAAATATTTATAACAAATCTAGACTGAAATACAATCTGTTAATGATGATATAGAATAACATGAATCTCATATATAATAGAGGGATTAAAATATCAACCAGATGAGTTTTGATTTAAAATAAGAAGAGAAAAAACTCAAGAATTTGGTTTAATAAGTTGATTCAATGAAAGAAGAAATCAAACTCAATGATGATAGAATTCGTTTAAAGACTGAATAAATTTAATAATTAGAATAGAAAACCTTATCTGCCCTCAGAAATTCTGCTCTTGTATAGTAAATAAGTAACCTAAAAAAAGATGTTGAACATTAAGGTTTGATTTATGATCAAGAAATAAAGAGAAAATAAGGAGATCTCACAAATTCAAAAATAATGATGGGAAATAATAAAAAAGAATAAAAATAATTTGAAGAATCTCAAAGATTACTTAGAATAAGATAAGGAAAAGAATTACAAATGAAATTTAAAGATAGTTTTGGTTAGCTTGAAGTTTGCTTCTTGATTGATTCAACAGCGTAATTAAATAAAATTAATTATTAGATCAATGGAACCTTATAAGTTCTAAGCATAACAATGTGTTAAAGGTAGTGTGAAAGCAATAAAAGATTTAACATAGAGAGACGCTAATTGGTCTACTGTATGTTATGTTGATACAGATATATTATAAAGGTTGGGAGGGATGTATAAATAGTTTGGATTTACCAGAGATTCAGATGAATTGGAGAATTTTATTCAATCAGTCTAATGTATTGCTAATAGAGATTTGCCAGAAGATGTAGAAGGTGGTATGAAATAAATGCTGAATAATATACCTTGGTAAACTAAGTTTAAGTTAGTAATATTAATATGTGATTGCCCATGTCATGGAACTAAATACCATAATTATGGTAGAAATGGTGATTACTAACCAGACTCTGACATAACTCCAACAATTGAAAATATGATTTAATAAGAAATATTCTTTATTGGAATTATATTTACTAATGAAACAGTCAAGATGTATGAAGAAATCAGGAAAATATATTAGAGAAACAACAAAGAAGAATATTTTATATTATCAGATTTAAGATAAGTTCCTAGAGACTAATAATTTCAAAAATTAACTGAAGTGTTATCATTTGCATCATAATAAGCAACATAAACAAATGTTAGAACTACAAGAACTAATAACTAAACTAATGTTATTAAATAAACAAAAAATTAAAAAGACAATTCTGAAGATTATAGTTCAGTTGAAGCACTTTGCAAAGTCAATCTTTAATAAGGTTTAAATGCTGATAATGCTATAAGAGAAACCTATAAAGTGTTTAGACTTTAAATGAAAGAAGAATCTTTTTAAGCAAAAATGAAGATGATTCAAAATATAGGAATAGATGATTTTTAATTAATTGAAGAAAATGATTGGGATTGTTTAAGATCAAAAGATGCATTTGCAAAAGGAGCTATGAAAGCTGCCTTTTTAATGACTAAATCTAAATTTATGAATTCAAAAAATGAATTCTATGTTTGTAAAACTCCTTTAAATATGCAACCCTATCCAAATAGGGAGAGTGCTTTAAAAGAATGTGTATTACATTTAGTGAGTCAGAAATGGTTGAAAAAATTTTATAAAGAATTAGATGGTGTAACAGAATAAATAAGAAAATAGATTCCATAACTCAGTTATTCAGATATTTTATTGCTTTAAGATGCAAATAGTAAATTTATTTATTATAATAGATAAATATTGGTTGGCTGAAAGATTTTTTGAGGGAACTTTTGTTAAATATAATAATAATTGGGGTTTTGTGAATAGATCAACAGATGATGTAAATAAAATAGCTTAATGCTTTTCTTATTATACATATTTCAAGAGTGATTATCAATATATGATATGTGATATATAAGGTGTTAATGCATGCTTGACAGATCCTGCAGTATGTACAAAAAACAGTATGAATATTAATTTTATTATTTAAAGACTATAAAATTGATCCTACTGATACAGGTGAAGAAGGAATAGGAAGAAATATTGTATCTTTTGGTGCAGTTAAGAATATGTGTACAAATATTTTAAATGCATTAAAAATAGAATTATGAATTAAATAATAAAATAATTAAATAGATAAATTATTTTCTATTAATGAAGGAAATAAATATATCAATCACTGTCTTATAGTGATTCCATTTAATTCTAAAAGCTTATCAAGTTACATTTACATAGTTTCCAAAATATTAGTATTCTCTTAATTAAGTTGGAGTACAATAAAGAAAATAACAAAACAATCATTAATCATTTCTCCACTATATTCCAAATAATGTGCTTACCTTTCTCCATCATCATTAGTTGGTATGATATTTCCATAAATGAATAATTTAATAAAGGCCATAATGAATGTTACTATTATTATGAAAGATTCACAATATCTATATTTGTACATTAATGATGTCTTATCTTATTGGAAAATGAATAAAAAATCTGTTAATGTTAAAAGTAATTAAACACTGTATTCTATCCAATGAGATGCAGGTTCAAAAAATTCAGGATTAAATAAAAATAGAATCAATGCTATTAATGTTCCTCCAATATTGATTATTATTAAATATATCTTGTATGAATCCAATGTCACAATACCTGTTAATATGAGTACACAACCTTCACTTAAAGCAAATAGAAATGCTCCCCAAAAATCTAATTAATGGAAAGGTAAATAATAATATTCTTCTATTACCTCTTAAGTTTGAAAATTTGCAATCAATAAAGACAAATTGCAAAAGAAATTTATAACAATCACTAGAACAAAGAAAGCAAAGATGAATTTTTTGAATTTATGTTCATTATAAATATGATTGTACAATAAGTTCTAATTTTACAAATTTAATGTGCAATATTTTGAATTCTATTTCTCTACAGTTTCTTCTTATGAAATTTGTGCATTAGTTTGATCCAAATTTTAACTCATTTTAGTTGAAAATCTTTAATTAATGAATCACCACATCTGATTTAATCTGATTATTAAATACAGATAATCCGTCATTAAATATAAAACATATTTAATTTAGAATTTATTATCTTTAATTAAAGCAATAATTATTTGATATATAAATATATGAATATTTATACATTAAAATTTGAGGAAAGCACACTAGAGAATTCTTATAGATTACATAAATGCAATTTATGGCAAAGTCCTATTCTTATCTATACCTATGTTTTATCAATAATAGTTGTTGGCAGCAAACTAATATATTAATTAGTTAATCATGATTATACATATCTAATACATAAAATAGTAATACTCTTTATAGTAATGATGCTATGTGTATTTTTTAAACATTTTAAGAAGTTTCCTAATTTAACCTTACTATTAATCAACTTTCTACTAGTATCACTTGAAACTGAAACAAGTTAAAACAATACTTATCATTAAGGATATTTATTTGGTTGTAATTAGATGCTTGCACATGCAATTTTATTTATGGGTACAGATTTTTTAGTTGGTTTGGGTGCCAATGTAATATTAGCAATAACTAGAGGTGCAATTACATATGTTAATCAAGATTATTTAACATTTCAATAGTATCTATACACAATCTTAATTACTATTGGAGTCTCAGGATTATTATATTAATCAGAATTATCTTAAAGAAGATCTTATTTATATTAAACAAAAGACACAACTTGGGGTATTAATTAAATAAATGATTATTAGAAAAAATTTTACCATTTGTAATATGCAAACCTTTTTTAATTTTCAAATTTGATAAGGATACTTTCTCATTTTAATAAATTGCAATTAATAAATCATTAACAGACAGTTAAGAAATGTAATTTGATTCTGTTGGTGATTTTTTAAAGGAATGTAAATATGATAAATTAACTTTACAAAAATACTTATTTTAAAAATATGAAAAATTTAATACTTTGATTAATAAGATAGAATGTGAAAAATTAGAAATCTATTATAAAAAAAGTAGAATGAAAATAAAATTAATGATTTATTGTGTTGATACAATTAGATTTATGATTGTTATTGAAGCTGTTGATTAAGCATTTATAGATTTGAAATATAAATATTAGAATCATTTAAAAGAAATTACTTAAAAATATAATAATCAATTAAAAAAACTTGCTAAATTATTAAATAAAAGATTAAAAAAATGTAAAATGTAAATGATGAGTGATGTAGCAATATCAATACTTGAATTTAGAATTTTACAATCAATTAAAATAACTAAATTAATAAGAATCAATATGTCTTAATTATTTAAGAAATTTTATCAAATCTTTCACATTAATTACAAATATAAAATATATTTCAATTCTAAATAAGATTATGTTATTTATACTTACAAACCTGAATTATATTATTTTATTATATCAATAATTAGATAATCAAATAGATAATCACAAATATCATTCATTATTGATTAAAATTAAGAAGCATAAGCACCACAATTATCACTTTCAGGTATTGATAAATTACCTATGGATAATTAATTTTTATACTGTCAAAAAATGGTTTTTGAAAAACATGTTTAAGTTTTAAATTGTAATATCAAATATTAATTTATAGCTCATTTTTGGATATTCAAAGAAGTACATTCCTCGTTTAATTAACTCTATACTTTTGATAATATTTCAAATGATCAATATAATCTGTTGAACTAATAATTCTGAGATTCATAATTTATAGATTTTATTTATTTAATGATGATAAATAAATTAAAATGTTATTTCGTTGTTTATATAGGTTTCATTATACATTCCCTCAAAGAATAAGTCAAACAACCTATTATTTACAAAATAAATAATATTTTGATTAATTGGTTGATCAACCAATAACATCTTAATAATTTTAAGAATTAAAACAATAATTAAAAAGTATCAAAGAAAATGAAGCAAAAATTGGAATCATACAAATAGCATTAGATAATGGTATAATGAAAGAGAAATTGGGAGAAATTAGAGAATTAATGAATCAATATAAGCAAATAATTGAATCAAATAAATCATCAAATTAATTATATTAACATGATTTAGGTGATTATTATGAAAAAGAAGCATTATTATTATTGAGAGAATGTAAAATGTAGGAATCATTTGATCCTTTCAAAAAGGGATTATAATAGTTTATTGATTTGTCACATGATAAAAATTCATATATTATAAGAAGAATAGATTAAATATTGGAAAGTATGATAATAGTGATAGAAGATATGGGTTCATTAGAATAAGCAAGAGAACATATTAAATAAGGATTATAAGTAATTATATATAATTAATATTATAGATATTTGAAAATTTACTTGGAAAATAGTCAGAAAAATACATATAATATTTGAATAAGTTAGCTAATACATACTTACAAGTAGATAATTAATAAGCTATTAATTTACATAAAGAAGCTCTTTAAATAATAGGAGATATGAATGAAAATAATTTTTAATTATATTTGAAAACAGCAATAGAATTGATGATAACATAATTCAATTAAAAATTTGATAAAAATTTATATGAAACAATTAATAAAGGTTTATAAGAATATGGTAATATAGACAGTGAACTTACTGTGTATTATCATGTAGTTATGAGTCATTTATTTTATGAAACCAAAGATTTTTAGAAATAAGAGTTTCATCTTTAAGAAGCATTTAAGGTATATTAGAATGAAAAATCAAGTTTATTAATGAATATTATAGCATAAAAATCTTTGATATTGAAAAGCGAGTGTAAGAATGAGTTTTATAATGTGTTGATTACTGAACTTGATAAGGAATTTTAAGATGTTTTAGAATTACAGTATTATAAATGTAAATTAATGTATGAAATAAATAAATAGAAAGGCATAATTGAATTCAAAAAGATTGTACTAAATTTAATCAATTATCAATTAGTAAACTAGATTGTACAATTAAAAATTAACTTAATATATTGTTGATTTCACTTAGTAATTGGCTAAAGATGGTTTGAAAAAGGAAGCGATTCTAATAATAGAAGATTATCCTGAATATGATCATTTACTCAAAGCTTGGGAATAAAAATGAATATTTAAATATTTAAAGTAAAGAGCTGATTGATAAATAATATATTAATTAATGATGTCATAAATATAGGATAATTTCTAGTATAAAGAATTAATTATTAATGAATAAGTATACTCTTTAATTTAAAGATGCTACAATTGAAAAAAAATATAGATAATAATCTGCAGATAGTGTTTAAATACCAACATTTACTTTTTGTGCTTATTCATCAATTCTATACTTTATGGTTTCTTTAGCAATTTAAATAATTGAGTAGAATGTTACTAAAATTATTCTAAGAGTAATTGAAATTGTATTACTTATTGGTATTTTACTTATAGTCAACAGAAATAAGGGTAAAGTTAATATAGGACTCTTTTCTGTTAATATATTGATTGCTTTATTTGAGTTTGAGACAGATGATTCTTATGATAGATTAAATTATTACCTTTATGGATGCAATACAATGCTTGTTCATACCATAATCATATTCACTCAAAGTTTTAATTATGCAGTAATATCAAACTTTGTTATGTTAGTGATAAGATTATCTGTCACTGGTCTTTAAACTTAAATCATCTATATTTAATTAGTTATTGCTATTTTAACAACTTTTGGGTTTATCTTCATTTTATATCAATCAGAGAAATTTTAAAGATCTTCATTTTTGATGACTTTAAAAGATAATTCATGGGGTAAAAAACATAATTATTATTTTAGAAATTATGTTACCATCTATATTGACTAAACCATTTCTTGTGTTTAATTTTGACAATGATACATTCTCATATTAATTGAAAATGATAAATAAATTAGGATTTCCTTTTGAAGATACAAATGCTTTACATTCATTTTTAAAAGAAGCTAAATATGGAAAGAAAACCTTATAAGAGCATATATATTTCACAATAATATCTAGCAATCCCTAATAGTTTTAACCTTTTGTTTAAGAACTAAAAATAGTATTTAAAAAGAAATAAATATAATTGTTGCTTTCAGGTTGTTATTTGGGACAACCAAACTTTATAATTGTTTTATAATCTGAAGATAAGGATATAAAGTAAATGTAATAATAATTCAAATAATAACATTAAATATATTTGAAATATTTTATAAATCACATTAGATAAACATGCAAATATTTAAAAATTATTGTAGAACATAATCATATACATTAAGCAATTAAATTATTAATTTCACATAAACAAAGCTTATTATTTGAACATTACAAATTTGAACAATAGAAAAATATCTCTCCACACAGAATAATAGATAAATTAGTCAATTATTTTAAAAGTATTAATTATAAAATTAAATTCACAAATACTAAATTTGATGATATATATACTATAAAACCTTGCTTTTTAAACTTTTTATATGAAATATTCAAAAATATGGATAGAAATCAACATTATCATTTAAAATCTTTTTCATCAAATAATCAATATATTATCTCTTTAAAAGGATTATAAGAATATCCTAAATCTAATTTATTCTAGTTTTGTACAAAATGTCTAATAGAGTAAACAATTTAAATTGATAATTGTATTTAAAAATTTAATTTAATTAGGTTTTCAATTTATATTTTTGGAAATTCCAATGATCTCATATTATAATTCAAATATGAGAACATAAGATGATCCCTATGAATGACATAAGGAATAATTTTGTAAATTAACTTTGTTTATAAATTGCTATAATTAATAAGGAAAAGAGTATATATAAATTCTAATACAAATCATTAGAAAAAAGTATAGAGAATATGTTTCTCAGGATTTTGAAAGATGTTCTTTGAAATGTACTTGAATTTGTTCGAATTATTTCAATTTGTTTGCTAGATTCCCCCCATCATTTAAATCATCATCTCCAAAATCATCTAATTAAATATCACTTTTAGGTATTTTTTAGATTTCTAATTCTTCAAAATCTTGAAATTATCCTACTTATTTTATATTGCCTTCTTTTTTTAAACTTTATCCAGTTTATTATTTCAATAGAGAAGATCCTCTTGAAAAAGAATTTTATCTTGAATTTTATCTAGAACGACTTAATTCAATAAAAATATATAATACCCAATAGATTTTTATCCAAATCGACTACCTATCTATTAAATAACTGATGGTACATAATTTAACATTACAGAAGATTATTAACTAAGATTAGATTCACATTATTTATATTTTTTATCTGGTTTCTCTGAAATTTAAAAAATCTCATCTTATCCAATTTCAAATTCTTTATCAGATTATCTTGGTTATTATCCATCTGAAGATTTGGTTGAAGTAGTAAATTAATCATTCCAATCAAATTTTCGATCTAATTAAAATCCTTATTGTTAAGCAATCTTTTAAAATAAACTAAACAAATATTTATAATCTGGAGTTGAAGTAAATTTAAGTTTTTAAACATAATCCATATATCTTTAAATCTCATTTGGCAAACCTTTACATAAATCCTTAGCCTCTAGTTCTATTTTTAGTTTGCCAACTAATTTCGTTTTTTCTTTATCAGAAGACGAAGTAATATTTTACCATGGTAAATTACCTAAGATTTTGAAAGTAATTACCTTTTAAAAGATAAATAAAAACATATCCCAAACTTTCTAAATCATCACGTCTTGATAATTCATATCCTTTGTGTGCTGAAATACTTGCATATCTAGTAGTACCCATAAATGGTTTTTATTCTTAAAATGGACTTAAGTTTATTAAAGAAAATTACATGTGTTATCCATTAATTTTGTATTTTTTAGATATTCCAAAATCAACTAAATAAACTACATTAGTATCATTGCCTCTTCCCATTAGAATGTTTTCTGGTTTAATATCTCTATGTATCACACCTCTTAAATTTTCAAGAGTATAAATTACCTTTTGTGAACTTCTTCAATAATATATAATAATTATTCTGCCAAATTACATACACATTTTAAAGAGAACTTTCTATATCTCTTTAAGTAATGAGAAAGATCTCTACCCAATAATTAAATGGCCATACAATTTGAGTTAAATTCGTTACCATACCAATAAAGTTTTGGAATGCCTATATGTATATTTTACTTACTTACCTTAAATACCTCTTAATTCTTCTATTATTTATATTTCTCTCTCCAAACTCAACATATTATTATTTTCCTTTTCTACTTTCATTGCAACATATTCTCTTGAAACTTTGTCTTAACAAATGTATACTACTCCAAAAGAACCTTTTTATATTAATAATTAAATACCTGCACTCAGTTTCTCTTTCTAAATAAATCTTCCATAATAAACTCGATTTTTTTCTTATGATTACATTAATTATATTATAATATTTATTTATGTTCCTCATTTAGATGTAAGTCCTTTAGCTTTTGGATAGTTCTACTCTTATAAATTAACACTCTTTTTGGCAGATTCAATTCTTTTAGATGATGGTCTCTTTTTTGCTGATTATGGTTTCTTGGCAGATTATAATCTCTTTTAAACCTTTTTCTTTTCTTATGGTGCTAATTGTTCCTCTCTTATTAACCCTTCTTCTGTGTAAGCGAAATACACATTAGGATGATTTAATAATTCTTACAATTTCTCATCACTATTAATTTGATCAGTCACATTTATTTACTATTATTCTTAGATTGCTTATTATATTTATGTTTTAGTTAATTTCCCAGAATAATCTAAACCTTATATTGTCCATGCTTCAGCTGCTTCATTATATAAAGCTAACATCTACATTGTTTCTAAAAACTTAGGAGGTATAAAATAATCCAAAATAAATTATTTTAATTTAACTTCTTATAAAATCTCTCTTTTTCTTATTTATAAATCTTCAATTTCTTTAGCCATGAATTCATCAGTCTCTTTATTCTCAAATTCTAATTAACGAGTCTTTTATTAAAGTGTCTTAATTCTTCTAGTTTTATCTTCTAATTCTTCTTTAATTGAATTATATTTAGTTTATAATTCTAAATTGAATTCTTCTTTCTTCTATAATTCCAAAGCTCTCTTTGCAGCTTCAGCTTTCTCTTTTTCAATCAATTTCCTTGCCTCTTCTAATTCTTTCTCTTTTTTTCTTGCTTCCTCAACTTCAGTATGACCATTTACTAATTTTTATTCCATCTTTTAAATAGTTTTTATTAGTTTTTATTGTGATTCCCTTGCATTATTAGCCTATTCCTCTTTCTCTTGTAATTGCTAAATTATAATATAATTTTATTATACTTTTAATAATTTCATCTTCTCCTCTTCACCTAAATTTTTTTATTAATCAATCTTCCTTCTTTCCTCTTCTATCTTCTTTTTTAATTCTTCCTTCTCTCTCTCTATTATATTCTCAGCTTCCTTTATCTTATCAACATTCTTAACCTTCACTACCTTTTATACTAACACTTCTTATCCAGGATTCATTACACCTCCTCCACCTTCAATTGATAATTCCAATTACTATTTCAATCTTAAATATATGATTAATTTCTATACTTCATAATTTCCTCTTAAAATTATCTAATCTAAGCATCCTTTGGATCCTCATTAATTTTTGGTTCATTCTTAATTTATTTGGCTCTATGAGCATATCTTAAAGTTGATATGGTTTCATCAAAATTGTAATCAGCAGGACCAATATTTGCAATCATCACTGTCTTTGTATTTCCTCCCAAAGAATCTTACAATAGTCTTGTTAATTTTGAATCTCTATAAGGTATATGCTATGATTTATTATCAACCAATGCACTAATCACATTACCCAAAGTTGTTAAAGACTAATTAATATTGATGGCTTCCTTCAATCTATCTCCTGTTGCATGAGTCTTACTCTATCTCTCACTACCTGCAAGATCTACTAAATTCAATTTGCCTACAGTCACATGACTTTATCCTTACACAATTTCATTTGTTTCAACTGTTATCTAAAACAATGAATGTGAACGAGATGAATCCTGATTCATTGCTGTAGCACCAACTGCTCTGTTCTCTCTACCATGTAATAATTTCTCTCTCATCTCTTAAGGATTCTCTATCATGAATTTACTTAGATCTTTTATATATATTCCTGTTTCTGGATTCTCACGAATATCTAATTTATTTTTTATATTTTTGGAAAGTAAATCACGAATCTCTTCATTATATAATTCCAAAAAAGAAACCTTCACTAAAAACTATTTATTCTTAGCCATGTTCTCAATCCTCTAAAATATATGATCAAATGTTCTAGGGATTATTCCCCTCGAAGTAGGAGGATCATCCTTACCTTCCATTGTATGTGTCTTACCTGTTCCTGTTTGACCATAAGCAAATATGGTTCCATTATATCCTTCCAATACACTCTCAACTATGGGAGAAGCAGTAGAATTATACACATTTTCCTATTAAGATTAAGTGTCAAAGATTTAATCAAATGTAAACTATTTTGGTACTTCATCCACTACTTTTGGATTTCTCACAGTCACTTACCCATTCTTAGTGTCCATGTTTACTATACAAACATGTCCATCCTTCTTTTCAGTTTCGTTTAAAGGACGACATCTTATTACAACTCGTACACATTCAAATTTCTTACTCATTTAATTTCTTTTATAATTATTTTTATAATTATGTTTATTATAATTGAATAATTAATAATATTTAAAAATTGGATTAATTTATACAATTATAATTAATATCAATACAATTATATTACTTAAACAAGGGATATATAAGCTAAGTCTTACTTAGAANAGGATTCATTACACCTCCTCCACCTTCAATTGATAATTCCAATTACTATTTCAATCTTAAATATATGATTAATTTCTATACTTCATAATTTCCTCTTAAAATTATCTAATCTAAGCATCCTTTGGATCCTCATTAATTTTTGGTTCATTCTTAATTTATTTGGCTCTATGAGCATATCTTAAAGTTGATATGGTTTCATCAAAATTGTAATCAGCAGGACCAATATTTGCAATCATCACTGTCTTTGTATTTCCTCCCAAAGAATCTTACAATAGTCTTGTTAATTTTGAATCTCTATAAGGTATATGCTATGATTTATTATCAACCAATGCACTAATCACATTACCCAAAGTTGTTAAAGACTAATTAATATTGATGGCTTCCTTCAATCTATCTCCTGTTGCATGAGTCTTACTCTATCTCTCACTACCTGCAAGATCTACTAAATTCAATTTGCCTACAGTCACATGACTTTATCCTTACACAATTTCATTTGTTTCAACTGTTATCTAAAACAATGAATGTGAACGAGATGAATCCTGATTCATTGCTGTAGCACCAACTGCTCTGTTCTCTCTACCATGTAATAATTTCTCTCTCATCTCTTAAGGATTCTCTATCATGAATTTACTTAGATCTTTTATATATATTCCTGTTTCTGGATTCTCACGAATATCTAATTTATTTTTTATATTTTTGGAAAGTAAATCACGAATCTCTTCATTATATAATTCCAAAAAAGAAACCTTCACTAAAAACTATTTATTCTTAGCCATGTTCTCAATCCTCTAAAATATATGATCAAATGTTCTAGGGATTATTCCCCTCGAAGTAGGAGGATCATCCTTACCTTCCATTGTATGTGTCTTACCTGTTCCTGTTTGACCATAAGCAAATATGGTTCCATTATATCCTTCCAATACACTCTCAACTATGGGAGAAGCAGTAGAATTATACACATTTTCCTATTAAGATTAAGTGTCAAAGATTTAATCAAATGTAAACTATTTTGGTACTTCATCCACTACTTTTGGATTTCTCACAGTCACTTACCCATTCTTAGTGTCCATGTTTACTATACAAACATGTCCATCCTTCTTTTCAGTTTCGTTTAAAGGACGACATCTTATTACAACTCGTACACATTCAAATTTCTTACTCATTTAATTTCTTTTATAATTATTTTTATAATTATGTTTATTATAATTGAATAATTAATAATATTTAAAAATTGGATTAATTTATACAATTATAATTAATATCAATACAATTATATTACTTAAACAAGGGATATATAAGCTAAGTCTTACTTAGAATATCGTTGTCGGCCATACTAAGCCTAAAGCACCGGATCCCATTCGAACTCCGAAGTTAAGCGGCTTAAGGCGAGGTTAGTACTAAGGTGGGGGACCGCTTGGGAAGTCCTCGTGTTGACAACCCTTTTTTTTTAATTAAAATTAATTAATTATTTTTTGAGTGATTCATGAGTATTCTTAAATCTGATGATTAATATTAAACCTCAGCTAATAAATAAATTTGATTTAACTTTATAAATAATTAGTCAATCCAATCCATAATTTATTTAAATATAAATCAGTATAAATAACCAAAAATCTGAAATTTGGTTGAATATTAAATATAAATTTATAAAACTTATACTTACATATTTCATCCTTGAATCATGGGCTGTTCCATTCAAAAAAATAAGCTTCCCTTATCTCAATAAACTATAAATGTATATCAAATATTTTATTTCTTAGCTTTAAGATATAACTCAAACTCCTTCATCTTCATAAGATGATACTGAGCGGTAATAAAATTTGAACACTCTGAAATCATTATTGCGAGGCTCAAATTTTTCCATTTCAAATGTTAAATAAACTAATTGTAGAAAAAGAGCTATTCATCTATAACAATTATGATTATGTTGTTATGTTTATGCAATTATTATTCAATGTTAATATCACAAAATTTCTTTCATATCAAATGATTTCATATATCATTGATCTATAAATGTTTTTAAACTGATTTAGATTCCATTAATGACTTTAGTTCTTAAAAATAACTTGAATAAGTTAAAAATAATATGAAATGTTGTATTACATTAAGAAATAAGAAAAAACCAGATAAAGGAATGCAATTTAAGAGTTTAGAATGTATTCTAGAATTTCCAATAAAATATATATATAAAAAACGTTATTTACGGCATAAATATATAAAAAATACATCCAATTATATACATAGAAATCATAAAGAGCTATAAAAATAAAAGAAGAAAGTAGGAATATATTAGTATTTATTAAAATCAACTTTATTAAGTTGTATTTATTTGATTTTTAATTACTTTTTTATTTTTTAATATATATAATCAAATATCAATAAATTCGCTTGCTTAAAATGAATAATGTCGTAATTTTATTTTAATATTATATATGTAATCTATTAAGAGTTCGTTTTTCCAACTATGCAATAACTTAATCAATCTTTAATCAATTTAGGTATAAATTGTAACATAAAAATTAAGAGATTGAAAATTATGCTGTAATTCTTTGTAATCCAAACATACATCTAATAATCTAATATGATCAAATATAAGTTGATATATTTATTCATTTTTATCTGTATTATTTTATAAAAATGTATCTAATACTTTCCAATCATTTTGCATTTAATCAAATATTTAATTTGGTATTTTTTATGTGGTTTCTGTTTTAGATTTGAAAAACCCTAAATTCCAATTTTATTATTTTTATTATTTAAATTGTAATTTATCTATAGCCTCAACATAATGATTTTTAAATTTTATTAAGTTTTATTTCAACTTATCTAATTATGTAAATTGATATTATTTGTCAATTATTTCAGAAAGATTTGCCTATTCTAAACATTATTTAATTTATTTTTCATATTTTTCAATTACTTTTACTTCATCAAAAATTGGATTCTATAATGCTATAAAATGTTATCTATATTTTGATGATATTGTTTTTATTAAAAATTCTTAGATATCTACATTGATATAATTAAAATATGTAAGAAATCCAACGAGAATATTAATCATTTCACTCTACCTATTTATATGATAATTCGATTTAAGAATTAGATTTTCATTTTTAACAAAGACTTAGATATTATTTGATTAAAATAGAACTTAATCCATTATTTATTCTTCTTATTGAATTAATTCTAATTGATTAAGAATTAGCTATTGAAATTTTTGAATCATTGTTTAATTCAACTCTGGCAATAAAATACAGTTACTCAAAATCCATTAAACACTTTAGATTGATAAATTAGATAATGACCAATTTGATATCTCACGTTATGAATGATAATCTAAATTTTTTACGTGTTTTTCAAATTGTTCAACACAGCTTAAATAAAATGTAGATTCTTTAAGAGTTATTTGATCAATCAATTATTTGAATTCAATAATCAACTTAGGCTATAATTTATCTTATCTAATTAATTCTTGATGATCTAAGATTTTTGTTAATAATTATATTTCATCATCATTTAATTGTGGATGATAATCGATTGCTGGTAATTATGGAATTTGATTGAGTGCTTCTAATAATGGAGATAGATCAATATTTTAATGAAGTCTTTTGTGAAATTCTTCAATCATTATTATAAATTATATAATATCTCTATAAATGAATATTTTATCTTAAAGTAAAACTTAATCCATTCATCAGATTTAAATAGTTGATAAATTTGATAAATGCAATTCCAAATAGTATAAGATAAAAATATAAAGAAAAAAAAACTAATCGTTTTTATATAATTTGATGAATTAACTTATTTTGTTGTGTATACTCACAATAAGTCTAGTTTAAGCAGACCTTCCTGTCCATTGTTTAAAACATTAGATCACAGGAAAGTGGAAGATGGAAGTTGGTTAAACAAAACTTAAAGGAATGGGTGCTGTTCCATGTGGACATCATGTTCCAGATTCATAAGAATCATCTTATTAAGCTGGTTGGGATGAGTTTAAAGCAGTTGAAACCTTTGAAGTCAATTTAAGCAATGATTATAGTGTTCAAGATAAAGACAGAAAGACAAGTGGATCATGGACTATGGTTTATGATGAAGGATTTGAAGTAGAACATAATGGAGTTAAATATTTAGCATTTTCAAAATATGCTCCAAATGGATCTGATTACAAATCATATTGTGGTGAGACATTAATTGGTTGGTATAATAATTTAAAGACTGGAGAAAAAGGATGCTATAGAGCAAAGAAGGCTGATGGAGAAATAGAAGCAACAGATTCTTATCAACTGATAAGTGTAGTTTAACCAGAATTTATTTAAAAAAGTACAAGACATGGGGATAGAGTAAAATTACATAAGAATTTTAATAATCATAAAGAGGCAGTAGAAAAGTTGAATAGTATTCCAAAAACATGGAAGGCTAAGGCATATGATCATTTTGAAGGTATTTCTATGATGGAGTTGAATAAAATGGCAGGTAGAAGAAAGCATTATTAGGGTAAAACAATAAAGAAGGCATCATTTACATAAATAAAAAGTGGTGACGTTTCTGGATTACCTAAATAATTTAGTTTAGAATAATATCTTGATCCTCCTAGATAATAAAAGTAATGTGGATCATGTTATGCTATATCAACAATGGAAATGTTATCAGCTAGATTAAAGATGAAAGGTGAATAAGTGACATTATCTCCTTAATATTCAGTGGATTGTAATTATTTCAATTAAGGATGTGATGGTGGTTATCCATTTTTGGTAGAGAAATTTGCATCTGAATAATATTTGGTTACAGAAGAATAATATCCTTACAAAGGTGATGTGGGAACTTGTAAAAAGATTGATTTTTCATAATAATAAAAAGTTTATGGAGCAAAGAATTATAGATATATTGGAGGAGGTTATGGATTAAGTAATGAAAGAGATATAATGATGGAATTGTATACAAATGGTCCAGTAATTATGAACTTTGAACCTTCATATGATTTTATGTATTATGAAAGTGGAATTTATCATTCAGTTGCTGAACATGATTGGTCTACATAAGATCGTCCAGAATGGGTATGAAATTATTAATAAAATAAGGAAAAAGTAGATCATTCAGTTTTGTGTTTTGGTTGGGGAGAAGAGAATGGAGTTAAGTTTTGGTTATTATAGAATAGTTGGGGTAGTCAATGGGGAGAAAATGGAAATTTCAGGTAATTAATTATAAAAATATAATTTATAGAATGAAAAGAGGAGTTGATGAATCAGCAATAGAGAGTATGGCAGAGGCAGCTGATCCTGTGATTTATTCAAGATCTAATAGTGAATTTATTGAAATGAAAAAGGAATAAAATCTAAGAAAGTAATGATACCTATATTTAATAATCATATATATTATTGATATACTCAAAATTATAAAGAGATTAATAAATATATATCTCATTGAGTTATTAATAGTTAATTATATTCACTAGACAATTGATCTCCATTGTATGTGAAATTAGAGAATTCCTGAAATCTTCCCAACTCATTGACTGGTGTATCATTTACACTGCTTTTTCTTATTAGATTTTGATCAAAAAATTTGAAAGGTCTTTCATTTTACATTTCAAATGGAGGTTCAATCTCTTTTCTTTCAATTTTTTAGAAATCAACATCTTTGAAAAAAGGATGTTCATAAATTTCTTGAGCACCTCTTTATCCACCTAATCTTTTATCTGGATTTCTATTTAATAATTTTTTTAATAAATCTATTGCTTCTTCAGATAAATAATTTGGAATCTCTATATCTTTTCCTATTGCATATTCTTTTATTTAATTTTTAGTTAATTAATAAAAAGGAGGTTTACCAGTCAACATATCATATAATAAAGCTCCATAGGTCCACCAATCACAAGATTTAGTATAAATTTCTTCTAGAATAATCTCTGGAGCTATATATTCAAAAGTTCCACAAATACTTTTAGCATACATATCACCCCAAGAACATATTTTAGATAATCCAAAATCACATAATTTTATATGTCCTTCTGAATCTAATAAAATATTTTCTGGTTTTAAATCTCTATATATAATATTTTATTTATGTAAATAATCTAATCCAATTAATATTTCAGCAGCATAGAATTTCATTTTTTTTTCTGTCATTCTACCTTTTAATTTAAGATGATAGAATAATTCTCCTCCTGATACAAATTCCATAATCAAATATAATTTGGTTTATGTCTAAAAAGCATAGTATAATTTAGTAATGAAAGTATGATTTGTTATTTCTAGAACCTTTCTTTCTGTTTGAACATGTTTTTTCTATGTTTATGTTTTAACTGCTTTCTTTATTAACACTTTCATTGCATATAATTTCAATGAAACTGTATGTTAAACTAACATTACTTTTCCATAACTACCCTTTCCTAAATTCTTAAATTAACCAAAGTTAATACTCTTAACATTATAAATTGATTTAATGATATCTTTTTACCGTTCTCATCTTGTGAAGGATACTCAGAAATCACTTCTTCATTCTCTTCCTCTTCATCTCTTTGCTCTATTGGATCAGCACCAAGTACTACCTAAGGACCTTCTTTAAAACAAACCAATCCCATATTTATTTATATTTTAATATTACCAGCGCCAATCAATTAAATTTAAAAAAAATTGAGTTATGATTTACTCTCTACTGTAGTAACATCTTCATAAAGAACTTCTTGGATCAAAGTATCAACTCACTGAGTTTCAATTACTCAATGTTTCCGATAATATCTATTAAGATACTAAAGATTTCAAATATTTCCTTAACATTACAAATCATATACAATCAATCTTAGTTATTCAATCCTATAGATTTGAATATGAATATAATTTTGAGAACAACACTGTAGATTAACTAAATTGCATAATTGATAAAGTCAATGATGATCAAACTAACATTTCAATTAATTTGCTATAATACTAACATCCAATACCAAGCCTACTAATTAAAAAAGCCTTCATTAAAAAACAAACACCTTAACCAGCATTACAACCTCATTAAATTTATACTTTAATTTCTTAAAATTCCAAATATCAAAGGATAGATGTTTCCTTCTGCAATTTGGACTTCATTCAAAGATCCTAAAATATTACTTACAAATAACCTACACAAGAAAAATCAATTAAAAAAAGAGTCAAAGTTGAAAAACCATAATCAATAGACATAGATTCAATTAAACTATCTAAAGTACAAGATACAGAAGATTCAAAAAACAAAAGAGAATTAAATGTATCTAAGCAATTATTTAAGTAATAATAAAATAAACAAGAAGAAACAAAACAAAATTCATAATTAAAAACATTAGTTAAGAAGTTAGACATTCCAGAAAAATGGAAGTAAGTTTCATAAGAATTCAGTGAATCGCATAAGAAAGTTTGGGATATCAAATATTATGAAAAATTAATGCTATTGACTGAATCTATATCCAAAAGTATTTAAAATTCATTTATTCTTATAGAATATTTCTATTAGCATATCTTTAAAGAATGTATAGAGGAAGAATATTAAAGGAGATTCATTAGATATGCTTTACCTCCTGATTTAAAAGATCAATCTATTATAAAAAAGAGAAAGATCTATAGTAAAGATGTAGTATGTGCTCTTTTTGAATGATAATATAATATATATAATTAAGGATCAATATTTAATGTATGGCTAAATTATTGAAACTAATAAAATCATAATTGTTGTTATTAGAGCTCAGAAAGTAGATCCTATTAGTATATTAAAAACTCCAATCTTGATAAATACTGTTGTTTATTTGACAACTTATAAAAGTTTGCAGAATACAATATTTTTGCTTAATTTAACTATATTATGGAGGTTCTATGTTTGTATTAGTGTATCATAAAATACTCTATTGGTTTTCAATATATATATCAATATGGATTAAATATTTAATAAAATAGTATAATTATTAAATATAAATTTAGATAATGACTATTAGAATTCAAACTAAATAGAAAATAATTGAAATAAATTTTTTAGTTGGGTATAATAATAAAATCATTATTTCAGAGTATCAAAAGATTGAAATACTCAATTTGGATATTCTATTTCAATTAATCATTATAAAGTTACATTAAAAAAATTGATTTATAAGAGGAATTAAGAATTATAGATAGGATTATTTATATATTAGGTAATCTTTAACCATTTAATATTAGAATAGGTAAGGAGATATATTTATATACAATCTATATTAATTATTTATAACTCTCCTTTCTTAAATTTATTCTGATTTAGATGATAAAGAGATTTTAATTAGTTAGTGAAGGAAAAATTAATATTAAAATAAATAATTTACACGTATTAAATGTCTTTGAAGTTCGAGATAAAGAAGAAACATGTTGCTCGTTCTGAAAGAGTTAAGAGTGTAGAATTGCATCCAGAATATCCATGGGTATTATCAGGATTATATAGCGGTGTTATAACAATTCAAGATTATTCCACATAAGTATATGAAATAAATAATTAGACTATTGTAAAATAAATAGAAGTGAATCAGAAACAATAACCTGTTAGATGTGCAAAGTTTATAACTAAGAAATAATGGGTTGTGGCTGTTAGTGATGATCTTCAATTAAGAGTATTCAATTATAATACAAATGAAAAGATCAAAGTAAAAAGAAATTAATAGATAGGCATTTGAAGCTCATACTGATTATATTAGATGTGTAATAGTACATCCATCTTAACCATATTTAATTACAAGTTCAGATGATACAACTATAAAATTATGGGACATTGATAATAATTTCACATTAATAAGAACATTTGAAGATCATGTTAATTATGTAATGATGGTTGCATTCAATCCAAGAGATCCTAATACATTTGCAAGTGCTAGTATGGATAATACAGTAAAAGTATGGACAATTTAAAATAACAAACCTAATTTCACATTAAGTGGACATGAAGGTGGTGTAAATTGTGTTGATTTTCATCATGGAGATAAACCTTATTTAATATCAGGTGGAGATGATAGATCTATTAAAATATGGGATTATCAAACTAAATAATGTATACATACATTAGAAGCTCATTAATAAAATATATCATCAGCTAAATTCCATCCAGATTTACCACTCATTATTTCAAGTATCTATTATTTAATATCATTTTATAGCTGCTGAAGATGGAGTTATTAGATTCTGGCATTCAAATACATATAAATTAGAAACATCACTTAATTATAATATGGAAAGAGTTTGGAATTTAGATATAGGAAAAGATAATACATTAGCTTTTGGTTTTGATGAAGGAACTGTTGTTGTTAAAATTGGTTAAGATGAACCTATTGTATCTATGTAATAAGGTAAAGTAGTATATGGTAAGAATTTTGAATTCTTTACTATTAATCTCAAAGCTATTAATAATACATCAAATGATGGATAAATTGTATAAACAAATTCTAAAGAACTAGGAATTAGTGATATATATCCTTGTGGTGTTAGACATAGTCCTAATGGACATTTATTTGCCATATTTAGTGATTCTGAATATACTATTTATAGATCATAGAATTTTAAGAATTCTGGTTTCGGATCTGGTACAGATTTAATTTGGTCATCAAATGGTGATTATGCTGTTAGAGAAATGTATTCAATTAAAATATTCAAAAATAATACTTTGAGTTATGAAATGAAAACAGATTATATGGTTGAATAATTATTTGCTGGACCTGTGTTAGGAGCTAGAAGTTCTGAATTTATAATATTTTATGATTGGGAAACAGCTAAAGTTATTAGAAGAATTGATGTCTCTCCTAAAAAAGTAATTTGGAATGACACAAATACTATAGCTGCTTTGGCAACTAATGAAGAAGTGTATTTCTTATAATATGATCCAGAATAATTACCAATATTTTTATAATAAGATGAAGAACCAGATGGATTTGAAGATGCCTTCTAACCTTTATGTGACATTACTGAATCTATCAACTCTGGCTATTTCATCTAAGATGTTTTCTATTATACTACTATGAATGGTAAAATAGCATATTCTGTAAATGGAAAAATTTTTATTGTAGATTAGGATAAGAGATATTTCATTATTGGTTATATCCAACAATAAAATAAACTTTATCTTATTGATAAAAACTATACTATAATTAGTTACGATGTTAATAGCAATGTTGTTGAATTTCAAACTTAAATACTTAAAAAATAATATTAAAAGGCAGAAGAAATATTATAAACAATTCCACTTCAATACTATGATAAATTATCTAAGTTTCTAGATACTCTTAATCTTAAAGAATGGGCTTATAAATTAGTCTAAGATTAAGATCATAAATTTGAACTTGCTCTTCAACTTACATTTGTAGATGATGCTTATCAAATAGCATAACAAACTTAAGATATGTTGAAATTAAGATAAGTTGGAGATCTTGCTTTATAATAAGGTAGAATTAAAATAGCTGTTTAAGCCTTAGAATAAGCAGATGATTTTGGAGGACTCTTATTAATATATTCATCTTTAGGATTGAAGAATCAATTATTATAATTGGCAGATAAAGCTTTCTAACAAACAAAAATGAATATTGCATTCTCTTCCTATTTCTTATGTGCTAATCTAGATAAATGTCTTGAAGTTCTTATCAAAAGTAATAGACTTCCTGAAGCTGCCTTCTTTGCTAAAACATATTGTCCTTCCAAAATTAGTCCTATTGTTAAATTATGGAAAGAATCTTTAGCTAAAACACATCCAATAATATGTAAAATTTAAATAATAAATCTTAGCCTAAAAAATAGCTGATCCTTTTGATTATCCTGCTCAATTTAATGATCTTAAATTAGCTATTAAAGTTGAAAAATTCTATGAAAATATTAGATAATAGGCTATACCAGCTGATCAATTTAAATAAGTATTTATTATTATTACTTTTAAAGTTTTAAGAATTTTTGAATTAAGATCTATTTACATAATTGCAAAATAACCCAAATTTGGATCTTTCACAATTCACTTATGGATCTGGGTGAATATTAAATATTATATATCAAATTATATATTATATTAAGTAATATGAATACAGGAAATAATCTTATTCATCTTAAAATACAATTATGTATCTGATTAAATTATATTTTATTAATTAATTAAATTTGTATTAAGCTAAAATTAACTATTAAATTATAATAACATATATATTAAAGAGTTTAATAGGATTAAGTAATTAACATAATAACCATTAGCTAAAGAATAATTAGATATTATATGTATTTATAAAACACCACTTATTTAAATAAGAAAATAATAAATATTTATGATAGTCTATTTTAAATAAATTCTTTAAATTATTAATTTCGATAGTTAAAATTGAATGGTATGAATTATAGTCTAATATTAATTCCTTTTTTTATTACTTATAATATTAATAACAAAATAAATTATTTACAAATTGTTATTCTAAATCAATTCTTTAAAGATTCTATCTCTTTTTCTAACTAATTTTTATACTAAGGATTTATAGCAATACATTTCTAAAAGCATTCTATTGCTTACTAAATTTACCCTTTGGCTTTCAAAGTATAACCTAAATAATTAGTATTCTAAATTACCTTTAGAATATTGGATCAATGCATTCTTAGGGTCGATTAGCTCTCCTTAATTGAGTGCACTCAATGATTCATCATATTTTCTTTAGCATCTTAATGAATCCCCTAATATTTAATTAATAGAGTATACCTTTTCCAAATAGAGTTACAGCATTCTTGGGATTTATTACTAAAGCCTTTTCAAAAAATATCAGAGATTCAGCAAATCTTTACATTTTTCTTAGAGTCTCACCTTTATAACTTAATGCAATAAAATTCTTTTCATCTAATGATAGGGTCCTATCAAAATATTATAAAGCTTCTTCATATTTGCCTTGAAGTCTTAGTGTATCTGCTTTATGGCAAATAGCCTCCACATAGTTTGGATTATCTTAAATAATCTAATCAAAAATTTAAATGGCTTATTCATAAAGTCCCGACATTTTTAAGCACATACCTAAGATGATTATCATTATTCTTACCTATTCTCCATTTACAATTAATATTAATTGGATCAAGGGTTAAACAATAACTAAACAAATCTTTTGCATGCTGATACTTCCCCTAGATGTAAACTTAATTGGCTTATTTTAAACATTCTTAAAACTCTTGATACTCTCCATCAGTTAGATTTGATTGCGAAAATTCCATTGCTATTTTTAAATCGTTTAAAATTTCTTTGGCTTTTTTTAATTCTGCTTATGTCTTTATGGCAATGGAAGTATTTAATTGAGAATTTTTAGAAGCAATTAAAATCTATTTTACTTTATTAATATCCTCATGGTTGGAGATTCTTTAGGTACTTAATATATATTGTATAATCTTAGTTATCTCTAACTTTATTAAATTCATCATCTGTATTATTTCTTCGCAAAATTAGTAGCTTTGTTTCATATACTATATTTATTCTTCAAGTTTTTATCTTATTACATCTATCGTTTATAAATCATCATTATGATTTGTGTGCTTTGGAAAACAACTAATACATAATCCAGAAGCTGCTTAACAATCTTTATTTAAACAAACTGCAATAATAGGTTTTTATTAATGTTGAATTTCTTTACAATATAAAGTATTCTCTATAATCATATTGAATTAATTTTTGTTATATAATTTATTATCAATATTTGACTAGTTTAATAGGTATGTTATTTATATTCATAATTAATATATGAAGTATAGTTATTATAAATGTATTAACTGACTATGAATTTAATAATCTCTTTTTAATATTCAACTTAAAAGAATACATAATTATTTACATTATGGGACATAACTTCTGATAATATATCTCAAGAAATCTTAATTATAGAAAGATTTATTAATCATAAAAGTATTTCTAAAAATAATAACTTATTAAAAACAAACAATTCTAAAATATTGAATGAAGAACAATACTCAACAGTCTACAGTTTCTCCAAAAATGACTATGTATAAAAATGCCATGAAAAATAAACATAATCAAAGCACTCAATTAGGTGAATAATTACAAAAGAACCAGAGTCTAACTTAATTTCAGGAGTAACAACAAAATTAAAGAAATAAAGATTAAGAAAAGTATGATAACTGATGAATTAATAGTTCTTTTAGATCTGTGAAATTTTAAGATTTAAACTCAGTTCATAATCCTATTGATGTAATTAGGTTAAAAGACATTCTTGAACAAAATAGAAAGGAAATTAAAATCAATCAAATTTAATCTAATATCTAACATTTAGATTAACAATAAAAGAGCTTCACAACTCAAAAACAATCTTTTAGTGAAGCCTTCAAAGAACTATAAATTGATAATAAAAAATTATATTTGCCTATCCAGGAATGTAAATAGAGATTTAAAGAGAATGTTAATTTTGATTTCGAAACTCCCAGATTTTTTGGAATGCCATGATCAATAATACTTTATTGATAAATTATTTTTCTTACCTATTATAAATTTTTATATTGTGTTTTGAACCTCTATACAATGTCAATCAAACATTAATAAATTGATGAACCTCTTTACATATTAAAGGGATTTAAAATACCTTTACTTAATACATATTTTCAAGAACCTTATCTATCTCCTATAAATGTGAAGTAATAACTGAGTTCCAGATGTAATAATTAACCATTTTTTGAATCTTCAAGCACTAAAGCAAATGCAACAAGTAGAGAATTTTTTCGTTTCGAATCATAGAAAGTAGATAAAACACAATAGAACAAGCAACTATATGAAAAATCACTTTCTCCAAATAAACCTAAATTTCTTGAGGATAATAAATTAAAAGGATTATTAAATATTGTTTCAGATAGAAATAAACAAATTCATCTAAAAAAATATGATTTTCCCATAGGAGGTTCAACTACTAATACAAAAAAAATAAAGTTTAACTTTAAGAAAATAAATATAAAAATACCTTAAAAAATACAATTTTCAAAGGAAGATTTAGAAAATAACAAGAAATTTTTAATAAATACACTTCGAAAAAATTCAGTTATTCAGAATTAAGTAGATATTGAAAGACCTGTCAGATCTAAATCAGATTTTGAAAAAGCAAGATCTAAATCAAATTTAAAGTAAGTTAGTCCCTACAAAGATTTATTAATTGAAGAATAATAAAAGAAGAAAACTGTTAGATTCAATGAGTTAGTAGAAATAAAAATGTTTGATCGAATAAAATCTCATTTAATGAAATAGTTAATATGAATGAATTATTTTAAGATGATTAAAGATATAAATTAATTTGCTAAAACTTTTATTTATTGAATGAATCCATAATCCCTTAGAACTCGTAGACCATCTTACATCAAATCTTATCAACAACTCTTATTAAATAAAGTATGTTTCCCTTCACAAAATCTTGTTATTTCAAAATTAAATTGTAACAAACAACAAGATAAATGTTACAAATAATAATCATAATAATTACCTACAAAAATGAAATTAGTCTAATTTGATTGCAGTAATGAACCTTCTTATTTTATTTCTAAATTAATAAAATTATGTGGTTTAGAAAATGTTTAAGACTCAAATGAACTTTAAATCAAGGCCCAACAAAGAAATTAAAATGAATTAGTGTAAAGATCAATAAATCAAGATAACTTAGTTAGATTAAAGTCGAATCAAATAAGGGTCCGTTAATTGTCAAATGATTTTTTAACAGATCGAGTCATGAGATCTAATATAACTTAGAAGACTAAGAAGGTTAGATTCTATGAGAAAGTAGAGTATTGGGTGTAAAATAAAGACAAGAATTTTGATTATGATTACAGATATTTTGAGGCTTTGAAATTATAATGAGTACCAACATTTTAATTATTAATAATCCATAATTTATTTGTTTACTTTTAATAAATAATTACGCATTAATTGTAAATATTTTTTTTGAACATTTAAAGGTGTAATCTAAGATATTTTAAACAATATTATTATTTTTATGGATGCTAGAGTATTGTAATTACATTAAAAAAATAAAATAAAATAAACTAAAAACAATGTTTTTATAAGGGTCAAAAATCAAAACACTTGAGCCAACTGTTAATTAATAAATGAAATATTCAACAAGATAATTAAATTAAGAGCCTAAATCTTCTCATTCATTGCATCGTCGATATTCTACTATTGGTGTAATTCATCAAGATGTTTACAAGATCGAAGATAAATATTCAAAAAAGTTAAATCACTTATTACAAACTAAATATTATAATATGCATTAACTGTTCAAAAAGAAATAATATATTCCTGCAAATTTTAAGTTAGACAATAAACCATTTGAACATGTAGTAACAAATTAATTCTCTAAAACATCATCCTAGTTTGTTTAGAAGAAAAAGAAATTCAATGTAAAAGAATGGCATAAAATTAATTATGATAGGTTTAGATTCTTGAGTAGGTAAGGAAGTATTGAAAAATTAGTAAGTAATAGATATCAAAGTATTTAGCCTTGTTTATAAATTTCATAGGCTAATAGATAACATAGATCAGTCTCGTAAATAAATAATTATAGAACTGAATCATTTAATAGTTTTAATAATGAAAGGAGTAAGGGTCAAAGATGTAATTCTTTATAAAAAGAAAATCTTGTTATATTTTTAATTGATGAAAATTAACACAACTAAAAACATGACAGAATTGCTTAGATTGTATGAAAATAATTTTCACTATCATCTTATATTTATATATAATTATAATGAGTTAATTAATATCAAAAATATTTTTCTAAAAAACTGTGTTAGTATTAAGAATTCAAGGTTCAATTAATTCTTAATTGTAAGAAATAGGTTTATAAATAATAGAGTGAGTTAAATTTCTCATTAGTTGGAGCATTATAATAGAGGAAGTTTAGTGGCTTTAGGATTAATTATAAATTCTTAAGGAGGATGTCCATACTAAGTTGAAGTGTTAAAAAAGAAAATCAAAAATTATCTAAATGATTTGCCACTTTATACATTTGCAACCGAACATAGTTTAGGGAATGCATATCAATTATTATAATTGGGAAATAAATCATATGCTTAAAATACATCTAAGATTGGTTTTACACATATGTACAAAAACAAATTAAATTTTGCTGATTTCCTCAAAAATTATGGGATAAATGTAAAGTCATAATATATATTATTAGACTTTGTAATATTAATCAAGTTAAATAGTGAATCATAATTTTGTTGTAAATTCATCGATAAAAAGCAATAGTTAATAAGAAATAGATTATTTACATCAATATTATGGATTGAAATCTAAATAGCTAACAGAGGAATGTTGGACAAGTAGAAGGGAAAAAATAAAAATAAATAAGGAATAATTAGAAAATAATGTATTTTTAGGAGTAGAAGCAAAAGAACTAGGATTGGTAGATGAATTAGGCAGTTATGAAAAAGTTTTGATGTAATAGTATCCAAAAGCAAAGATAATTCCAATAAATACAGAAGGCAAATTAAGAGAGTATGAGAATTGGTTTAATTTGTTCATTAAGATATCATAATCAAGTATGGATTGATAATTTATTTATAAAGGAGGTTTTTTGGGATTAGTATTATTATTTGGAGTTAAAGTTATTGTGAAATGGGGATTGATTATTTATGTATGGAGATAATCAGTCAAATAAAGGAAATTATAAAAGTAATAAGAATTATAATAATGAGTTATATTATATTATATAAATAATATTCTTTATAATTTAATTTATTTATTATCAAATTTAAATTGAAATATTCTAATATCACAATTTATATGATTTATTTTTTTTGTCAAAGGAATAATGAATTTATAATAAGAATATACAAAATGTTATAAATATTGATTATAATAATCATGATAAGATCTAATATTTCCAAAATTCATCAATATAAATTATAATCATAATAAAAATGAATCTTTAACAATAAATGGGTTGATTAATGGCCTGACAGATAATATAATTTTAAGTCTCTTTCATTTTCCATTTCATCATCAATAAAACATTTGGCACACTCATAACATATATCAACATGTTGACCATCAAATTTGCCTGGTCTACAATTTAAACAAATATATCTAGGTAAAGGATCAAAATCTTTTTCTTCTCCTTTCTCTCTTTAACATGGATGACAATCTATAGGATGATACTTATTCAATTATTAATTCTTTTTAGGGAATAAGTTACGTCCAAATTTATATGAACTTAATCTATTTAATTCTTCATCAGATGAACCAGATGGAATGTATACTAAATTACTTAAGATTTTGAATTCTATTAGTTCTGTTTTATCATCATCATATTATCCACACTCAATACAATAATATTTGCATAACCATGGAGAATAGAATTATCCTTTTTTAATAATTGATTGATTACATATACTACATTATTCTCCTTTTTTTATTTAGAAATCTATTAAAATAAAAATAAATACATTAATAAAGATCAGGGAATTAAAGTTCTTTTGAAACTAATTATCCTGATTAAGCTTCTAAATTTAAATTAACAAATTCATCTTCTTAATCACTATATCTTTATAAAGCATAATATTCATGTTCTTAAGGTGTTGAAACAATTAATGGTATTATAGCTATTCCATCTTATTTAACTAATTTATTATCTGCTTAATAAACAGCAAAACCATAATTGATAATATCAAATTATCCAAATTACATTAAGGAATTTCGACAATCATAAATATCAAACTCAATTATTTTATTTTATAAGAAATCCTCAAATCCCATTTCAATAACATTTTTTGCTCTTTCAATTATTTAAGGAATATGATCAAGACATAAGATTTTAAATGTCCCTTTTGGTTTAAGTTTCTCTAATAATTTAAGTATTGCTGTAGCTGTGAATCCACTACCACAACCTATATCTAATACTGATAATTCTTTATTTAAATCTTTTTTAACATATTTATAAATTGTCTCTAAAATTTTAATTTAAACTTCAAAACTTTCAATAAAACTTCCCTCTGCAAAATCAAACTTTTCAAATTCATTTTAAAATAAAGGAACATTATCTACATAATCTTATATTTCTAATTCTAATAATACTTATGCTATTTCAGGATGCATTTCAAAACCTCTTTGATATAATTTCTATATTAATTTAGCTTAATTGCTATTCATTAGAAACAAATATGGTTCAAAGAAATCTAATTTTTCATAATCCAAAGCTTAAGTTGGATTTTTGATCATTGGTTATGTTTTTGATTGTGTTTATTATTATTATTCAACCAACATAGATATTCCTTTAATGATTTTCATTGATTATTTTTATCCTTTGACTGTTCTAATATTATTAGTATTTTCCATTGGTTTTCTTAAATATTTATTATCAGTCATTCCATATTATAATATTTGAATATGTTCTTCTCCATCAAAATTTTAATAATAATCATGTAGAAATTAAATTAATTCTTCATTTAATTTTGGATCTGTAACTTCTTTATGTAATCCTAATTTAGTTTTTACTTCATTCATCATAATAATATCATTAATTCTATTGGCTTTAGTTATTGTTAATGATTTAGTTATTGAAATTATAATAGATATTGTAGATGATGCCAATGAAAGCATAAGAATTTCTATTGATTTTTTATTTGGATTTAAAAATAAGTAGATAACTTATAATAAAAATTATGGTAAATCTTCTGCAAATGTTCTAAAAGTTGCTGCATAAACTCTATTTGGAATTCCCTTCATCCATAAAAAGTTAGTTGTATTTTATATTGTCCATTTTTCTAATAATGAACCTACTAAATGTATTTCAACAAAAGAGCAATAATTACATAAATAATCAATATAATTTTCATCTCCATCTTATCTTGATAATAATAAACTTAAGATATGAAACATTGTTGTACACAATGTCAAAGCCATAATAGCTATTGCACAATATCCAATAGCAGTGTTATCTCCACAAGTCATTACAGTAGTAATAAAACAAATATCAGAATATACATCAAATTTAGCCATTTAACTTAATAACAAATCTTTACTCTTAAAATATTAAAAATTAATTATATACAAAAAACATTATTCTCTTCCAATAAGGACCAGTTGAAAATTCAGCATGAGTAATTTCTTTATCTATGCAAGTCTTAGCCAATCTAAGTTCCAATAAACAAACTAGAAATGCATAACCACAATATATAAAATGTCCTGTCCATTAATGTCCTTAGCATTCAAGTACAAAATAAATAGGTATGAATACACAAATAAAATAAAAAGCTAAAAAGTTAATCCAAAATAAGATATTTAATGAATATTTACTATTTTCAAGATGTTTTTTGAGATCATCCTTCTTATTATTATATTCATAATCAGCTGTTTTAATACCTAAAAGATGAGTGATGAAGGATCCATAATTACTTTATAAAAATACACAATAACAACATATAATGTATTTTTAAATAAAATAAATGGAACAAAAGCATTATTTTAAGCATTCAATAAAATTAGTTTAAATGTTTTAAATCATATCAGTAAACATCTTAACATAGATCATAATAAAAGCACACTAATAATAATAATATAATATTTTACAAAACATGTTTTAATTTCATCTACTTATCCTTCATCTTATCTTTCATACAATTATAATAATGATTAATCCCAATAATAATTCTAATTAGAATTTACTATATATAAATAAAAATTCATAGGAAATTCATCATTATTTTATTATTCAATTCCTTCAATTTCAGAATTTTTAACTTACTTTTTTTATTCATCAGATAATTGAATTGTAAATTTTTCAATTATTTATTTAGTAAAGAATTTCATTGCAGATTCAGATAATTCTTCACTAAATTCAATAATTAATGTTTATGTATTTTTCAAAATTAGATTTTTATTTTTAATCAACATTTCTAATTAAGATCTTGTTTATTCTCTAAAGAGTTAATTACCAGATATATCTAATACTCTTATATCTTCATTATTTTCAAGTGTCCTTAATAATTTACAACCTTCTTCATCAGTAAATTAATTATTTCTTAAATTAATAATTGGAATCTTTTAAAAGAGTAATCTATAAAAAGAATAATCATCTTCAGATAATAATTATTATTCATCATCATTAACCATTTCTAAATTCTAATATCTCATTTTCTATTTCATCATAGGTTTTTTAGATTAATTACCAAGATAATTACTAGATAAATCTAAATATTTTAATTATGTTAAACGAGTTATCTTTTTAATATCTTCAAAGGTAATTTTATTATTACTAAGATCTAAATAACTTAATCTATCAACTTTGTTTATTAAATCAATCATATAATCTTTAAATGGAAGTTTAACATCAAATAATAATGAACAATTTCCAAGTAGTAACATTGTTAGATTTTAATATTATAAATTCTATAAAAGTTTTGAAATAATTAAATATCTATCATCACTAAGTTTCATATCATTATATTATCTAAGATAAGCATCAGCAAGATCACTTAAATATAAAAACATTTTATTATCTGTATCTTATGCAGTATCAAAAAATTATTCAATTTTTATAAATTGTTTCTTCTTTTTCTATTTTGATTATTTTCTATATTCCTATTTTTCACTTTCATTCTTTTTCAAATCTAATTATTATGGCATACCAATTCCAAATTATTAAGGTAATAGATTTTATTTAACACTATTTAATGACCATGCTAATATCTATATACGTAATTCATATTTCTTTCTTCTATATCTTAATCTTTCTTAAAATTCTGTTTTATAGAATTCTCTATATTCACTCATTTTTAATATACCATCATATAATGGTTCAAAGTATTATTCTCCATTTAACATTATCTATTAATTTGATTAAGTTTTCTTGTCAATTCCTGAAAATCCAATATAAAATGAAGATTAAAAATATTATTACAACACAGGTTTATAATTAAACATTTCTGAAAGTTTCAATTCAATAAAATATAAAAATGGCATTTATAGTAAATTATCAATTTTTTATGTATCAAATGATATAATTTAAATAAGACCATTTTCTGATATCTATAATAAATTTGGAAATTCTTAATATTGACTTAAAGGATAAATTTATTTAGTTAAATCACTCAAATTTTAAAGATATAATCTATCATCACTATTTTAATCAATATCAATAATAAACAATTATCCTGTATTTACTACAACATATAATTTATTCTAAATTGGAAAAAATTTCATATCAAATACTTCAGCTCCATCATAATATGAGTATTTTTTAATTACCTTTCCTTTTCTATTTAAATCCATTATATTTATCTTGTATTCTAAACCATTTACCATCCTACATTAAGCTACTGCTAATAATCGTCCATCATTACTGATTGTAAGTTTATTAATTATTTCAAATTATTCAACAACATATGTTTTTGCATTCCTTATATTTGAATTTATATCTTCCCCTAAAAATGTATACACAACTATAGAACTATCTCCTAATGCAATTACTAATTGATTTGTCTAATGACAATATGCACTTGCACTTATACCAACTATAAATTTCTCAGTTATTGTTTCAATATCTTATTACAATAATTAATATTTATGGCTTTCTTCTTTTTTCTATTTCTATACCATTTATGTTAACTAATTAATATAAAAGCATTTGATGCTACTCAAATCAATTACTATAGCTAAATCACCATTTGTTAAAAATATATTCTAAATTGAGCATTCACTAAATTTTATAATCTCTATCTGTTTTAGAATATCAAATTATTTAATTGAATTACATAATTAATACATTTCCAATCTTCCTTTTTATGTTCCAACTAAAATATAATTGTTATAATATCCTATAGCAACTGCTGTTACTATACAGCCTTAATTATTCAAATTCGTATGTTAAATTATGTGGTTTCTAGTTACAACGTCAATTATCGAAATACAATTCTAATTATTCTCAATTTAAATAAGTTACATAATGTCCTAAAATTAGCAATTCATTTGAAAAAGCAGAGCAATATATCTGTTTCCGATTGATTTCATAGTCTCGTATGAAAAAAGGCACTTGATTTACAGATTATAGATTAGAATCAGGAAATATGATTGAATAAAGCTTTTAATTGTCTTACATTATTAAATTAATTTACTTCAACTATTTCTAAATTTAAATACATCTAATTCTTATAATTCCCAATTAAATATATTCTAATCCATTTCTCTTATTATACTATCATAACTCATAAATTTATGTAATTAATTCATCATAATCTCAATATACTCAATCAATTACAAATGAAAAATTCATTATACTAATATTCATTTTGATTAGGTAATATTTAAATACCATAAAAGACTCATCTACTATCTACTGATAACTATGAAATCAAATATTTTATTAGATTAAATAATCTTACTATCAAAATTAATACTTGATCAAAAAAGAAAAATAACAATAACAATAACTAAAAATATAATGACTATTATTAACTTCAAGTAGAATGATAATATCCCAAAAAATAAGAAGATTTCAATTTTTAGAACCAATCTATATTTCTCCTTAATAGCCAATTTTCAACTAATAGAAAAATTAGTATTAAATTTTCTAAGAGCAATTACATCGATTAAATCATTTTATTGATGGCCAAACCTATAAATATCACAAATCCAAATGTATAATATTTTGAATAATCATTTACGTCAATTAATATAAACAAATCAATTTATTTATACATTAGAATTTGAATTAAACTGAACTATATATTTATGTTTAAATTAATAACATTATTAATACGTATTAAAGATATTCCTATAAGAAATATTGAAAATAAAATAAAATAACCTTGATGCTTATTTTTAAAATAAAAAATGATGAGCCCTTCATTAAACTAAATCAAAATAAAAAAGATTCTACTCCTAATAATCATTTCTATCGATCATAATTTTGTTAACATTAAAATTATGATAATGGTATTTAAAATTCATTAAATTAATTGTTAAACGACAACGATGAAATCTATCTCTAATAGTTAGATAATAAAATTGATTGCTTCAAAAGATAAAATCTGAAAAAATAAATATTTTTTGAAGATATATTTTAATCCAAAAACATCAATTAAACAAAAACAAAATTTCCACACCTTTTAATTAGAAATAACTATCATATGATAGGATTAAAAAAAAAAAAGCCTAATTTTTAATAAAATTTAAGGGAATAATGTTCTTCCCTTTTACCTTGTATCAAAATTTCATAAGCTAAGCACTTTACTAGATCCTGTTAATAGACAAAAATTGATAAATCTATGATTTTTTATCCTAAAAATATGTTGAAAAATTAGAATGAAAATAGATCTGAGTTTAAAGAAGCCATAATCATACTAGATACATAAAATAATTAAAAAATATCGAGAATTTTATGTGATTTATGAAAATTTATGCTTTCAAATATAATCTATTGTTTCTATAACTCATTTAATTATATGTTAATTTAAATGATTGAAATATCAGAATATTATACCATTATTTTAGAGATATATTAAAAGATATCCATTTAAAATTTAATAAATAATAAATCATTTTTCAATTCAAAATCATGTTATGAATTATATTATTTGAAAGTGATCTTAGAATTTTAAAAGTTAATTCAACAACAAAAGTTAAATAAATATTACTTACTCATCTCTACATACTATTAATATTAGGATTAATTAGTGAGTAACTTTTATTAAAGAATTATGATTTATACATTAAATTTTTTTTATTATATAGATGATAATTGTATTAGAATAAATCAAAAATATTTTTAAATTATCATAAATTTTTTGTCAGTTGTAAAAATATTTAGAAAATTGAATTAATTCATTTAAGATTAAATTTTTACTTTAAAAGATTGTAAAGTACATATTTATATGTTAAGTATATTTTTATTATTAATTGTTTATAAGGATTATTATTTTTTAATTATATAATATAACAATAAAATAAATGTAGAAAATATAGGATGACTAATAATTTATAAAAAATACAAAGAGCATGTAAAAGATGCAAGAAATTGCAGATAGATTAGCATCTACAACTCCTGATTTAACTAAATGTGAGTTTGAATTTAATTTTAGTTATTAATCCTGAGGCAATCTTAAAACCGACGAAAATGTAAATAGATCTATAAGGTAAGAAAGGTGATCCTAATGATCCAAAAAATAAGAAAAAGCAAATCTAATAGAGTACTGTTATAACAAAAAATGAAATGACAGCATAAGACTGGATATTGAAATGTTAAGAATTGTAAGCAATATTGGAAAAAGAAAAAATGAGAACAAATTAATTGGAATTGGAACTAAAAAATAGATAAGAAAGATTTGTTAATAGAGAAATAGAATATAGAAAAACAATAGAAGAATTATAATCTGAATTAAGAGCTAAAACAGCTTTAGATTAAGGAGATCGAAAAATAATGGAGAATATATATAAGGATCATAATAAGATTATTGAAGGAATTAATAATATTTAATTAAGAACATCAAAAATATTAGTAGATTAAGAGAGAGATATTATTCGATTTTTTAATAATAAAATTAATGAAATAAAGAAATAATTTGAAGAGGAAAGAATTAAGAAAGGTAAAAATGATTAAGAATATATTGAGAAAGAAAATTAATTGATTAGTGAATTAGAATGGATTAAAAATATAGCTTAAAAAATAGATAATGAAAATCATTCTCTAATGTAAAAATATAAAGAATTAAAAATATAGTATTAGACATAAGAGAATGATAGAGAAATGCTTTTAAAAGAGTTAATAATGAAAAAGAAAAAAAATGCGATTCTTAAATCATAAATATAATAATATGAGAAATTATTGAATGAAGTATAAAAAGATGAAGTAGAATAAGATGATCAATCATTTGATTAACCATCTTATTAAGATATAGTAAGACCTGGAAGTAAAGCTAAAGTGAGAATTAGGTCTGTAAAGAATTCAGCCTAATCATAATCATAAAATAAATAAAATAAAGATGAATAATTATCAAAAAATCCATCTTAAATTCAATAATAATTATAAGGATCTTAATCAATTTAATAAACATTATAAAGGTATGAGAAAACAATAAAATCTTTGTAATCAACATTAAAAAAAGAATAAAAGAGAGTGAGAGAATTAAAATAATTATATATTAAAGAAATGTAAAGTAAATCAGAATTAGAAGTAATATTAAGAAAATGTATAGATGATATTAAGGAAGAAATTATATAAATAAAAGGAGAAGCTAGAATATTTAATAAAAATAATAAAAGTAAATTATTAATTAAATAATATAGATAAATAAGATAATTTGGAGAAGGAAGATAGAGATAAATTAATTCAAACATTATTAGATAATGAAAAAATAGTGACATTAATACATGATTAGATATTTTATGCAAATAAAAAAAAGGTTGATGTTGATGAATTAAATACATCAAAATATTAATAATAATAATAATAATAACCAGAATAATAAAAATTATTTTAATTTCCTAATAAATAAATAATATAATAATAATCTTAATAAAGATAATAAGAAGATGAAGGATTTGATGATGGAGAGAATCCAGAAGATGAATTTTGATTAGTATATGTTTAAATATTTTTAGTTATATGTAAATATTTATTCATTATATATTATTAATAGGTTTAAATGAATAGTAATCTGTATTTCTTCTTTTAAAATCTACTCTTCTGGTGATTGAAGTGTTTCTTTGATTATTATTATTAAGTTCTAATTTATTCTTAGCATCTTATGTTGTATTATTCATTTTAAGAAGAATATCTAAATGAGTATTATTTTAATGAAATGTTTTATTAATTTTATCTGTAATTTCCTTAAGTTTATTTTCGTAATCCTCTTTTATAGTTTAAATGATAGTTGTTTATGGTATTGAATAACTTCTATCTTGAATATTTACAGTATTTTTAGTTTATTCTTTAAGTATTGGTGAAGGTGGTTTATTTTCTTGATTAATCTTAGAATTATTAAATTATTAGAAATATTACTCAACTCTTTATAATTCAATTTTTTTATTAAATGGATCAATAATCTCTTTGAACTTTGTCCAATTTTAAAATTATTTTGTATCTTATTTAGCAATAGGTAATAATATCTATATTAATAATTTAAAAGAGAATTACTTCTTCAATAAATCTAATGAATCCACTACATATTTGTGAAATATCATCAGAACCCATAAGAGTTTGATATCTTTGTTATGACATTGACATATAATTTTACTGTTAAATTTATTTATATAATTATTATTTAAAGTTGATAATATAATTTTGAATATTTCATTTCATCAAAATTATGCAAATGGTTATTATCTATTTTAAGACATATCATTAAATCCACTTTATTATGGATTCTAACTTCCAATTGGACCAGCTAATATAATAATATATCATTTACCAACTTGTTGTTAATTTCCTCTATAAGAATTTATTGCTACAATTGCTCCAACCTTATGATAAATTCAATCATTTTACTTTTAATAAGGCATTTACAATACTAATGAAGATTACAAAAACATGTAGACCATGTAATTTACCCCAAACAGGATTATTTTTTTCTGTAGCAGTCCAAATTGATCCAACTGACAATAACCATATTAAATCAACCAAAATTAAGATACCATTTAATACCATTAACTAAGAAAATATTAATTAAATTATTACCATTAAAGAATTGGCTTTGTCATCTCTTGATATCCATAAATAATAACAAAAGAAAGCAAAAGGAAAATTAAAATCTGTTCTAATCAAACATGCTAGTACTGATAACCACTTTCAAAATATTATTCATGAATTTCTTACAGCAATTGATAAGAAAATTAACTCTATTATTTTACTTAATTTCTTTGTATCCATCTCTTCTTAATTTATTCAACTATTTATATTAATTCAAATAATTTTTATATTTTTAAATATAAGACTGTTATATATATATATATTATTATCATTAAATCTAAATTATTTGTAATATCAATCCTATTCTTCAAATAGTATTTAATAATATATATCTATTATAAAAGAAAACATTCTATTTTTAATATTTAATTAAAAATATGAATAAATATGCTATAGAAGAATAAGAAATTTTAAATGAAATTATTGATCAAATATTTTCATCTAACTTTGCATAAACTAAAAATATTGCAGAAGAAATCTATAGTGTTAAAAGACTTACTTCATTGGAATAATACTTACCTAATATATGTGGATTTTATGCACTTTATAATACATATTTTGAAATCAATCACAATATTGCCCTATTTTGGAAATTCTACTTTGAATTAATTAAATTATTAAACCAAACCTTTGAAGGGGATTTTGAAAATTTTGATGAATTATAACGTTATCATCTTGATTACATATTGAATAATAAGATTGTATAATAACTCTAAGTATATTAAGATTTTGGAAATAAAAGACAAAAAGAAATAATACAATTATTTTATGGATGTGATATAATTTAAAATTCAATAGAAGAGTTATCTATCATCTAGGAATAATTTAACAAATTAAGATAATAATAGATATCTAATTTAACTTTAATTTGTGGAATAACAATACATTATTTAATTATTGATTTGAAATGGGAAGAAAACTAATTAAATATTTATTTGATAGATTCTCAAAATGATAATTTAAGTAAACTTTTTAATAAACAAATTATTTTTGATTAAAATCTTACATTAGAAAAGAGAAGAAGAAGAAGATATAAAATAGATTTAAGAAATCTAATTATGATTCTTTAAAGATTATTAATTGGATAAGATATAGTTGATATTTATTTAGAATATGCAATAAATTCTTTAAGGGATAGTTTTGAAGAATATGCATAAAGAAAATAAATAAAAGAATGGATTATTGAGCAGTATCCCTTACCAGTAATAAAACATATGATATTTAATGTTGCTAAATAATTTAATAAATAACTTTAAAAGATGTCATGGATATTAGAGTATGAGAATGAAGAATTAAATGAATTAAAGAATTAATTAAATACTTTTATTTGATTTGATATATAATATAAAAATAATTTAATAATGAAAGGATATGAATTTTTAAGACTGATATAAGAGATTGGAGTTATACTTAATTTATCAACTCCAACAATCAGTCATGTGATTACTATTTATAAAAGGTATAAGATAATAATAATAATAATGATTAGATTCACATTAAGTAATAAAAGACAATTTAAAAAAGAAATGGTTATTACAGCATGTTTCTATTTAGTAAGTAAGATAGTTGAAGATATGAAAAGAATTAGAGATATATTAGTTAGTAAGTAATTCATATTAAAAAGTAAGTAATTTGTGTTGTTAATAAAATGTATACATTGGCAAATTAAGAGAGAAAATAGAAATTATAAGCTAATAATTAGGTTGATTATGATGAAGATCCTATTAAATATTTAGGCATAGAATAATATGAGAATTACAATATTGAATATTTTGATAAATTTGTACCATTATTTAATAATGAATAATATGCAGAATGGAAAAGAGAAGTATTAGAAGCAGAATAGCATATTTTAAGAATAATAAATTATGATTTAAAAAATGAGACATTAGATAGCTATTAATTATTATTGAATTATTTAAAGGTATATATTAATAAGTCTACTTTTTTTTTAGATCTTTCAATTTGAATAAGGATTAAGATAGATGATATTTGATATATTTTAGGATACATTCTTTGTTGATTTTTAGAATGATATGGTAATGATATTTAATAATTTTTAGACTTAAGTTGATTGTGTAAAAGGATCAATATATTTAGGAATTTAATTTTTTAGAATGCATGCTGTAGATAAATAGAAATTGTTGAAATTAAAAGAAGAATTTTGTTCTTAAAAATGGTGGGAAGAATTTATGTAAATCTCATATAAATAACTATTATTATTTCAAATTGACATGTTACAATATTACAATGCTTAAGATTTTGTATAAGTATGAATATTATTTATGTATTTAATAATGTTTATACTTGTCTATTATTTTATATCACTAAACTATTATTTAAATTTTATTATAATAACATATTAGATAAGAACATAAGAAATTTGTAAGAAAATTTCAAATTTTCAAATCTAAATTAATTAATAATATTAATTGTATTTTCATTGATTTAATATGAATACTGTGAATAAATCATCAAATTGGTAACAACCATAATAAAATATTTGATCCCAAGGCACTTTAACAATTGAACCAAATTCCTTGATCATATTTTCTTTTCTAATAATAATAAGATAAATTTTATTTACATCTGGTTTATCTTCAAGTTATTCAAGTGTTGTTTTATTTTATATTGTTAGATAAATGTGAAATATAAAGAAACCTGATATCAAGACAGCAAGGAGAAATACAAAATAATAGTGAAGAACTATAATATAGAGTTCTAAATCGGAAACATCATATTCAATTACATTTTCAAATACTTTATATTAGGAAATAGTGACCCAAACTAAAAGACAGCCTCTACTTTTAAATGAATTTAATCTTACTTGCATAAAAGATCATGCAGAAAAACATTTTATAATTATCTTTGGCAACACAATTATTAATCCATTGACAATGATGATCCATTCTTAACCAACAAGTATTACATTATGAACAATGATGTGCTCTTGGAGGTTTAGGAATACAACATTTTTTACAAAATCTTTTTTAGACACCTTTTTGATTTAGATCTTTAGTAATATTATCTTCTTCTTCTATAATTTCTTCTGCATCAAGATTAACAACACTTCTATCTTCATCATTTTCTGTTTTGAATGTTTTTACAGATTTTTAACTTCTTCTTTATTTTTATTCTGTTAATCTTTCTTTTTCTTATTATTAAAATATTTCCCATTACTTCCAAGTTTCATCAATTATTTCCTAAAATAAGTCAAAAAATAAAAAACCGTTGAAATTACTCCAGGTTATGAAAACATAGCTCTAAATATAGAAACAAGGAATAATAAGATAATAATATGCATTATAATGATCTCATAAGTAAATCCATTAAAATTGGGTTTTAGATTTGTCTATAATAAATAGAATAATTTACAAAGTAATAAATGCTGTATATAAATAATAGCACACCAAATAATATAAAAGTTGGCAATAATGACATTAATCTATTCCAAAAGATCATCTAAATTCGTTTTTAATTATATATATATATATTTTATAATTATATAAAATTCAATATATATATATATTTCACTCTAAGAAACTATTACTTAAATCAGGTATCTCTTCAAATTCTATTTATTCATTAACTGATAAAAGAAAAGTTGGATAATAGAATGTTTTTCCACATGTTACAAATGCACTAATAGGTTTACTACAATCACATGTTCTAGGTTTCATAGCTTAAGTAAAACAAGTTCTTAATTCAGCAATATAAAATTTACCAGTAGTTGCTTAATTAATAAATAATAATTTATACGATCTTTTTAACATGTATATGTCATTGCTGTTGATATTCCTAATACTTTTGTAAATGCTGCTCTTACTTCCCTATCTGTTAATTATCTATCATCATCTGGATAAATTCCTGCTGATGCTAATATTTTATAATAATTATATTGATTATTAAGATTTCCAACTCTTGACATATATCCATTTTATGTGAGATTATCTGGATGACATGTTCCATGTTTTTCCCATTCATGTCTATATTATTATTATAATCAATTACTTTCTAAATGTAAATGTATCTGCATACATACCATTCCAAGTAACATCAATTAATGTTTTTGTAGCAATAGTTAATTTATCTTCATCATATTCTTCATCTTTGCAATTGAATATCATTCCACAAGTAGTTTCTAACATTGTATTTGGCCATAATCCATGTGTATTCCATCTAGCATTATCATAATTTCCCATATATGTTTTTGTACAATTCAAAAATTTACATATAGATCCTGGCCATTCTTAAGCAAACACATACATAAATCCTAATATTTCATCATTTTATTGACAATATGTCAAACTAACAATTTATAACAAAAGTATGATTCTTATTTTCATATTTATCAATTATTATTTATTATAATAATAAATGATTAATCTATATATATTTATTGATTTTGAACATTATTATTATAATACATAAATTAATTTTATTCAATTTTCATCTAATTTATTCTTAAGACAATCAAAATAATCAATTGCTACTTTATTATCTAACATAAATTTTTCAGTCATTAATAATTTATGATGAATTGATGAATTTAAATTTATTGAATACCATTATTTATTTGGTTTTAATGCATCTTCCTTCATTTATTAGATAATTAAGGTTTGAATTGGAATATCTTCTGTAGTCTAACAATGATCATCAATAAATTTAGGTTTATTTTTTTATTTTTCTTAATTTTCATTAAATATAAAATCAGTTTAAGTTTCAACAGTATTTTAATTTTTATTGGTTATTTATTTATCATTATCTTCTATTGATTATTAAACCAATAAATTTGATAGTTCATTAGATTTTATTTATTAAGACAACTTAGTTTTGAATTTAAATTACATAAGGATCTTTTTCTAATTAGATTGATTGTTTTCTATCAATTGTTATTTTTCTTATTCTTTAATTTCACAATTATCATTGTTATCTTATATATTATCTTAAACTTATTAAATTTAAGAAGGCTCAATTTGATGAATAGATTATTCTTAATTTTCTTGTATACAAGGATATTATTTGTTAAAATTTGTACTTTTAAATTACTCTAATAATCTTTTTCTATTTTGCATGCACTTCTCTTAATAGAAAGATTGAGTTGGACAAAAATTGGGATGTTAATGCATAGTATTAATTATTTAATAAACAAAAACATTTTTATTAATAAGCTTCTAAATAATTAACATCCCTTTCATTTAGACCATTTTGTTAATGTATTTATTTATTTTTATGTATAATAATATCATGCTGTTGCTTTTTTAATAAATGTACGTTATGCAGCTCTCCTTATTTTTCCAGCATATCTTCCTGCAACTGTATCTGCATCTTTTACGTCTGCTTTATCAAATTGATCTACTTTTGCTTCTTTTCTATCAACAACATCTAATAAATTGATTTCGCAAGTGTTATCTCTATAATTAATGAATAATTATCTTACGGATTGACAAATACATATCCTCCCAAATGTAAGAAATCTCCTGTTACTCCTTTTACATCTTAAGTAAATTTAATTTTCAAAGGTCCAGGTGGTAAAATATAGACTGCAGCAGGTGTACGATTNATCTATCATCATCTGGATAGATTCCAGCTGATGCTAATATTTTATAATAATTATATTGATTATTAAGATTTCCAACTCTTGACATATAACCATTTTATGAAAGATTATCTGGATGACAAGTTCCATGTTTCTCCCATTCATGTCTACATAATAATTATAATCAAATACTTTCTGAAAGTGAATGTATCTGAATACATACCATTCCAAGTAACATCAATTAATGTCTTAGTAGCAATTGTTAATTTATCTTCATCATATTCTTCATCTTTGCAATTAAATATCATCCCACAACTAGTTTGTAACATTGTATTTGGCCATAATCCATGTGTATTCCATCTAGCATTATCATAATTTCCCATATATGTTTTTGTACACTTTTAAAATTTGCAAATAGATCCTGGCCATTCTTAAGCAAACACATACATATATCCTAAGATTTCATCATTTTATTGGCAATATGCCTAATTAATAATATACAGCAATAATAAGATTGTTGTTTTCATGATTATCAAAAATATTATTATAATTAATTTATATAAAATCAAATATTTCAAAATAAAATAATGATAATAAATATTTTTGTAAATGATAATTCCAAATTAAAATGATATATATTTATAATTTTACTAGTTAGGATAAATTTATACTAAAATCATTATTAATTTTAGATTTTCATATTACTTTTTATATTAACAAGGATTAATTAATATATATTATGTAAATTTAGTTTGTTATTTAAATTATCAAAAGATTTTTATGATTTTAATACTCCTTTTTTAAAAATAATATTTTTCTGAAATACAATAGTAAATCTTTAAATAGAATGAAATTTATAGTTATATTAATTATTTAATAAACCTAAATTAATAAGCTATTAAATAATTAATATTCCTTTGATTTGAAACATCTTGTAAATATATATTTTTATTTTATGTAATAATATCATGCTGTTGCTTTTTTAATAAATGTACGTTATGCTGCTCTTCTGATCTTACCTGCATATCTTCCAGCAACTGTATCAGCATCTTTAACATCAGCCTTATCAAATTAATCAACTTTTGCTTCTTTTCTATCAACTAAATCCATTAAATTGATTTCACAAGTATTGTCACTAATTTAGATATAAATTAAATACGGATTCACAAATACATATCCACCCAAATGCAAAAAATCACCAGTGACTCCTTTAACATCTTAAGTAAATTTAATCTTCAAAGGTCCTGGTGGTAATATATATACTGCTGCAGGAGTTCTATTTTGAATAATGAGAGCTGCCTTGTGAATTTATGACAATACACTATTACTTCATTTGTTTTAGCCACTATTCTTGAAAAACCATCAAATTTATCTAATATTGTTTTATATGGAGTTCTAATGGTCAACTCCATCTTGGCTTTCTTAGCTGTACTGAAATAAACCTGATTCTTAAGAGCAAGTCCTATCACACCATTAGCAATCCTATTCATAATTTATTTATTTAATTTTTATATATTTTTTTCTATTCAAAAAGAATAAATAATAAATCAATTAAAACATATTTGATAATTATACAATACAATAAAGGTATAATTTTATGATATCCTTTAGTTTGAATTAAGTATATTATTATCAATAAAATATAAATAAGAGATTATTAAATAAATAGTTGAAATAATGACTAAAACCTGAAAATATATGAATGTAATTGAGTCCAGAAATATAATTTAATTTGATTAAAATTGGAATTAGAAAAAGATTGAAAGACAAAGATTTTATAAGAATATTATTTATATATATATATATATTTATAAAAATATTAGTGAATTGATATACAAATTTATATATATTAACTAATCTAATTTTTTAAACAAAATTGATAATACTTTTAAAGATATGAGAATTGTAAATGGAACCATTGTTTATTAAGTGCCTGAAGTATTTTTAAGTATTTGATATGATTAAAATGGTTGTTATGGTCTAAGTATAATATTAATATTTGGTCTATTGGAGTAATTTTATATACTAATTATAATGTTATCAAACTTCACTTTTTGCTGATAGTGTAAATAATAAAAAAAAGTTGATTACTTCAGAAAATCTTTCATTTCAATATACACAAGAATTTCAGAAAATAAATAAAATATAAACTTGATAAATACATTACTGAAACATAATTTAATTAATGGATTTTATGCTGAAGGTACATATATGAAAAATATTAAGATATCTTATTATATTAATAGTTATATGATTAGTAGATTAATAGTTAATAAGACAAGTATTGGATGATAGAAAATTTTCTAATCAATAGAAAATAAAATCTTAGATCAATAATATTAATCATTTGATGTGAATAAAGAATTCATTTTAAATAAATGATTAATCTTTTAAAATAATCAAAATTTTGTTTTATTTTGCTTGAAATAATAATTATTTATTTAATTGTAGATGGGGAATCAAGAAGGAATGTGTTGTCTTTCTAGAGAGAAAGAGAATCATGTTATGAATAATGAATTAGTTATTTATAGAGAATATATGAATGTGAAAATAACGGTTAAATTGGGTGACATCTAGAAAGAATCTGGAGAAAGTGTTAGTACGTTTCTAGTTTATTCATAAAGTTTGTTTATATACAAATCCTGACAAAATTCCGTTATAGCACAATATTATTCAATAGATTTACGATAATATTTGTAGAAGTATTAATTATTCTAATCCTTTAGTTGGGTATGAATAGGTCTATATTTAAAATTTAGAATTGAGTACTTACAAATGTATAACATATTATCGAGTTAGAGATTTTGAAGTATTATATATAATTATATTGAGTCAGAAAAAGATTTATTCCAATATTATAACGGATTTAGAGAGTGGTAAATAAAGTTTAAGAATTTTATTAGTTTATCATAGTTGAATGATGAAGAATTTAAAGATATACTTATATGTGATTGTCCAATCAAATTAAATAGAGCATTTAGTTCCGAAGTATTGGTTAGATCAGTGATAGAGTAATCAATATAATAATTATGTAGTTTTATTGATGAATCAAAAAACAGATTGAATATCAAAAGTATAACCTTAATGAATTAAGATAAAAAGAGTGTAATCTATAAATATTAATAAAGAGTCTCGTTTTTTGAAATATGAACTAATTAAATAAATAGAAGAATCTAAAGAGCCTATTTTAAGAAAGGAGAGACAGAACAAATTTATGAAATTTATTACTTCTACAAAGAGTATTACATCTGAAATGGGCAGATAAAATAAATGTGATTTCAGTTTGAAAGACTTCGATCTTGGTGATGAATCTAAATTGATACTTGCTCTAAAATAAGATTAAATAGAAGAATAATGAATAATTAATCATGTAATTATAAGTTTATATCATAAATAATTGACAAAATACCCTTATTACATACTTCAATTTTAAATTTAATTAGAAAATAATAAAATTATCAATATACATAATATATAAATAATATAATAATATGAATCGAAAGAAAAATACAACATCAGTACCTACATTACCTTAGAGTAAAGTAAACCCATAACTTTTGGCTCCTCCTCCATAATAATTGAGTCCAAATCAATCATATTCAACATTTATCCCACCTGAACCTAAATTCGATCCAAACGATTATATAACAGGAACAACAACTAAAAGAGATATCATTTTATATAAGGAAATATTTGATTTTTTGGATTCAAATAACAATGGAGTTATTTAACCTATGGATTTGAGAAAAGCATTTGCAAGTGCTGGTAAATATTAACCAAAAAAATAAATAATTTATTAAATGATTGCTGACTTCGATTAAGATCAAAGTGGTATAATTGAATTTAGAGAATTTGTAAGAATGATGTCCATGCATCCAGGAGAAAAAGATACTGATGAAGATTTTGAAAATGTTTTTTATCAATTTGATTTAGATTATAAAGGTACTTAATAACCAAATATTATAGGTTATATAACTGTAGATGATCTAAGAGAGATGGCATCAGAATGCAATGAAAATTTAAAAGATGAAGAATTATAAAGTATAATTTAGGCTTGTGATCCTGAAGGAAATGGCACAATTAGAAAATAACCATTTATAAGGTATATGAAAAGTTTACAAAAGAAAAGATGATGATATTTTATAAGAATATTATACATTTATTATTTTTATTATTTTAAAATATGGGATGTACTTGTGGATCTAAAGAACAAGTTAATGATCCTTATTAGAAGAAATCTAATAGTAAAATAAACTATAATAATTAGAAGGCTAAACTAAAATGAAAGGAAAAGGAATATAGATTGGGGGAGATTAAGATCAAACTCAAAATGCTAATTAAAATGTAAAGAAACTAATTAGAAATAGGATTTAATAGCTTAAGCTGCAGAAAAAAGATTATAAAATTAAGAAAAAAGAGGGATGAATCATGCTGCTTAGATTGAATATGAATTTAAAAAGAAGAAATTAGAAGAAGCAGAAAAATATGAAAAAGAGAGAAGAGGTGAAAATTATAATCTCAGATGGAGTTGATTGTATTTCTTTTCTTTATTACTTAAACAATTAACAAAAATATCAATTTTTTTCGAGTAAGTTTAGTTCAACATCCTCAGTTTTTTCTTCTTTTTCATTTCTTTTCCTAAAATTATGAATAAATAAAAAAATTACTATAAATATGTTAATAGAGCCCATAAAAATGGTAAAAAAGATATAAACCATCCAACAACAATAAAAAATCCATTATAACTCAAAGATCCTTTAATTTATTGAATCACAGATATTATTAATAGAATCACAACTGTGTAATGACAGAGTTTAGTGATAGAGAATTCAATAAATTTTGGAATCTAAATATTACATTATTCTAAATCCTTTTTGAATTAGTTAAATCTTTGTGGATTTCCAAAATAAAAAACTTCAAATAATAATCCTCCCATAAAAGATATTGTAGTTCCATACAAATCAACAAATTCAAGTAGATAAAACCCAATATCAGTACAATAGATTGATCCTAAAATTCCTAATACAATACAAATTCCCAATCTCACTTATTGAACTGTCAATTTATATCCAAATAAAAACACCTCACCTAAACAAGCATCCTCAATTGTTCCAGCAATTAAATCTACAAATCCAAATTAAGTATCAACTCCCAATAAAACCAAAACACAAAAGAATAAAATACACCATAAATTTGGCATAGGCATCTAAGCTAAAATTGCTGGATATAAAACAAATGCCAAATCAGGACCAGATAACTAATTATATTTTAAATATTTACAGGTAATTCATCTATAGGAATGTTGAATTTAAAACTAACATGTCCAATATAACTAAAAACAACTAATCCTGCAAGCATACCACATAATGCAGTAATTATAGGAATAGCATAAGAGAAATTAGGTAGATTGTCATCCTTCTTTCTATAACTACCATATAAACAAAGAATTGCCAAACCAACATTCATTTGAAAAATAACTTAATTTGCAGCATCTACCCAAACAGATGGATTAAATAATTTAACAAAGTCTGGTTTAAATAAATAATAAATTCCTTCACTAGAACCTTCAAGCATTAACCCTCTTATTAATAATATTACTAATAAAATATAAGGAGATGTGGCTGTCACTATTGCTATTTTTCCAGAAGTACCAACTCCTTCTCTAGTTAATAATATAAAATAGTAAATACTTAATAATAAAATAGACAATTGTTAATGAAACCATATACGCAATAAGTAAACTCCATACTATTTCATCTATTATTAAATATTAAAAATTAATACTTATGTTTGTGATTGAATCTGATATGTGAAGAATATCACCATAAAAGTAGTTCTTAGAAAAAGGTTATTCCTCATTTATGATGCTTTCTAACCAAGGCAAAGGATATTTGAATGAATCCCATAAAAATCTAAATGAATAAGCCATGATTAAATTCTATGATTAAATGAGAAATACATAATATGTAGAAACATAAGAGGCTATTATGATGCCAATAAATCCAAAACCTGCTAATTTTGGTTTTTCTGAGGCAATTAGATGTGCAAATCCCATGCCTTTTGTTTATCCAAGTCCAACTTCAAGAAAGAATAATGGAATGGCTAATGTGAATACAAGAAGAAAGTAAGGAATTAAAAATGTTCCTCCTCCATTCTTAAAAACCACTATATAGTGTTTATTTTCATACAATAAGGAAATCTCCATACACTTCCAAATCCTGCAGCAAAACCTAGAGCAGTCATCATGAAAGTCCAAGAGTTTGTAAATTTCATTCTTTCTTCTTAATACTCTTCTAAGCTTTTATTGGATGGTTACATTAAATTTAATTGATAAAAATGCAATTTATGCATACATTCTTAAAAAAAGATAATTTTAGAATAAATAAATTCTTTTTATACATAAATATACAAATCTAAAATTCATTTGAATAAATCATTTTCCCAATAAGTTTAATCAAATTTATAGACTCTAGAATAACCACCTTCTTCTCCTGTAATAAATCCTTTTCCATCAGGGAAGAATGCTAAAGCATTTATAGGCCCAATTTAATTAGGATCTTTACATATAAAGAGTTTATTATACTTAATAATTTTCCTACTTCCTCTTCATAAATGACATTACAAATATGTATATCGAATCCTTAAAATTTAGTTCTAGCTGTTTCTCTTGCTGGAATACCACCAGCTACTATTAAATGAGGTTTTGGTTTTTGTTCAGTATTGAATAATGGTGAAATTGCAACAGCATTCATAGGAACTTCATATTTGAAATACCTCAATAATTATAATGTAGCTGGATCAAAGATTTTGCATCCATCATTAGCAGCAGTAGCCAAAATTGAAAAATCTTTAGCAAATGCAAATTACTTAATTTCACCATCATGTACTTATACTCTTCTTATTTCCTCCTCTATTAATTATTTATACAAAAGATACTTTATGGATAAGATAATAATAAAAGTTCTCCCTCAGTTGATGCCATTATTATAGATTGATTCAAATATCCCCAACTTGCTTGAGTAGTCTTAAATTTATCTGGAGTCACAAGAGTGTCAGTTATTTCTAATACATCTTATGTTTATCTTAATTTAATCTTATCTAAGATTTCTTGCACTTTGAGAATTCTTGTCTCATAATTAATTGTTGAAGTCATTGGTTAATATACCTATACATTATGCATTCAATTTGATTACAATAATTAAATTTTCATCTCCAAAAGAGAACTCTACCCATTTGGCCTTTCTCATATCAGCTGTTAATTTACCAAGACTTTTTCCTCCATTGATCTAAAAGAAATCAACAGAACCCTTTTGAATTGATTGTAATTTTTACTTCCAAAGAACCACTCACTAATAATTCACTGTTATCTGTTAAATCTAATGTCTTAACTGCACCACTTGCTTTATAATTTCCTAATCTAATTATGATTTCTTCAATTAAATACCTTTCACCAGTTTCTGTCAACCAACAATTAATACCACCATCCTATGAGGCAGTAAAGAATAAATCTCCATCATAATTGATTTTTACAGTCATTATAGCTCTGTCTGTACCTCTGACATGAAAAGGCCTCATTTAATTAATTTAATTTATGGAAGAATAAGAAAATAGATAACATAAAAAAAATGAATAGCTATGAAAAAAGTGAAAGTTAGAAAAAGTTAATTAAATAAATAAGAAGATATAAAAAATGAATAATAATACTAACTTAAAAGTGAAAATATTCTAAGTTCTTTGTGTAAAAGGATAAAAGAGTACATACAACTCATAATGTTATTAACATAACTATATTAATAATAATTAAAATATATAGGTAATTTGTATATTAATAGATAATATTATTTACTATTAATATATCAAAGATTTTTATATTAATATTCAGAAATGATATAAAACTAATATAATAATAATTATAAGGTATCATATAGAATTTTAAATTATAGTGTATTATAAGCACTAAATAAATAAATCAACCATAATTAATTGCACTTTTAGTTCTATGTGGATGTCTTCTTCTTCTGTGTCTTAAGACAATATGTTCTTCATCATCTTTAAATTTAGGAGAATTAGTAATTATTTGTTAATTATTAATATTAAGATTATCATTTTTATTATTAATATTTGTATCATCTATTTAGAATGTATAATTTCTTATATGTCTTACTAATTTTGTTATACTTTATTTCTTCATTATTTTTGTATCTGATTATACAACAACTAATTTTTTATTAACATTATTATTTTTTGGAGAATTAAAAACTGGAGTCTTATCACATTAATTAGAACTTGTTGAATGTCTTTCTTCTCGAGATTATATGGAATCATCTAAATATTATTATTTTTGACTTTGTTCTATTATTCTTTATTAGAACTTAGAGGGAACAATTAAATTCTAATGACTTGTCTTATTTTCTTGATTTAAATTTTTCACACTATGAATTTTAGTGTTGTATAAAATCAATTATTTTTTTAGTATTAGTGATGGATTTACTAAAGTTTTTAAAGATTTTATGTAATAAAAGGCCTTCTCATATTGCCATTTCTTAGTTTTGATTAGATATGCTATCATTATAGCTGCACTCCAATTTAATCCATTCTAACAACATACAATTATGGAAGAACGTTTGATTTCGTTCTAAATAAGTTGACAGGTTCTATCAAAAATACTTATTGCCTCTCCAATGTTGTCATTTACTCTCTATATCATTTTATCAATAGTACATGATAGGTAACATACTCTGTAAATTTAGTATGATTTTATTATCCAATTACTATAATAGTACGAATGTTCTTTAACTTAAAGTATTGTATAGATTCCAAGGCAAGAATATTCCCTTGATATATTTTGTGGAAGCGTTCCTCAAGTACTGTGAAGAGAAAGGCTTAGTTAAGCATAGAAGAATGTGAGCCAAATAAATGATTATTATAATTCTTAGATATTTATTAAGTAAATAATATTTTGTAGCCTATGGTATGATATTCATTATTTTGATTTTAAATATCTTAATAAATCTATATTTCTAAATGATTTATATATATTATCAAATACAAATGTGATGAAAGTATTTATTTTGGATAAACCTAAAAAATTTCAAGATGTGGATTTATTTATAGATGAAGTTATAATAAATATTAGATCCTTTAAAATATAAGAAATTTATAGCAATAATTCTGTCTAAGAGATATTTAAAGGTAGTTATGAATTGGAGGGTTTAATGATAGCTAAGACAAAATTTTAGCATGATTGATTGATAAGATATTATAGAAACTTGAAAGAGTTGAGATTATAAAAAATATAAGATTGAATTAGTAAGATATTAATAAGCATTATATCAAAAATCTATTGAAAAAATCATATTTAATATTAAATTATTACAAATGAGTATCAATGAATAATTGTTGTAGATAATGACAGACGTAAGTATTTAGAAGGCTATGTAGATTTGCAGCGCACTTAGATAGGAACCAGCTGTAACGAAGGAGTAGAGTACATAAGAGATTCTGAATGCACTCAAACTTCACATCTTTATACTACTCGAATTAGTATCTCAAAACAAAAGCCTCGAATATGATGAATTAGAAAAGGCTGTATAAAAGGCTGAAGCAGAGATTCGTTCTCATGTTAGGGTATCAAAGTTGGCATAATTTTAGTTAGAATAGTAGATGAAACTTTATACTGATAATTTACAAGAGAAGATTGAATAGCTTGAATTGGAAAAACAATAATTTGAAGTACAATAATTGTAATACTATTTTAGTAAGATCGTAAAGCATCAACTTTACAATTAAATTTCTTATCTTCTAAAGAAATTGAAAAGAAGCCATCAAATTTGTCTCAACAACGTGAAGGAAGTCCTAACATAATAAAGAAATCTTATATAATGGGTAATCAAATCTATCATCGTTAACATTAATCAAATTTAATAACTTATTAAGATTAATAAATACCAAATAAAAATACTTCTTAAGAACCTATAAATAGAGAACGTAGAAGTGCAAATACTTAACATATAAGTTATATTCCAGGAAAAGGACTACCATTAAAGAACAATGTCTCTCATTAAAATAATTCTATACATAATCCTCCATCAAATAGAAAAGATGACAGAAATAAATCACAATAATCTCAAGAAAGAATTATTGATAAAAGCTAATCATTATTAAAATCTTAGAATAGTTATTCCTACATTAAAATGTATAATATCCAAAAATTGATAATAAATAAAAACTAAAATGATAATATTAAGTAGGCAACATAATTAACTTAATAAACAAAAAGGTATTATTTAATCAATATAATCTTAGTAAAACTATTCATGGAGTATGTAACAATATTTTAGATGAATCTCATTATAAAAAGAAATGATCACAAATATTATAAATTAGTTTATTTTTCATTCCTATATCTTTTCTATATTATTTTAAATAAAATAAAAAATGTATCATTTTCTTATCTTAAAATTTATTATTATAATTTTAAATATATGAATTAGTTAAACACAATCAATATTTAAAATCATTATTATACTTGCTTTGTCAATAACTCTATATCCAAATCTGTCTTGCTCATATCAATCCTATTTCGATTTCTATAATAATACATTAATTAATTACTCTATATAAATCTTAATTGCAGCTATAAATGGTGAGAAAGAAATAAACCATCCAATCAGTATAATATAAAATGAATAATCAAGAGAACTTTTCATTTATTAAATAATTGATATTATGAGCAATACAATAACTGTATAATGACAGAGTTTTGTTAATGAAAATTCAATTAACCAAGGAACATAATTTCCATGTTTCTCTAAATCAATTTTCAATTTTTCAAATCTCTCCTTTGATCCAAAATAAAACACTTCAAACAATACTCCCAACATAAATGAAACATTCGTTCCAAATGTATCTACAAAACTCAATAAATAAAATCCAATATCTGTACAATAAATTAAACCTATCACTCCTAAAATACTGCAAACACATAATCTAACTTATTAAACAGTTAATTTATTTCCAAAAACTATCACCTCTCCTAAATAAATATCTTCAATTGTTCCTGCAATACCATCTACAAATCCAAATTATGTATCAATCCCCAACAATAATAATACTAAAAAAAATAAAATACACCATAAATTTGGCATAGGCATTTAAGCTAAAATTGCTGGATATAAAACAAATGCCAAATCAGGACCAGATAACTAATTATATTTTGATTATTTACAGGTAATTATGAAATTGATATATTATATTTAAAACTAACATGTCCTATATAACTGAATACGACCAAACCGGCTAACATACCACATAATGCTGTTAACAAAGGTATAGCAAAAGAAAAATTAGGTAAATTGTCATCCTTCTTTCTATAACTACCATATAAACAAAGAATAGCTTGTCCAACTGACATTTGAAAAATAACTTAATTTGCAGCATCTACCCAAACAGATGGATTAAATAATTTAACAAAGTCTGGTTTAAATAAATAATAAATTCCTTCACTAGAACCTTCAAGCATTAACCCTCTTATTAATAATATTACTAATAAAATATAAGGAGATGTGGCTGTCACTATTGCCACTTTTCCTGAAGTTTCAACTCCTTCTCTAATTATATAAAAATAAATAATTACTTAATACAAAAGTAAACTATTATCAATGATACTATATATGCTATAAAAAGACCCCAAATTATATGATCTATTATATTTTATATTTGAATTACTTAAATCTGTAATTGAAGTGGACATCTAAACTATAGAATCATAAAAGTAATCTCTAGAAAAAGGTTTATTCTATTCAACTATGCTCTCCAACCATGGAATTGGATATTTGAATGACTCCCACAAATATCTCAAAGAATATGCCATAATTAGATTCTATTAATTATTATACGTTGTACATAATATGTTGATATATATGCACAAATTACAATTCCAACATATCCAAATCCTCTTAATTTAGGTTTTTCTAAGTCTAATAAATGAGCCATTCCAATTCCTTTACATTATCCCAAACCTACTTCTAAAAAAAATAATGGAATAGCCAAAGTAAAAACCAAAATAAAGTATGGTATTAGAAAAGTTCCCCCTCCATTCTTGAATACAACTAATTGAATTTTTATAATCAATTTATACGATACGGAAATCTCCAAACACTTCCAAAACCTGCAGCAAATCCTAATGATGTAAGCATAAATGTCCATGAACTTGAAAACTTCATTCTAATTTCCTAATATCCTTCTAAGCTTTGGCTAGATGGTTACATGATTTTTAATAAATAATTATAACTATTAGAAACAAATAATCAAAATTTATTTTATTTTAAATGATCTTTATAATTCACATCATTTATAGTAATAAAATTAATAATATACTTTCAAAAATATTCATTATATAATATTAATAATTCAAATCAAAGTGATTAAATATTGTAAATTAGAAATTATATATCCATAATTCTATTGAATTTTTACAATTTTACAACCATTTCTATAGAAACTCATTATATATAACTTATGAATAATTATAAGAAATAATTATACAAAACAGCAGTTAGAGATAAATAATATTTTAATTATAAATATGATAGATATTTTAGAATTCATATCTTAATTAAAATCTCAAAAATTATTATTATATTAATGAAGACATTTTACTTTTTGAATTTTCTTTCATTTTTAGAGATGATATACTCTTAGTACCTCCTCTCTGTAGATTCTTTCTTTTAGAAAAAAGAAACAATTATGGAACTAAACGGGGAAGTTACAAACAATTTGGGGATAGTCTTTGGGATCTGGTCTAAGTACAATCCTTTAAATAAAATATCATATGGAGGAATTGTTGGATTATCGGATAGTAATTGTTTCCATTATCTGAATTTTATATAAGAATCCTCTGGATATTTGGAATTAATACTTTATGATTGCCTTAACTCTGAAAGTTAAACTATTGAGAAGACAATAGCCTATAATACCGCAGATGGATTATCACATATACATAAAGTGAATATTGATCCATTACGGTTTGAAAATGTTTGGTATTTATTTGAATTACTTTACTTGCCATCTGCATAAAAGCTCGAATTAATCATTGTAGAAGAAGAATAATTTATATACCATGAGTTGTTGAATGATAAAATAATCAAAACAAAAAACCTAATATTAAGTATTGGAAGTGGACTAATTGTACAAAATTCAAATATTGAATCCATAGAAGTTGGATCCAAATTTTCTTATTTTCCAGGTCAATTGAAATTATTAAAAGTAAGTCAGGAGATTGTTACAAGTTTAGATCCTTAAATATTGGGAAAAGGAATCTATGTATTGTTTTTTGATAGTATTTCCGAATACTATTGCAAATAAAATACTTAGCATTAACTATTAGATCACGATATAACTTAGATGGATATAATGACTTTCACATCATAAAATATAAACATTAATTCATTTACTTTTTATGGTTGGTATAAAATAATAGAAATACATTAAAACGATGAGTAGTTTACTTATTAATTTTTGAAGATAATGCCAAATTTTGAAAATGAACAATTATCTAATCCTAATTTAACACCCTTTTAGTTATCTTATAAGATATCTTCTAATAATTATAAAATTATTATTAGTACATATAGTTATAAATTTCCATCTGTAACTTTAGATTTTAATAATAATAATAATGCTTTTTTATTGACTCAAGAGTTTGAAATATTAAATAAAATAACTTTATGGCATAATTTGTAAGTAAAATTAGTAGACGAATAAATTTTTATTTCTATAAAATTTTACGATTCTTCTGATATTCATGAATATAATGCTTAATTTAATGTTAAATAGTTCCATAATGTATAATTTAAATTGTTATATGGAAATTTATAAAAATCTCCTTTAAATTATCTTGATATTTAAACCAGAAATTAAATTTTTTATAATTGTTAATAATAAATTGAACAGGAAAACTGTCATTATACATGTTAAAATTGTGATGGTCCAACAAAAAGAGATTGTTTATCATGCTCTTAAGAATCATCAAGAATATACTTATCANAAACATCCTTTTGAAAACTTTATTTCAATTCTTTTCTTCTATAAATAAATTATAAATATATTCTCCTCTCAATAATTCAATATTGGTTATAAAAAAAGCAAAATACCTTAGAAATCGTTTGAATGTAAGAAATTTAAGGTCTCTAATCAGGATCTATAAAAATTCCTTTGTTAAATAAAGTGTCTTCATTATATTTTCTGTGAGCTTTATAAATCTTCTTATAATCCCTTTAATTATGGGATACTATAAATTTTTTCTATTTTAAGGCTTCTGCATAATTCAAAATTCCATTTTTCTTCTATAATTGTTAAGGAGCAAAGTATTTAAGTAATTATTTTATCTTCAACTGCTTAATTTAATTATTAAATGTCTACTTCATCTATTTAAAGGCCTTTCTTTTATTTTTAACTTTCCTGAATTTTTTCCCCAAGAAATTTATTTTTTCAATTTAAATTAATGATTTTAATTAATTTAATTTTTTTTTAAATGCTGTTTACGTCATCAAGTTTTATAAATGACAATAACTAGTTGATCACCAAATTGGTTGTCAATACATATATTACACTCATCAGAACTTTATGAAGATGGTTGTTAAATTATATCAATCTTCTAATTATAATATTTAACTATGTTTTGAGCTTTTTAATGATAAAACACATTGATGATTTACTTTTAGTCCAGAACTTTCTACACTAGTATGCTTAATCTTCTTTAAAATTACAGGTTTTTCTTTCTTCTAATAAAGGTATATAAGTGATTCAAAATACATTTTGATTATAGTTCAGATCATATATCTCGCCAAGCTTGCTTAATTGTTAATATTCTTGATTATTTTGTTTCAATTTATAAAGAATATTTGTTACCCATTTTTGTCTTGCAGCTTTTCAAGGATCATTCATAGGTTAATTTTTTTCTTAACCATATTTCTCTTGTAATTACAATAAATTTACCTATGTTAATCTAACTAGCTTCAATTAGATAACATTTTGACAATTTACATTAGTATATAATAAAAGAAAATTTGAATGATGCTAGTTTAAGCATATTTCAGGAGGAGGTCATTCTAAATTTATTCCACATAAATTAGACTGTATAATATAAATTAATAATTAAATTTTTTAATCATCATCATTTGAAATGTAACTTAATTTTTTTAGAAAATAATTCTTATGATGAGTGTCTGAACACTTTTTTTTTCAAATAAAAAAATTAAATTAAAACATTCAAAAAAGACAGGATTTTTACTAGAAAATGTAAATATGCATGTTTAAGTTCAATAAATAGATATTGGTTGATAATAAAAAAAATTTTATTCCATTAAAAATAATTAGTTTACTATTGGAATTTGCATGTAATTTCAAATATTTTCAGATCAATAAAAATAGAATTTTTTAAATAATCATATTTTGTTTTAATAATTTAAAGTGAAGTCTAAATTACAAATGATCCTTGCTTGTAAAGAAAGTAAAGGCCTATGAATCAGAAAGGTAAGTGTTGGAACAATTTAAAAAAAGAAAAAGAAATAATGATAAATGAATTTATTTGTAAACATTTTAGATGATCCAAATATAATGGGATTAAAAGGACATAAATATATTTATTAAAAAAAACTAGAAATTTCAAAACAACAAATCTCAAACAATTAAATTAATTTCCATCTCAGATAAGTTTAGAGCTTTAATGATTATCTTAATTCCAAAGTGATTACAATTTAATTAAATTTTTATCATGTACCTACATTATAGGTAAGGTATATGAGACCTATTTTTAATAAAAATTGATAAGTATTAATTTTTAAATTCATAACTTTCTTAATATTTTTAAGAATATTTTGGATTGATAAAGATTGTAGATCAAAAATAATTCATAGTAAAATGATTTGAGAAATATAACGAAAATAAATATCAAGAGCCTAGAATCAATGCAATTTACTTTTGTGATAAAAAATCAGAGAATATGATTAAAAGTTATAAAAAATTATCAACAATATAATGTTAATTATATAAAAACAATAAACTATATAAAAATTTAATAATAATTAATATTTTTCATATGATCAACCTTTTTATTTTGAATTTACTACTATTGTTGGATATTACCTATCCTTAATTTATAATGCAACTGGATCCTCTTTTTTAAATTGAATAATGCTTTATTGAAATAAAAGATGTATACTTAATCGATGAGTTAATTGGATATGGTATATGGTCTAAATACAATCCATTAAGTATAATATCTTAAGTAGGACCAGTTGGATTATTTGATAGTGATTGTTTTCATTATCAAAATATTATTGAATCAAACTCTGAGAGTTTGAACTTAATGTATTATGATTGCCTTTACCCCTAAAGTATGACCATTCATAAATTTCTATCCTTTATTGCTTCTGATGGGTAACATTTTAATTATAAACTAACAATTGACCCATTTAAGTATGAAAATTTTTGGTATTTATTCTAATTACTTTATTGGCCTTTCATCAATAAACTCGAATTAATAATAATAACATAAGATCAATAATTGCTACATGAAATATTGCATGTTAATCCATTTAAAGGAAACAAAATATTTGTAAATTTTGGAAGTAGCCTTTTAGTACAAAATTCATATATTGATTCGATAATTGGATCAAGATATTCGTATTTTCCAGGGACAATTCTTTTATATGTTTAAGATTTAAACCTTACCTACACATCATCTCCAGACTTAGATTATATCGATTAAGCAATAAATGATTTTTAAAGTAACTCAGAATGTTATTGCAAATAAAATACATAATATTAACTATTAGATCAAGATATATCTTGGATGGATACAATAACTTTCACATCAGAAAATATTAATTGTGATTCATTTACATTTTATGGTTGGTATAAAATAATAGAAATACATTAAAATGATGAGTAGTTTACTTATTAATTTTTGAAGATAATGCCAAATTTTGAAAATGAACAATTATCTAATCCTAATTTAACACCCTTTTATTTATCTTATAAGATATCTTCTAATAATTATAAAATTATTATTAGTACATATAGTTATAAATTTCCATCAGTTACTTTAGATTTTACTAATAATAATAATGCTTTTTTATTGACTCAAGAGTTTGAAATATTGCATAAAATAACTTTATGGCATAATTTGTTGGTTAAATTAGTAGATGAATAAATTGTTATTTCTATTAAATATTACAATTCTTATGATATACATGAATACAATGCTTAATTTAATGTAAAATAATTCAATAATGTATAATTTAAATTGTTGTATGGAAATTTATAAAAATCTCCTTTGAATTATCTTGATATTTAAACTAGAAATTAAATTTTTTATAATTGCTAATAATAAATTGATCAGCAAACCTGTCATTATACATGTTAAGATTGTGATGGTCCAACAAAAAGAGATTGTTTATCATGCTCTTAAGAATCATCAAGAATATATATACAAGAATTTAAAGCATGTATTTGTCCCTATGATTATTATGATGATTAAATTAATTAGAATTGTAAATCATATAGTGATTTATAATTTATAATAAATTAAATACAAATAGAAAATGGATGTAAATTTGGTTATTTTGAATTTGATGATTCTTGTTATGCATGGTAAATATTTATTAATATAAAGTCCTTCTATTATTTCTAATTAATTGACAACATGTTTAGAATGTATATAAAATGTGAAAGGATGGTAATAAAATCCATATTGCTAAACTACTGTTTACATAAATCCAAATGGAAATACAGCTAAAACAATATCTGATGAAGATTATATATACTATGTATTTGATGGATTAGAATCTTAAATGTGTAGATATTGTAATTAATAATTCTTATAGAATATTGATAGTATATATCAAGACTTTAATTTATTGATTTAAACATTTAAATCATTTTGTTAACTTAGCAAAAGTTATTTTTATGGAACATTTGACTTTAATATTTGTTATGAATGTAATATTTTAGGATGCATTACTTGTTCTATTGGTATAAAAGATTTTCAATGTACTATTTGTGAAAAGCCTTGGATATTGGTTAATGGAATTTGTACATTGAATTCTTATTCTGAAAAAAATAATGAATGCTTAACTCCTTATTATAGAAATTCTATTGGAGAATGTAAATTATGTAATCTTTAAAATTGCAAATATTGTTTTGAATATAATAAAAATGATCTCTCTAAATGCACTTTGTATGCAAATTTTGATAAATTTGATTAAGATGAATATCTAGCTATTGGATGTGCACTTTGTGAAGATAATTTTAATTTTGATTTTAATATTGGAAAATGCATTTACAAATAGCCATCTTTACCTAATTGTATAAGGTCATTTATTAATTTATAAAATTAAGAGATATGCACTTTATCATCCACTGATTTTAGTATAGCACCAGAAATTATTAATTGTGATAAGTTTATCTCAAACTGTTTATAATGTATTTTAACTCCTTAGTCTTCCATAAAATGCATCATTTGTTAAAGTGGATTTACAAGTACTTTAAATTTAGGAAGTTGTTATCCAAATTAATTTGAAGATGCAAAAATAGTAATAGAGGGGTCTAAAGAAATAGTTGATGGTTGGGTTTAAAGAGTATAAAGTTTTATGATGAAATTTTTACCAAAATAATATTATTATTAAAGGCCGTATAATGACTAGACTGTTATATAATTTTAAGTTGAATGTAAAGAAGGATACAAATAAAATGATTAATAAGTTTGTATAAAGTATTGTACTTCTGATTGTTTGAAATGTGCTTTATCTATAAATTCTGACAATTTTGATTGTATTAAATGTCCATAAAATTACTACGAATAACCAATTCGTAGTGAAACAGATGGCTAATGTAT